ATTTGTGTGATGCAAGGGCACATACGATCTGAGCACCTTGTCATAGTTGTTGTCTTTTCTCCTTGCTCCTCGGCGAGGTAGAGTGTCTTCGTGTACACGTCTGTTTTGAGCTGTGCGGTGTGGGTGGAGATTCTGGGGGTGCTGCGGTCTGTGGAGGGGGGGGGGGGGGGGAGAGAGAGAGAGAGGGAGAGGGGGAGAGAGAGAGAGAGAGAGAGAGAGAGAGAGAGAGATGGTCTTCCTGGGGATCACCTTTTCCACCAATATGTGTGATGACGCTGCGAAACTTCCTGCAACGCTTGCTACCGACCTTACTACAGTGAGTGCTATTCGGGGCAGGCTCAGTCTGGCTGCTGCCTCTTCCGCGTGCTTGCAGATACCTAGTGGTGCTCTACTACAACCCCACAAAGGCTCAGCAAAGGCGCGATGCAATGGCTGCCAAGGAGACCCTCGAGAAACTCCGAGCCAACAACTATCAGCCTACCAAGTGAGGGCGCCGAATAGTTCAAGCCAGCAGAAGGGCAGAAGAGCGGTCAAGGCGTTGTGCAGCATCCTGAAAGGGATGAGATGAATGCATATACATGTATATAAATATACATAGATGCATTCATATATTGATACATCTACGTGTACCCTGATATGTGTCCATATCTGAGTGTGCATGTCTGGGTGTGAAACAAAAACACAGAGAGTGACACAAAAGGTATTGAGGGAAGTCGGGTGTTTTCAGCAGCGCCAGAAGGCACGGCACTTGGATTGCAGTTGAAGTAACGCGGCCTTTGTCGGCTTTGCTGCAGTCGATAGAATGACGGCGCGAGGGTGGCGTCTGTACAGCCCACTTCGGGGTCTGTGCACGCATCTCTGGGCCCCTCTGAATAGTTCCTCTGGCAAGGGGCTTCCTTGATTTTGTGGCGTCTCTGCCTCCTCCTTCAGCTGGGCTTAATGTGCTCTCTCCCCTACAGCCTTGATGAAGGACAGCTTTGAAGGAGCGTAAAACCACCTGCTGCCAAGGCACTTGCCTGTTTGTTTGCTTATTTGATAGTCGGAGCGAAGGGCCTCCACGACGGGTTCCTAGCCTCCTTCTGCTTCGTCCGCTTCGCATCTTGTAGAATACAGATTAATGCACTGCTCAGTCAAAGGAGGCACCCCGAGTGACGGGATTGTTGCTAGAATGATACACGCAGGCTGGATCAACGCATGGGCCAGGGGTGAAACCGTTAAGAGATTAGTTCCTCGGGTAGCAGAGTGGCTTGCCGCCCCCCACTTGCCCACCCCAACCACTTCCAGTTGCAGCCTTGCCATACACCCGACTTCCTGCTTACTGCTGGAATGAGACATGTGAATGCTTTTTGGAAGGCGTGTGTCACTTAAGAGACGATCTAACCCATGATACACCTGCCAATTCTGAGGCCGCTTCTCAACGGTGCCTTCTCCAGCACTGACGTTCACAGACACGTACCCCGGGAGATCATGGTGATATGCTAAGTGGCTGCTCTCTGTACACTAAAGGATCCAAAAAGCGCATCACGGCGAGCACTGGGGAGTCTACTGGCACGCGTCTGTCCCTGGTGGCTGCACCCTTGAAGCAGCTTCCCTTGTATTTTGAGGTAGGGGCGCTTGCTGCGGCTTTTTAGTGAGCTGCACCGTTTCGCGGGAGGCACTTTCTTTCCCTTCATTCCTTTGTATCTCATCATGCCACAAGATAATACAAAACTTATTCGAAAGTCGTTGGCCATTCTTCCAGAAGAGTTTGCCTGGCTTCGCATGCGCACCCCGTAGAATACCGACACGAGAGCAGACAGACAGCTCAGATTGCATGTTGCTGTACAATCTATGCACTCTAATGACCGGCCGCCAGTCCCACATAGCATCCGTGGCTCACGCGCTCAACGTTGAATCTTTGTGTATTGAACCAACTCTGATTTCAACCCATAATATATGTGAACCGCCAATCCAAAAAAAATTTTGATTCTCTGCTAATTCTCAATTAAATATATAACGAGTGCTGTGGAAAGCGTCTACGTGAAGCTTTAGCCCACTATACTAGAGTCTATACTGTCTAAGCATGTGTGGCTTCGCATTCAGTCATACAGAACGACACACCCAACAAGTGCTCGATTCTACTGCTACAGAAAGGAAAAGTAAACCAGCTGTGCAAGACGCAAAACATATCTTTGTCCGTCTAGTTCCCCCCCTTGCCCGACCAGTGCCCCTATTCGTTATGCTTCTTTCTACCTTCGTTACTCTCGGCCTCTGCTTCACGGCGTCTATTGTTAGGTACAGTTGAAGCCTTGACGTGCACCCCTTGGTCCTTGCCTTGAGCTCTTACTGCAGGGAGCCTCTCAGTAGAACCTGCGTCCAATGATGCATTGGCTTGTGCTATCTTCGTTCCTCTACAAGTCATTCTTTCATATGCCCTTTGTTCCATAGGTCTCACTGAGAGAGTTTGCCTAGATGATCTAGCGGAGTGCGAGGACTTCTTTCCCTCTGCTATTTTCCTTCTAGGGTTTTCTGCACGGTTTTCCCCAAGGATGCATACAAACACTACGCACAAGCTTATCTTACTGCCCCGTAAGGATGTGTTCACGAATCTGATTGCTTTAATGCTGTGCCGTTTAATCCATTTTATGTTTGGCACGCCTCAGAGCCTTGGGAAAAAGAAGGCGGCTGTTGGGTGAAGAGCGAGAACAAGAGGAGCAGCTGATCATCTCCATAATGCTTTCTCATTTTAGATTATTGGAGCACTTTTGTACCCTCCGCTCGCGTATGTTAGAAGAAGCATTGTTAAAGATGCGAGAAGCGATATAAATGGATGAAAGGGCGAGTAGCGTAGCATGGAGGCCTCCATACCATTGCCTTTTTTCTTCTCCGACGTCTATGCCTTGTGCATGTGTCTGAAGAGCTTGAGTTGCCACTTTTACACATGTGACTATAACCACGCTGAGCAGCAGTAATTGCTAATTTCTCCAACAGCAGACGCGACACTTTGGGCGAAGGATGCTTTGTCCTTTCGCTGCAGGAGTTGGTGCAATTCCTGGTTGTCTTCTGGTGCAAGAGGAAGGCGAAACCTACAATTAATCCTGAGACTCTCGATGAGGACGGGCTTCACTAGCATGACCATGTTAGGGCTCTCAGTGGCAGATGGAGCACCGACAGCCTCGGGAGGCAAATCGCGAATGTATACTTCAGGACGAGAAGCCTACCTATCAGCCCTGTCTCCCTCTGCACTTATACGCTTGAATCCAGTCGATAATTGGCCATATGCGTGAAGAAACCGTTCCAATAATTGATGGTTCGAAACGCGATGACACCGTGGACCTGTCTGCCAGAGAGACAGCGACCCCTGGCACTGGCCGTTGATTCGTTGTGGGCTCCAGTGACAGCAGGGACTTCGTCATTGAGAGGAAGGCTTTTTAAAAAATCGCACGCTTGAGCAGACAATTTCAGAGGCTCGAGAGCTTGCATTACCGCTAATGTGAAGCCTCTACTACGCCATACATGGTCTTCGATCTCCCCTCTTGGAACCTCCTCTGGGGTGTTTTCTCTCTTTTTGTTCTCTTTGGCTTTTTCTTACTCCTCATCTCCCTATACATGCCCCGGCTATTTCGTCTCCTTCAGTAAAGCGCTTACATCTTGAAGGACAGTGTACTACTTCGTGCAGTTTGCAGCCCCTAGGAAATCAAACAACCCAATGAGAGGCCGTTGTGTTGCCCCTCAGCCTAAAGGAGTGCCAGAGGCCTCTTGATGAGTGTATTTGGCGCTAAGCGGCCTTATGCATGTACACCTGTGTTTTTCTTTGCCCGGAGCTACCACAGAACCAGTGCTTCTCTACATCTGCCTCTATTCTTCTTCCTATGACCGCTAAAACCATCCTTGGCGTACCGTGCCGCCTCTCCCTCCTTTGCCTCCGACTCGCCCTCTCACTGCGTGGACGTTTCTCGTCTGCGTTAAGCGCCTGTTCGGTCCGCTTCTTTGCGACCACGCGCCTCCTGTTTGACTGAACAACATTTTTAAAAGGAGGAGCGAGGCCACAGGGGCTTTTACATGTCCATACTCCGTGTATCCCTCCGCCCACATTGGACTGTAGGGAAGTATCTCTTATTCAGTATACAAGACACAAGCAGTACTGGTCATCTGTCTTTCTTAATTGCGCCAAAGGGGAGCTTCTATGCTCTTCCTAAAGCTTCCACCGCTGCATGCAAAGGGGCAACGGTTACCAGGCGCGCTGCTGCCGCTACCTGGTGCGCTGAAGTGCGGCTGCAGCTGCTGCTGCTGGTCAGAGTCTGACGTTCGTCACACTTTCGTTACAGCATATGTCGCTTTCATATTGCGTATTGTGGAGTCTGGGAGACCTCAAATTAGCTTTTTGTGGTTCAGCTGCAAGGACCCTTGAAGCTCTGGCCTACATTGTGTATGAAACCCATGATGCCAGCAGCTGCAGCAACACGTATGCACAAAAACAACGAAAGCGGCTTTAAAAAGATCAGCAGCGAACGCGATCAAACAGCCGCGAGCACGTCGTGGGGTACGAGCATGAAGCTCGCGCAAGGGCGAACATACACCAGACACAGGAGCTGTATCCTTCTTACCAGCCATACAGCCCATTGATCCGAACATTATAAAAATCAAAAACAAGACCACCAAATGATCCGCATTGTGTTTCTTGACCTGCGCAGACCCCACAGCCGCGGGAAAGAGGCTCAGTGCTTCAAAAGCAGCAGCCTAGCGTCCAGCGACAGTCACAGCCTTGTGAAAAATCCCTCCCTGAGGCGTCCGCCAGAGGGCGTCACGGGTACTGCAGCAGTCGCTTTCGCTCACCATCCTGTCCACGAAAAGCTTTCCAAAGAGCGCGCAAAAGAAGCACACGCCAAAGAGGACAGCGCAGTAATCCCAAGGGACCGCAGAGCCTATGAGGGAGTTAACGGCTGCCGCGCTGCTGCTGCAGAGCACCAACGCTGTATTGACAGCAGTGCAAACCGACGGTAGCATCCCCTTCATCAGCATTAGCGGGCCCAACACTAGAGAGCTCCCGATCCCCACAGTGCCTGCTGAAGCCACGAAAAGAGGCGCACAGAGCAGGAAAACACCGCAGATTTTCGACAAACCCTCATCACCCGCAGCGTTGCACACGTCAAAGAGGCGTGTTGTAGGTAACGCAACTCCCAAACGCTAAGCTCTGCTCCCCACATCACATGTGCTGCACGAGAACCGAAGCAACCAGCGTCCCTTCATCCCAAGAGGCTCTGCTGAGTTCCTCCGTGGCGTGCTGCATGCATTGCGAAAACGGCCTAGGGCGTCTGCACAATGAGGCATGTGCACCCTGCTGCAATGGCGCGCTTCTTTTGCGAGCCGATGACGGCTCCAAAAGCCTACCAACGAGTCCAGCGAAGAACGTTTGCACATAGAACCCGTGAACGGTAGCGAGATCGAAATGAAGATCTCCTGGCACCTGGCGGATGGCAGCCTCATCTTTCCCGCGCTGAAGCCTGTAAAGCGAGACTCCCTGGAAGTAGGAGCATCCCATAAGCCATATTATCGAGAGAGAATAGACTCCCCAGTAGCTCCAGCCGCAGTATGGGACCTGCACGCAGCAGCTAGCGAAACGGCGAGCGGTCCAAGCCAAGCGAGCATACGACGAGGCGATAGAGGGAGGGAGAGAGAGAGACAATACGCACAGATTGACGGTCTTGCACTTTCAAGAACGCGGTATGCAGGGATTTCGACTGTGTTCTATTGCGCCTTTGAGAACACTACCCCATGCAGCACGAGCAGGCACACCAGCCTCACACAGAGGCTGCAAAGGGATGCCGCCCTACAGCAGCAGCAACGACAGCAGCAGATGGCAGCAGAAAGTGTTCGCCACTCCGAACGGCGCCTTACCAACTGTACGGGAGAGCCCTTTGCCCCCCGTACGATCCCCAGAGACAAATCCGCAATCCAAATTCCGGCAATCAAGAACCACTTCTGCGGGAGATATCAAGCAAAGAATCAGCGAGAGCAAGCATACGCGGTAGAGTATATAGGACGCGGGAGACGGCGCGCAAGGGCTCAACACGCACTCCCGACACTCGAAGAAAGCGCCGTGAGAGAAGCCACAGGACTGAAAAAAGAGGCTTCCATCTCCATAAGTGGACAGGCATATACACACACATACATACACATACACACAAACAAAGCAGCATAGACGTGGCGACGCCGGCTGAATCAAAGAGACAAATAGACAGAGAAGCAAGGAGAGAAAGAAAGAAGAGAGACCCCCAGACAGACAAAAGGAACATGTGCAGGCACACGCACAAGACATGCACATAGACACCCATACTACCCATATATGCATATATATATATATATGTATATGTATACATGCACATATATATACATACATATGAGTGTACACATACACACATACAAAAATGACGCATGCAGTGCCAGAGAACGCTGACCACCACTCAGCAATGGGCGTACCAGAATATCGTGACGGCGCTGCATTTCGCTCAGTCTCCTTCTGGCCGAGCGAAGAGTAGCTAGCCGCCTACGGCTGCGTCTTTCTCCAGATCCAGCAGCGACTAGTTTCTTATCGTTGGGAATGCTCCCCGCTTTCTTGGGAGCAGATGCCTCCTGGGCTGTTTCTGCTCTTGGGTTAGGACCTGCACTCATTCCACTCGCATCGGTGTCTGCCTCTTCTGCCAGCTCCTTCTCCTGCTTTTGCTCCTGTTCTTGCTCCTCCTCTTGCTTCTGCTCCTGCTGCTTCTCCTCCTCCCCGTCCTCCTCAGCGCCTCTCTGCCGCTCGACGTCGCTCTGTGTGTCGGGCTTCATGTTGCTAGGCGAGCGTTCCCCCGTACTGCTGAGTTCGCTGACCCTTCTTGCCGAGGCTTTCCCCGAAGCGCTGTCTGCAGTGCTGCCCCTTAGCTCGCTCTCTGCGCATAATTACAACATCCCCATCCCCCCTCCATTAGCATCCCCCAGTGTGACACATAAAGGCGGCATGAGATCTCAGGAAGAAGAGAAAGAGGGGGCCTAGGGGATCGATAGAGAGACAGCTAGCCATAGATAGCTGGCTAGCTATGGGTGCGATTGCAACAATGCTCTCTTTCACGGCTCCGCAGCACTCCCACAGAGCGCCTTTGGAAGTTTCTTCGGAATAGCCGCCCTTGCAGCCACGCGGCACCAATCACCGGCAGAGGCTGGAGGAATCTCTTCCCAGCAGAAAGCGACGGCGGTTCGATTTTTGTGCACTCTTTACCTTCGGTGGGAAGATCGTTGAGGCGTCCCTTCTCCGTAGTTCCCAGCACCCCTTTCTCCCGCAGCTCGCGGGGAAAGCGGCTCACAGCCAGATCCTTGTGCACCTTGGCAGCTTCCTTGGTGCTTGGTCGTGCATCGGCAGGGGCGACATTGGGAAAGACGGAGACAGCGCGAAGAGAAGAAGTGCTCGAGAATTTTTCTGCATCGGTGGCAAAGGCCTCCTCCGACTGCTGGTCATCAACGGTCTCTTCCGCGGGGTGGAGTTTAGAAGTCGCGAGAGCCGCAGGGTTGACTGATTGAGCTTGTCTCCTCACACGGCAGTACTGCTTGATCGTTTGTATCACTGCCACACTAAGAACGCCTACTAGGCATAGCACCAGCAGCCACGCGGGAAGACAGCGGTTCACGACGAGTCCGAAGGATACGCCAGCCATCTGAGCGGGGGCTAGGAAGATCACCTGGTGAGGAAAGAGCATAGCAGGCAGCAGCAAAGGAGGAGGAGGCAAGCGATCGTCACTCGCAAACACGAGGCATGAGGTCGTAGAGACGCTGGGAACGACATACAGCGCCGCAGGCAGCGGAAAGCGACAACTTCGAGTCGGAGAGGCACACCCACAGACATGCACGTGGGCACGGGGCACCCGCTATAAAAACAAACTCCAGAAACAGAGATGGAGAGAGGGATGAAGATATATATATATAGAGAGAGAGAGGGGAGAGAGAGAGAGAGAGAGAGAGAGGGAGAGAGAGATGGATAGATGAAGAGAGATGGAGGGGATGGAGATGGAGAGAGAGATGGATAGATGAAGGGAGATATGGAGGGAGATATGGAGAGAGATAGAGATGGAGAGAGAGATGGAGGGAGATATGGAGAGAGATAGAGATGGAGAGAGAGATGGATAGATGAAGGGAGATATGGAGAGAGATATGGAGGGAGAGATGGATAGATGAAGGGAGATATGGAGAGAGATATGGAGGGAGAGAGATAGAGATGGAGAGAGAGAGAGAGATGGAGAGAGATAGAGACGGAGAGAGATAGAGATGGAGAGAGAGAGAGATGGAGATGGAGAGAGTTAGTGATAGAGATATAGATGAAGAGAAGGTGATATTTATAGAAAGAGATGTAGAGAGATACAGATGGAGAGTGAGAGAGAGATACAGAGAGATAGAGCGCAGCGCACACTGGACAAAGAGGCGCGTGCAGGGGGGAAGGGGCAGTGCATTTCAGCACGGAAATAAATTGCATGTTTTCTCGCGGCGAGCGATTTTCTACGATGCATGCAGCAGCATGAGCGACTAAGGAGGGGGTACCGTGCCGATGCGAAGAGCAGCATTAGCAATGCGTTTCTAGAAGGAATGTGTCGAAGGCTCACCAAGTCCAGATCTATGAGGGGCCTATTCGCGAAGGGGTGTCGCCTGCAGAGGTTGAGAAGCGTTCCGGCAAGGACGCCTCCGCACATGAGTGACTGCGACATGACCGCTGCCGCTTGAGGAGAGAAGTCCATCACCAAACTCATAATGGGCACAAAAATGGAGCCCCCTGACAGCAGCGACAGACACAGACACAGGCTGAAGGGGCTGTGCGGCTGAGAAGCAACTGCTCTGCGAAAACGCGCGGAGAAGGCGTCGCGGAGCGAAGGAGAGACGGCTACTGAAGAGCAGCCAGAAATGAAGAGGCGGCAGGGAAGCGCGAGCGGCTTTTTCAAGCACCTAAAGCCGCATCCAGGAGGCGTGCAGCGCATCTCTACGCAGGGGTCTTGAGGATTGCAGCAAAACAGCAGCAGCAGCAGCACAGACGCGTGCTGCTGCGGCAACACCGCAAGAGACGTACCTCCAGTCCCTGCTGAGACAGCCGTTATGCAGGCGATCGCGATAATAAGAGTTCCCAAGATATCTCGCCACTGCCGCATATCCGCGAGCGACTTGTGATGGGGCTTGTTGTCTTCGAGCGAGCGCGAAATCTCGTCTACGGCCGAGAGGTGCCTCAAGGCGGCACTTCCACTCCACACAAGTGTTGGCACCCCCCCGCCGCCTTGCATGCTCGGCTGCAAAAAGCCTTTTCCCCTCAAATCTCTCGCCTCCCCAAAGAACGCGGAGAAAGCCTGCTCCGAATGCCCCCACTGAGCCTCACGGAGAAGCCCTTGCCCACGTGCTGTCGAAGGCAGACCACTCCATGACCACACGATGCTGCCAACGAGGAAAAGGCATGCAAGAAAAGAAACGACTGCTGCCCTCACCAAGTAGCTCCCACGGGCAGTCTTTGCACACACATACGGCTCCTCTGCCATCGATGCAAGGCTTCCTCGTGTTACTGCTGTTGCTGCATTGCTGCTGCTGCGGCTCATGCTGTAGCGGCTATCACCGCAGGCGCAAGCACCTAAGGCCTTCATTTGAAGGCTCGATGCGCAAAATCTCCTTTTGATACGCTGAAGGCGATTTCGATAAGATACAGGGCCCGACCGAGAGGGACAGAAAGATAGAGAGAAAGAAAGAGAAAGAAAGAAAAGTTATACTAGAGCACAGAACGGCCGGCAAGACTATAGAGACTGCATTCAGATCCTCGAATAGCTAACACTTGCGAGCTAGCAGAGCCACCGTGTTTTCTTCCGGTTGGCGCGTGGCTGTCTCCCTCTTCGTCCTCGTTGCCGTCAAGTCCTCCGTATTGTCTACGTCAGATTTCCGCAAAGAAGCATTGTTCAGTTCCTCTATATGAGCTCCCTCTTCTGCCAGCGTGCAATGCGTTGCGCTGGGGAAGCCACGTCCGCCTCCCGCCGTGCTTGCCCCCTTCCCGCGAGTTTGTTTACCCTTTCTCCGTCCTACCTCCAACCAGCCCGCTGAAGTTACGCCTGCAGCTTGCGAAGCGGGGAACTCCCGTGACCTTTCGCGACCAAACACGCAAGGATTCACGACGTTAGGGTGAGTAGAAGGACAGAAGAACAGAGTGAGGAAGACGTGCTTGGCAAGGGCAGCGACACCTCCGCGCTCTCTTCACGACCACTACCACGCTATGAGACTGCCAACCTATAGGTTAACTGATGCCACCGGAGGCGTCCGCCATCCTTCCATGTGCAAACAAGTTACTCGGGGGAAACTGACGTCCCTCAAGTTGCAGAAGAAGGAGTAGGGGACCGCCAGGATGCCGCGGGAGGGAGGAGAGCAGCGCGAACTGGCCCTGAGCCTCCTATAAGCCCCCCCTATATCGCAGAGGATGCACTGAAAATGACGCTGCAGTTCATGCTGACGGCAGCGGCTCGCCTGGAAGATCTCCCTCCCTGCGGCGAGCCTATGCCATGACTCTGCCCGCACGGCTGCGAGGCCGTCAGACAAAATGAGCATCCAGGAATGCGCAGTAGCACTGAAAGAACACAAAGGATGCAAAAGACCCAAAGTTCTTTAATGTTTCCCTTGAAATGCAGAAAAGGTGCCGGCGATCTGCGGACACCGCGCGCCAGAGGTCGCACAGGGCCCCCTTCCTTTCTCCTGAAGTAGTCCTGTGGTCATGAAGTTTCCTTAAGGCTTTGTGAAGCTTTTAGCTGATAAATTACGACACATCTTTAGCCATCAAGAATTGGGGGCAAGCCAGCGGTCCGCTGAGTCTCATGGCATCCGAGCAAGGGAGAAAGTGAGGGCGAACAAGGCAGGACAGCCAACCGCAGTTGTTTTAGCTTTTCCGTAAGGTGGTCGGCAATTCTCTTCGAACGCCATTCCTCTAATAGACTAGTATTCTCCTTAAATTGCGTATCATTTATTTGCAGGGATCTTGCAGAGAACCGCACCTAGCCTGTGAGACGCTCGCATTTCGTTGTGGCGGAAAGGTCTATTAAACACAGTACCCCCAAAGTACAAATCCCGCGAAGGGTTCATGCACCCGCCTCAGAGGACTTGAAGGGCCTGTTTCTAGTGGGATGTAGCAAGAAGACTGCCTGTTTTGCAATACCAAGAGCCTCAATGCGGGGGTTCGCCGTGACAATGCATACCGTAACATGAAAGGAGCTAGGCTAATTCTCTACGCATGTAGACACACTGCATGTCAGCCTGTGCGAGCTACTTCCTCTACGGCGCAAATTAGCAGCCTCTTGCAGCCTCCGGGTCCAGCATGCACCCTGGGAGACCCCTGTGAAGAGCGAATTTCAGAAGAACTTAGTTTCTCCACTCGGGGAGAAGGCCTAAATACACTCTGTAATTTAATGGACAGTCATCTAGATGTGGTGTCCTTCTAGAGAAGGTCACTCTTTTAGCTCCATGCCCTTCCGGCTCAGGTTGGTTAAAAAAAGGGGGAGAGAGCACCAGTATTTAGGGCTCAGCAACGCCTCCACACTTTCGACTCCACTAGTTTTTTCTAATAGGCATTGAAAAGGAGTCGACTGATCGGCTTGTCTGTTCCTGTATTCTGCTCATCGAAGATTACTATTAGCTCTATGCAAGTAGACGCAGTGTTGTGTGCTTTATGCACGAAGCTGTGAATACTTGGAGTGCTTAGAACGTGCAACCACGCGATTTGTAGCAACCTCTCTCCCCTTGTGGCGAGAACTCTGAAAGGGGAGAAACAGGAGATATTTGGGGGGAAACACCCAATGACCTTATTCTGCATTGACCCTGAAGTTTGGCGTTTCGCTACGGATGCTTTTGGTGGAGTGTTGCAGTTGGTAGCATCGCACTGTTCGTTGCCGCTGTTCTCCCCAATACACTGGTTGTGGATACAGCGAAAAATACGTTTCTCTGAAGCGAATATCTTTGCTCTGTCCATATGGTAGTTCAACACTTGGGTTTTGTTGGTAGCACAATACGAGAAAGTCCAGGGGCGACCACGTTTGAGAGCAGTACAACGGCTGTTGGCGCGACACAGGCAGAAATGAAAGATCTGGACGCACATTTACAACTGGTAGGAAGGCATGCTTCATAAGCCGATGAAATTTCTACAGATGGTTCGACGTGGGTGAGCCAACCGCAAAAGTGATGGCTGTAAGGAAGGGTAATTCCATGAAGAGCTCACCAGCCGGTTGAACATGTACCTTGCTTGGTGGCCCACAGACGGAGAGCAGCAAGCGCTCTCTGCGGCATAATTATTAAAGAGAGAATCAGTTCAATGATGACAAATCACGCAGAGGAAGTCGTCTGCCTGCAGGGATTACCGCAAGTTAAGCCTTAGTACACGTGCTGGCCCGTAGTTTTGCCGATACACGATTAACAACAGGCTTTGGGATCGTATAAAGGGCTACTGCAAGGGAACCAATCAATAGGTCTGTATTTTAAGATATATCAAACTTGGTTTCGCAAATGCCACGATGTAGATGGCTAGCTGCTTCATCAGTATTTCATTTCTAGTTTACAATAAGTATCGCATTAATGGGTTGCAAGAATTACAGTGACCTAGTGAGTAAACACTCACTCGTAGGGGCTTCCGCAAATGATGAATTACCTGGGGTGTGAGGAGCATATTTTTACAGTTTGTGCGCCTGCTGAAGAAAAGGAAAATCAAGGCCAGGATCTGAAGTCTTTGGGGGTATGGGTTGGGCTAGGCGGCTCCAACCTGCAGTCTTAAGTGAAACAAAAAAGAATGCCAGTGGGAACCTGCGCCAAGTAGCAACAGAGAGGCTCCCCCCCACCAATGCACCTGTTTTTCATTCGCGACACTAGCCAAGTAATCCGGAACTGCGAGCACATGCAGGGAGCCAACGAATAATGACGGTGACACAGGGTCTAGTGATAGCATGCTGCTGGGTGAGCAAGAAGGCACACCAAGGGAAACGGAAGGCCTTAATGTAGGGCGCAGGGCAGTGGGGGGACTATAGGGGATCAAGCCACAGTTTGAGACCCAAGAACTCAATTGTGCGGAGATAAAATTTCAGATTAATGACAAAACCCTGCTAGCCCTGCTTAAGATTGGATGTGAAAGGAACTGCTATCCGAAGATACGCAGAAGTGTAATCTGCATGCTCACACGTTAGCGCAGATCCAAAGACGCAGGTATGCTCAAGGGTGGCAGAACACAAGGATTTGCAAGGCTAAGGCAATCGCATGCTACTGTGAATCCGAATAAGGTCCTATAAACATGGTCCATAACTTCTATGTTGGATCTGGGCACCATGGCGAAATTATAGGCAGGCCAAGAGTGACCCACGCAGAGTGCGCATGTTGCCGCAGCTGCGTGCTGTGGAGGCTAATGTGCCAAATGACCCTAGTGACGACAAACTTTGGTACCCTTAACAAAGAGTATTCCATCTATGGTGAGCAGGGTAGAGTTGGTGCTTCAACAAGGTGACGCAGAGTCGTCATGCGGGCGGCTCAGCAAAGCGGTATTCTGGGCACGCATTTCGCCTTTCTGGCTAAGCAGCTGGCTTGTTAGTAGGATTTATGATCGAGCGTTTAGTCGAGAAACAGCATGCATGGGCAAACCTGCGCGGGCTCGCGGATGTGCTACATAATGACAAGCTGTCAGCAGGCTGGACACCTGCTTGTCATCCAGTGCATCATATTGAGCCAATCCCTGGGTCAGCCCCAATCTGTGTTTCGTGGTGGCCTAAAGTTATTGTAGCGTGAAGAAGAGCTATACCGGCAGGCGGATGACGTGTTGAATAAGGGTAAAGAGCAGGAGCCGGACAGCTCGTGTGGACCGATCCCGGTGTTTATGCTGAACAGGACAAAAGATGGCTTATGTTTGAGCATTGGGCTCCTAAACAGGCTCTTTGCGAAGCAGAATACCTAAAATCTGACGTAAACGTATTGCTTGGTAAGATACACGCACCAACAGTCCATTCGACATCTCACATTGCAGACGCTGTGGTACAAGTATCTGTCCATCCTGATGACAGGCACAAAACGGTCCTTTCACACTGGCATTGACGCATTCAAGTAAACCTGTATAGTTTCTCAAACTTGCTAATGCCCCAATTAAAGTGCGACAGGAAGTTAGCAGCGATTTTCTGAGTCCATCAAGGAGAGGCGAATGGTTGTTTATCCGGACTGCGTCGTAGTCTTCAGCGGATACGTTCACGAACATGTGCAGCGCCTACGTAGCGTGCTTTAGCTGTCATTGGACAAGCATCGGTTTTGGAGTGTAAAGAAGCTCAGATGTACACTTTTCGTGGGAACAGTTGTGCTTCCGTGGTGTAGGAAGTGAGCCGGGTCCGCCAAAAAATTGAAGCAGTCAAGACGCGACCTTTACGTTTATGTAGCCGCAAGAGTGCTGTGACGCCCCATGGACATACATCTAATTACCGAACTTTCATTTATGACTTTGCTAAAATCGCCGCTTTTTGATCAATATGTGCCAAAGATAATGCAGTGTATGACCCCGACAGGGGGATGCTGCTGCAGTAAGAACGTTCTTCGGCTACCTTACAGCTATCGTACTTGCGCTGCCCGATTGTAAGCGTCATTGCTTCCTACTCTATCCATTTGGACCTTTACTCTTCAATGAAATTAACGAAGAAATCTCATGACTTCGTATACCCTAGAACTGTTCGTCAGTTTTGGTGTCCCTGCAGTCGCACCTTTTCTGGCCATGAAGCATTTTATGGGCATAACCAACGCAATTAACGGCAGGCTCTTGTTTCGTCTCAGCAATTTGCTTTTCCTCAGCTCAGCACCTCGTGTTTGTAAGAATTCACGTTTCCCAACGTAACTGCATGAGCCTTATGACCCTTGCATTCATGCACCATCTACTATTCCCAAAATCCCGAGTGCAAAGCATTAAGCATAAGTTTTTTGAAAATGATCTTCTGTGGTTAAGAATCGAGGTGAGCCTCCTTTGATTGTATATTCTGACAGAGCTCTGCACTTTTCGTTTCGCATGAACCATATGATCCTGCTCTTTCGGGACACCATGAGATTTGCACTACGATGAACAGTTCTATCACGGTGATCCTGCTGGCCTGAGATGCAATCCGAGGCAGAAGAATATGAACTGCCATGCTTAGATTGTCAGCGCGTGCGTCCATGAACTGGCTTCTACTTGCAATGAGTGGGTAAGATGTTACGGGGTCAGTTACACTGAGGCACTTTCTACTAGATTAATTATACGCCATGTTCGCACATATTGTTTATTTCAAAGTAGCGTTAACCGGTACAACAAAATGCAATGTTGTGCTGAGTTGCAATAAATGCCATATGCAAGTAGCGGTGATCGCTTGGAGTACTCAGAGGGTGCACTTAGGCGCATCGTAGCAATGCGTTTTAGCTGATGTGGGGAACTCGGAGGAGCGCGGGCTGAGGGAGTGCGTTTGGAAAAATGCGTATTAGGTTTTTATCAAATGTACATGTAGCTTCGAGTTCGATGTCTTGTTTTGAGAGATTGTGCCTCTAACGCTTGTGGAACTCTAAGAGGGATTCCAAGGAGAAGGGCCATCATACAACAAAACAAATAAAGACGTGGACGGGTAGTAGGTGGAGGCATGTAATTAATAAGGCCTCCTTCTGGAAGCTTTGCTGCACGACCGGCTTCCTGAAAATGCACAAAGAATCCGCTTCATTTCAGATTGCACCCAGAGTGGCCCAGGGCCCTGACAAATCAGCAGAGTCATGTTTGGCATTCTATTACATTATAACAATCAAGAAAATTGAGCCAACTTCCCCAAGAGGGTGATAGCGCCTCCGCTCTCCACTGTACCGCCACAACAGCGGCGCTATCCCACACAAGGTACCCTTTCGCAGGGCGCTGTTTCCTTCGCTGCAGCATTGCATGTAGAGTATTCCTGTTATTTATGAGTGCTAGTGCAATGTATAAGGTTTCAAATTCCAGCGCTCAATTGTTTGTGCCACCGACAAAGGTGCTTTGAGCGCATAGCACAAAGGACTCAGCAAAACTGCAGGTAGGTGCGCTGCGTCTGTTCCTTCTGCTTAGCTCAGTGATCAGACATCCTATGGATATAGGCAACTCCGATAGGTCAAAGATTGGCTGATTTCCATTTCAGTAGCCGCTTCAAGGGGCCGTTCCGTCTCGGCGTATGGGAGACCAACCCCGATACAATGCCCACTAGAAAGAGAAGGGAATCCCGACAAAGCCACGACAGAAAGGAGTCCAAAAGCATCAGATAGGTACAAAACATTGTGAGAAGCCAGAGATCACATGGATTTATACGGAAATCGGTTCCTCTGTACGGGGGTGGTACCACACTCAGCAGTTCTGCGTGACGGCGGCCTTCAACAACGCTATTTTATGCCTGCGGTTATTTGGAACTTTAAAAATAATCAGCACCATTTTCAATATCATCGAAAAACCGCGATTTCACCGAAACTAGGCCAGTAAACGACCTCTAAATGCGACACTGGAACCCAGGGCCCTTGAATGAAAGCACCCACTATGTGCCGACTCGAGCAAAGGGGCAGAAGCGGACAGCAGCCACCGCAGCACTGATTCGAAAACATCCTCTTCGAGATTTGGCAATAATTGTGAACATCAAGGTCTTTGTTGCGCATTGATTGCGGGAGTCACTGAACCGCGGCGCCTTTCATGAGGGGTTTTTGAGGGTGTTCGGTTCCCACAAGCGGCATGTGGCCCTCTACGCAGGTTTCTTAGTTGTCTATCAGGTTTGCATCTGCCCATTGCACAGGGATTAGGAGCACAACTCTTAATAGCAGCGGAGGGTCCGCATGCAGTGGCAGCAGCAGGGTTCAATGCTCAGAGCTCCGGCCGTAACGTGAGAGCCTCTTTTTCTGCAACGGCTAGCCCCTCGCGCGGGTTCATGCCTGGCAGCAGTTACTGCGGGTGTATGGACTACCGCTTTTGCGAAGGCTGCGGCAGTAGGGGAACATGCGCGTTGAGATAAACAGGCAGCGTTAACAGAATGACATCTCTCCCCAAAGCCCCATCGCCAATGCCCACATTGGCAACAGGTGCCTTCATTACACCCTGCAGCAGCAGCAGTCGTGGTGCCTGCTACCCAAACATCAGCAGCCCTCATGAGCAGGAGCAGCAACAGCTGCCGCAAGAAGCACCTGCAGCTGCCGATACACCGCAGGGGCTGCGGCGCAGCCGGCGTCTGCAGCAGCTGGAAGCGGCAAGGCAGCAGCTGCAGCAGCTGCAGCAGCAGTGCCAGCATGATCAGCAGCAGCAGCAACAACAAGAACAACAAGAACAAGAACACATCAAGCAGGAGAAACTAATACCTTTGCAGGACGCGGGCTCACGTCATGGTGTCTCGTTGGAGCCACTGGATGCCACTGAAGTGCAGCAGCAGCAGCAGGTGCAACTGCGTCAACAGCAGCAACAGCGTGAACTGCAGCAGTGCTGGGCACAGCTGAATGGTCTCGAGCCGCAGCTGGAGGCGAGGCTTTGGTATCCGTCGCAGTATCCACACCGACCATCGCAGCGGCGACACCACGAAAGCCCTAGCTGCCGCCTTACGAGGCAGCAAGATACAGGCAACGAGCTACATCTCTCCGATCTCTCCGCACGCCGTACAGTAGTATCATCATCGTCAGCGGCTGTTGCTGCTATGCGGGAGCCGTGGGGGCTTCACACTGCACGGGGAGAGACAGCAGCAGCAGCAGGAGCTCCTGCTGCTCCTGCTGTCTCTCCCCGTGCGGTGGAGGCTGGCAGAAGAACACGGCTTAGCTGCACACTAACGCCGAAGGTGCACCGATCGCCAGTGGCAGAGTGTGATCGGCATTCTGCATCCCCCCTTGCCTTGCCTACTACGACAGTGGCATCAGAAGGAACCCGAGTCGTTCGTGGTGTCTCTACCGCCGCAGAAGCATCAACTCCATGGCTGCGCAGGGCCTCCCCCTCCACAAGAATACCAGGAGTACCTTCAGCTGCCTCCGCAGCGGTAGCATCAAGAGCCAATCTCCACTTTTCACTGACGTCCAGAGAGGACGTAGCGACGCCAGTGAGGCGCACTGTCACCTCGAGGGATTCTTCACCCTTGACGCGAAGGCTAAATCAAACTCCTGCGTGCAGAAACAGCAGCAGCAGAAGCAACCACAGCAATAGCAGCAGCAGCAATAGCAATAGCAGCAATAGCAATAGCAGCAACAGCAACAGCAGTGACAACAGCGAGCATCCCGACCAGGTCTGGCGTTGCGCTGGAAATGCCAGCTGGGGACGTGTGCCTAGTCTAGCTGAAGCAGCAACAACACAAGCAGGAGCTGTGCGAGAGGCGGGAGTGGAAGAAAAAGATGATGTTAAAGGCATCTTGGACCTGGCGAGCATGAGCACTTGCCACAGCAGGGAGCAGGCCACCTCGAGCTCCATGAAGAATAATTCTTGCTCCTCCATCGCGTCTAATGCAGATGGCATCAGCAAAAGCCGCAGCAGTAGCAGTGTTCAGAAAGTGGCGGCGAGAGCGGCCTTGCCAGCCGCATCAGCAGGAGGTTCTATGTCTTCATCTAGCACGAGTCAGCAGGCAGGAGCATCCCCCATCGCATCAGTTGTTGCAGCAGCAGCAGAGCGGCACGTGGTCTTCCACACGAGCAGCAGCAGCAGCAGCAGCAGCAGCAGCTTAACCACGGCCTCTGAAAGAGACTTTATATGTTTGCTGCAGCAGCAGAACCTCATGCTTCAGCAGCACCTCCACCAGCAGCGACGAGAGCGGCGGCATTTACTGCTGCTGCTGTGCTGCTGCCTGGGGTTGCTGCTGTTGACGAGCACTACTGCCTTCTGGGTAGGCCCGTGCTTGAAGCTGTTAAGCGCTAGAAAGTTCGAACTTAGAAAGCTCAGAGTCATCAACCGCCAGGGAGAACAGGTAGAAATTGTTTCTCTAGAGCCTGTGTTGTCTGCATGCATGCAGCCGTTCAAGGGGGAGGCCGGTTGGCAACAGCGTCGGTATTATGAAGATGTTCTTGTACAGTCCCGCGCTGCTGCTGCTGCAGCATCCAGCGGTACGACGACGACATACTACTCGGATGAAGCGTCTTTTTCGGGAGAAGAAGGTCCTTATTCTGGATGGGGTGTCGAGACGGTGAACAGCAGCAGCGGCAGCAGGAGCTGGAGCAGGCCGCATCCCAAGAGCTGGCGTTCAAGGACCCCTAAGGAGATGCCTCTGAAGTGCCTATTTCTCCTCTTCTGGACTTGTGTCTGTTTCGTGTAATGCGCAACCCTGAATCTGCTAAGCCTCAAGGCAAACCTAAAGGAGCGAGCTTACAAGGCTTGAGTTGGTCCTGCTGCTGGCTGGTTCGCCAATCGTGCGAAAAAACACGCCACCACGAAAGGCCACGGGCTGATTGCACCCCCAGATTGATGCACGTATTCAAATGCGTGATTAAAGCGTCCTTTTAATGTATATATATATATATGTGTGTGTCTTGCACTGTATATGCAGCATGTGGACAGGAGCTCTTATCTTGGAATGGATCGTCGTAAGGCCCCTGCTGTGGCTCCTGCAGACCGTAGCCCTTCTCCTGCTGCGCTTCTCCGTTGCCTTGGTAGTGCTGGTGACGATTTTGGCGGGCATAGGCTCGTTGCTTGCCTCGTCGATTAGCAGCAACAGCAACAGCGGCAGGGAGGGCACCCAGAAGGGCGGAGGGCCTATCTGCGGAAGCGGCGATGGCGTCGACTTGCTCAGACACTGCGAAAGCAGCAATGGTGGCTGCGCCAGCCGCAGAGCAAGCATCGGAGAAGGCGCAAAGATGTCATGTGAGGTTGCGGGATTTTCAGCCCGTCGCACAATATATGGGGTCGTCTCCTCGGCTGAGATGGTGACCTCTTTCGTCCGCCGACTCCGCTGGAGAGGCAGCTAGCTGCCCCGACTTGCAGCAGCAAGGACCTTTTTTAAGTATGAACACTGCCCCCTTTTGTCTATCAGCAAGGCTGGTCTGCTCACGCAAGGAGCTTCTGGAAAACGAGGCTACCCCGTGGCCTGCCAGGCCTCGTCAGCCCTGGGGTTGCTGTGAGTCACAATCGTCAGTGTATGCTCTCAAGCCATCGCATTTGCATGCGGCTGCCAATATCGGAAATGGCGTCTCTAGAGTGTGTCTCTATAGATATGCACGTATATATATGGCTGCGACTCCACTGCAGGTTTGCATGCTGTTTTGCTGCAGCTCCTGGGTAGGCCTCCAGAAAGGAGGGAGGGCGAAGGGCGAGGCCTGCCCCAATGCCCCCTCATCCCGTGACACACGTCGCTCCCTACTCGTTAGCAGGCACTAGGTTGAAAGGTAGTGAAGGTGACACAAAGAAGGCGACAGTCGCCAGTAGTGTAAAAGCAAAAAACCGGCACAGGAAGCCTCGGGCGATGTGCAGTGGCGCTGATCCGCGCCCGCCGAAGTAGGACTACGGCAAAGAGGCAGGCCCCTCTTGCTGAGCTCAAACCGGCTGTATGTACACCGTAGCCGCCCTAACAGCCTCTTGGGCAAGGAGGCTCCAGGCCTTCCCGCGGCACCCTGCTGCCACGAGGCTTCACGCCGCCCCTCCGGGAAGAAAATACTCAAGGCCGCATGAAACTCTTCTGATCTGCATAAACGCCTCCTCCCCAACTCGTACAGTCCTAGGAGACTCTAGAAAGGGCATTCGCCGTTCGCTCGCTAGTCTCGCATGGTGTGGTATGCTCTTTATTTCTGGGCTCTTTGAGCCGATATTGGACATTTGGAGGCTGCATGCATGGCCTTTGGTAAGAGAGTTATATTTCCGGTGGCTGGGCGTGCCTGCGTTTATCCGGCTTCATTCAAAGGATATTTTTCCTTGAGCTCCTTGATCTTGTGCTCAAGCGTTATGCCATGAGGGAAACGTGGGAAGGAGGCCCCGTAGGCCTCTCGTTGAGCTATCCAAAGCGTCGCATTTGCGATTTCCCCTTTTGTCAAATGCTCAACTGCAATGCCTTGGGAAGATAAGAAGGCAAACATCTGCTGGCGAGGCCGGTAGGCTGGATTCAGCCCCCGAACGTACAAAGCCCAAAATGATTGTGGAGGATTTTTGCTGCTTGTCCTAGGCTTATCGGAATATGGAGAAACCGCTTCGGAAGGAGCACTCGCATCAGAGGACGCAGAGGAGGGGCCGGATGAGCAGGATGTCGACAGAAGGCGGTGCCAGAGGGCAGCATTAGAGGAAGGGGGCCCCTGGGGAAAAAAATGGCAAAGGCCTCCTGAGGAAATACGGCAGCACCGCGAAAGCGGCACGGCCATGTTGGTTCTCCCTGGTTAGGCCTTCAATAGTGCCTATGCTGTGTCTGGGGGTAACAAGCTAGGGTGGATTGCCGGCGTGACTTGAACTTCCCTTATAGCGGCCAGCTCTGCACTGTCGTTTCCGCTTAGGCCTGTTTCCAGTCTGTATTCAGAGGCAAGGAGAGTAGTCAGGGGTCTCTCGAGAAGAGGAGTCCTTTGTGACGCGCACAAAACTGCAACCTGCACGGTAGCACCTCCCCAAGTCGCCCTGCATGAGACGCAGGGGGGATAGTGAGCGAAAATTTTGGCCTCCAGCAATAGGATAAGACAGAAAAGAACAAAGCATCAAATAATGGCGAGTTTCAAGCGATTCATGGAGTTTGCTACCGGATTCTAGCGTCTTCGTGAGGGTCCTTGACAAAGACAGTTTTCCGCTGCATACAATGCAGCCAAAGAGAACTAGCTGATTCGCGCCAATGCCTTTTCGGGCGACCTAATTTAAAGGAAATCTTGGTGGCTAGCTGGACGCCACGCAGGTAGTGCTTTCCGATAAGTGAGACTCGATGACGCAAGGGCCCCCCGGTGGACAGGGGCCCCCCTGCTGCGCCTCTGTCCACGCACTTCGTGGATTGAACGGCCATCCCGCCATGCGGCAGTGTTTAAGCCAAACCTTTCGAGCTCCTTAAGCATTCCTGGGATTGAGCCGCCTAAGAAGTACAGCGTCGGCGGTTTGTGGCAGATCCGCATAAGCCATGGAGTCTAGAACCCCAATTTGCTATGAAGTGCGAAGTCTATGGCCCAGAAGAAAATCTGTTTGACAGGAAATGAGAATGCGTTATCACAAACCGTAGATCGTAGATCTCAGCCTGTGGCCCCAAAGTACGTGGGGGCACATCGCCATATTTGAAAAGCCTCGTTTCCAGAAGCGCACCGCTGGCATGCATACGCCTTCTAGAGGCCGTTTTCAGGGAGCTGCCACTACGTTTTTGAGAAACAAGTCGCGTGCGGCACCAAAGGAATCTGTTGCATAAGGACCCGCCAAAACGCGCCATAGAAGGCCTCTCGTTCTGGGCAACGTTCTCGGCACGACAAGCCATATGGGGATAAGCTCCACTATTTGGCACTTTCTACTACACTAAATTGGGATTGAACAAACTTTGGCGAAGCGCGTTGCCTCATTGGCCTCTGTGTTCGCACATCTTCTAGTGCAGATTACTGCTAGCTCGATACGACACGTCGGAATGTTGAGCGCAAGTACACTAGATGATATTCGAGATTCGCTGTTGTAAATGCTCCAAGTGTTTAGAGAGAGTGTAGCGAAAGCGCCCTGAAGTAGGCCCGCTCCAAGGGGTAAACGGGAGCCCTTAACACGCACTCGAGAGCTATTTCGCAAACTAGGAGTAAGCCTAGAGTTGCAAGGGTCTCATTTAAAAAATCTCAAATGTAGTCCTACGTGCGTGGCCCTGCAGGAAGAATCTTGGCTCTAAGGGAGGCACTTGCGTTTTGCAGAGCTTCTTCTGCGCCTGCAGGCAGCATTTAGCAGAGCATGCACTCAAAGCCTAAAACGAATGGCCTTTCCCAGATTCGTACGGCAAGCGAACACAACCGCGCTGCAGGCCAATCCAAAAGCGCACAGCCTTAGTTACTCACCGTTTTGCAATGCCTCTAGGAGGCCCTTGAATTCCTCGAGGCCTTCTGCCGGTGGCTCCCGTTCGTCTTGCCGCTCCAGTAAAGCACTTACCGCATTAAGGGCCCAGTCCTCTTGAGGGAATTCCAGCCACACCCCAGTGTGCTGCAGACACGCCGCAAAAAGTCAATGTGCATCATAAGGTGTAGGCCCCCCCCTTCAACCCCGCCCCTGCAGGCGTTGTCTGAAACCTTAAACTCCTGACACACAGGCGCTTTTTGTTAAAACTCGATCTGCCGACCTTTAGAAGCAAAAGGTTCGCTGCGGCATGGCAAAGCTTCCTGTGCTGCTGCAAATCTGCTGCTGTCGCTGCTGCTTCTGTCCAAGTCGCACGCAGCTCTGACAGCAGCTGCTTAGTCCGTTTCTTGTCCGGAGGACGAAGCTGCAGCGAAACAGCAAGCGGAGCAGGAGCAAAAGCAGAGGTACATGCTGCATGCACCCGCGTGTCTCCAGTCAATTGAACAGCACTTGCACCAAATCCCGTTCCAACAGGAAGGCCATGACTGGATGCATACGCGACACAACACGCTGTCCAGACACGCAGCGCCCGCATCAGGAAACTCACAAATACATGGCATTCGCTGGCGGCTTCTTTGATGTCCACTCCAATAGTTGTGACGTCCCTCCGCGCGGCTGCTGCTGCTGCCTGCTGCAGCGCAGAGGCAGCACTGCTGCTGCTCTCATCTCCGCTGGCGCTCAGCCGAGAGAGCAGCTGCTGGCGATTGTTGCTCGACACCTCCACCACCTCGCCTAAGCAGCAGCAGCATCGTCCAAACAAGGAGTAGCAGCCATAGCAACACCCTCGCTCGCGCGGCTAAGAAAACAAAGGGTCCACCGATAACGCTACCGTGTTGGGCCTAGTACTGCGCAGCCCACTGAGCCTCTTACCGGTTTCATGCATAAACGCTGCCAGGATGAGCTTGTCTAGGATCTCAAACACAGTCGATTTGAAAAGATGGGCAGCCAAAGGATTCTGCTTCTGCTGCAGCTGCTGCTGCTGTGACGGCGGGCATAAGGCCTGCGACCCGCAGTAGCAGCAGCAGCAGCACGACTACTACCATCACCAGCCACAAAACAAAAAAGGCTCTACAAAATTCATGCAACTCCCCGGAGAACAGCTCTTTTACCCCACGTGGCCTTTTGCCCTTACAATTCGCGCTAGCCCTGCTGCTCACCTCCACAGCCTTAAGCCCAAGGCACAAAACCTCGTAGCGTCGCTGCAGCAGCTCCCCCTCTGCCGCAGCCTTCTGCTGCTTTTGCTGCAGGACGGAGGCCTGACATGAAGCAAGAGCTGCAGCGAATGCCTGAAAAAAGCGTGCTCAACCGCAACAGGAGCAACGTCTTCTTCCCCTTCTCCCCGTTTTAAATCTCCGCCAGCGCCGCTGCCTCTCTGACGGCCTCTCTATTCTTGTCTTTTTCTTTGCGCCCTCCTTTCTTAGACAAACCGAATGGACAAGCACGCCTCTAATATCGGCGGGCACCTTCGCGCGCATCCATCTCACTTCAGCGCGTTCTCCCCTAAGTTGTTCTCGCTACCGCTGCAGCTTCCATCCACCCCTCTCAACGCAGTGCCCCTTCTCGTACCCTCCCTCTCCGCTCAACACATGACATCTCACCTGTTCAATCCGAAGTTGGAGCATAGGCCAAACCGCCTCCTGCGCAACCTCAGGGATCGCATTCCATGACGCGACCCCTGCGGCATCAACTTCGGCGCGTGTCACAGCCTCGCATTGCTGCTGCTTCTGTTGGTGCAAAGTGCCTGAAGAGCATGCCTTCTGCCGAGCTCCTAAGGGAATCGTCCGTGCAGCACAGGGTTTAACAGAAGGATATTTTTTCAAGGGGGTACAGGACTCGGGTAGTGGTAAGGCGCAGACGAGCATGATGGCACAAGAGTTGCGATCACCCTCTTACACCAGCAGCACGAAACGGCCCGAATACTGAGAAGAATGAAAGAGCCTCGTGAACAAAGCCTCGTGAGAAAAAGAGCACCTGAAGGCTTGGCGCCTCTTCCCTTCTTCCCCTTTCTCTTGCAGTCGCCTTCCCAGTCGCTCTCCTGCACACGCAGTGGGTGGTGCAGAGAGCCGAGAGCTATAGCAACACAAACGGCGGGCCTCATTCGCTAGAGGCACCCGCAGCAACCAAGCAGCCTCTCTCCGTCTCGTCCCCTCTCGCCCCTTCCCCCTCCTCCCCTTGAGGCAGAGCCACACGGCAGACATGGACAGGAGACACGGGCAGCACAAGCCGCTTACGGCGGGTGCAGCTGCTGCTTTTGCAGTCTGCCGTTGCTGCGGCTGCTGCTGCTGCTGCGTGGCATTCGCGGCGCTCTTGCAGGGGCCTGTGCTGCGAGCTGCTGTCTCGGCAGCTTTCGTCTGCAGGAGAGGCTCTAATGCCTCCAAGATATTCTTGAGGCACGTCTCGGAGACGATGATCCCCCCTTCGAGGACGTGAGCCTCAGGCCTCCCTTTGGAGGGGCCCTGATGAGAAACTCCCAATGACGCGAGTAACAAAGAGGCCACTGCGGAAATATCTGCGTCTGAAAGTGCGGAAGGCAACAAAGGGGTCAGCTCGATCCAGATGCCCTCCACGAGGGCCTCCTGAGGAACATGACAGAAAACCGTTGCAACTTTTTAAATCGATAAAAGAGAGGCATTCCACGCGCAGACTGCCGCCGCTACCTGACGAAGGCACTTCTCTCGCTAGTGAGGCAACCAAGCGGGAGGATGAAAGTAAGGCAGTGACCAAACGCAAAGGCAGCCGGCCGGCCACACACATCTTCATCACGATCTTCATCACCAGCAAGAGCAAGAACAAGAGCAATAGCAATAGGAAGAGCAATAGCAATAGGAAGAGCAATAGCAAGAACAAGAGCAATAGCAATAGGAAGAGCAATAGCAATAGGAAGAGAAATAGCAAGAACAAGAGCAGTAGCAATAGGAAGAGCAATAGCAAGAACAAGAGCAATAGCAATAAAAAGAGCAATGAAAATAGGAAGAGCAATAGCAATAGGAAGAGCAATAGCAATAGGAAGAGAAATAGCAAGAACAAGAGCAAGAGAGCACCGTGCGCACCTCCAACGCGGCTTTAGGCGAGACAAGGAGCGCTTCTTTGATGAAGAGAGAGCTGAGCTCTGTTGCATCCTTGAAGTGCCTTTGCGCGAAGATCTTCCACTCTGCCCCCAGTACTTGCTGCAGCAGGGAGAAGGTGACGAAGCCGTTCGCTTTCCAGAATCCCACGATCTGATAAACATGCAGCAGGTACAGCACAAAGGCGCTTCAAACGGTGCTAAGCCCGCTGCTACGATTTTCCCTTCCTCCCTCCTAACGCTCTCCTGCCCGCAGTCGCTTGGGTACAGGGCGAGGCGTGCAAAGCGGTTTAAAGCCTCTATAGCTCGGGCAGAGCGGAGAGAGTCTAGATAGGCTGCTTCTGCCATTTCGCAAGGGGGCTTCTTAGCAGCTGGATATTCATGCGGCAGCGAAAGCAGCAGCACCCGCATCTACCTGCGCCTCCTGCGCATCTGTGAAGGCCCGAGGAGAAAAAACTTTTCCGTGCAGCTGGCCGCACGCCGCTCCCGTCTCTACCAAGTCGTTTGCCGCTTGAATGAGGCTCTCCAATGGCAAGCTGAGGCAGATGCATCGACCCCAAAGCGTATGCCCCCAGCTGTTCCGTAAGGCGAGACCAAGGAGCCAAGAGAGCACGGCTACGAAAGACACACCTGCGCTCTTTCGACAGCGAAAGAGTGCGGCAAGACAGCCAAGTACTTGTGGCGAGTGGGGACCCCATGTGAAAGGATGCATGCATCTACAGCGTGGCAGAGGGTGAGGCGGAGGGCGCTTCCAAAGAAGAGGGAGGGCTTCGAGCAGCAGGATCGAGAGAGGAGGCCGACGGCTCCTGGGAAAGGGCAGGTAAAGGGGCCAAGCAAAGAACCTGGCAAAAATAGAGCTTCTTGAGCAAGACACCAGCACACAGCGCACGCTGCAGAGCAGTTAAAGATACATTCAAGCGCACTTGAGAGCCTGCGCAGCATCCACCAAGGAGAGCGGCGCTGACGCCCCGAGAAGAAGTCCTCGTGCCGCTGCTGCTACGTGTGCAGCGAAGGCAGCCGTATCCAGGGAGTTGGGCTGCAGAGACACTGCAACAACAGCAGCAGCAGAAGAAGAGGCCTTGCGCGCGAGAATGCATGGATCGGGAAGGCGTGCCGTGTGGAGAAGGAATGCGGCGCACAAAAGTCTTCCTGCGAATGCCCCTGCCAGTGCGACTGCAAGGGGCCGTCGGAAGAAACGTGCCGAGCGAGGAAACGCTGCATAGTTTTTCGAATGGAGGGAGAGACAGGCGCACAGGGAGGAGGGGGAGGGGGGAGAAGAAAGGGAAGACAGCAGCAAGGAACCCTTAGGCCTATGAGTCGACAGAGAGGGAGTCACACTGGCACGAGTTCACACGCACACAGGGAGGCAGATGGGCAGCAAGAAGGCAGAGAGGGGGCACGAGCGGCACATACAACGAGCTAGATCGGTAGATCCACCAGCAGGCAGGCATGGAGAATGCGTGTCGGCGAGAAAAGCTAGAAGGGAGTCTCGCGGAAGGAAGCAGGCCATGTTTGATCTGCGTAAGCGTGCCTTTTACAAGTGAACTACACGACGGTTGTGGGGAACAGCGGCATAGGGTGAGTCAAAGAGGGAGGGTTGGTTGCAGCGTTGCACCGGCTAAGCGCGGATTGATCCTCGGAGGAATTTCTTGGCGAATGAAATGCAGGGGTAAGGCGTAACGCTGAGCCACTAAGGAAAGCAGAACGCGGCCATGCTCCTGCAGCAGCGACAGAAGTTCGAGGCAGGCAAACGACGCCATAAGAGCCTTTTAGCGGCGCCACAGGGAAAGAGTGTTCGCAGAGCGGCTCGTGCGTCGACTGCCTCGTTCCGTCTAAGGAAGGGGGCGCGACTACGGCAAGCATGAAGGCTGCTGAAGAAGACAGCACGCTGCAAGCTCGTCCTTCAGAACGCATGTAAGGGTGTGGTCCTTATGAACGTGCATGCAGGCTCATGAATGTGCATGCAGACTCATGAATGTGCATGCAGACTCATGAATGTGCATGCAGACTCATGAATGTGCATGCAGGCTCATGAACGTGCATGCAGACTCATGAGTGTGCATGCAGGCTGTGCAACCTAAAGTGCAGCAGGTAGGCCTCTTTCTCCCTGCTGCGATAACGACACTCCCCCCGCTGTGTCTGTGAGGACGCCGTCGCTACCTCGAGGGTTTCTTCGACTTCCGCCGCAAGGTTCGACAAATAGCTGCTGCTTATCAAGTCGCCGTCTAGAATGCACAGTCCTGCGCTCTTCCTGCAGAGTTCTTCGGCTTTCAGTCCAACAGCCTCGCTGCTTAGGCTTAAAGACTGCGCAGCCTCGGCGACATTGAGTCTACCCTTCTGAACGCCATCACCAAACGCAGACTCTCTAGCCAAGAAAGAAGGAATCGTGTTGCGAACACCCAGCGGCTTGAGGAGAGGGCGAAAGAAGAGGGAGAAGGGACGGGGAGGGGCGAGGAGGGCGACAGCGCGAAGCTCCCCCCGAAATTCGAGGCTTGGAAGAAAGAGGCTGCTTGCCTTCTGAGTTATCAAGAGCCTGAGCTCCTGTTCCAGCCTCTCCGGCGTGATAAACTCCTTGCCATTGCTGCTGGGCAGCACACGCAGGAGCTGCTGCTGCAGCAACAGCTGCAAGACATCCAGACACGTACTCTCGCTGATCCGAACCTGCGGAGGAGCCGACTGCAACGCCAAAAACTGAGCTTTCAAGGCCTCCAGATCTGCCATTCTCACTACAGCGAGCCGAAGAAGCGTAATTCGTACAAGACCATCCCGTGACGCGCAGCAAGCTGCCAGCGCCGGATCGACCGCAAGCGCAGCTGCTGCGGCAAATTAGGAGGAGCCTCCAGGTTTACGCGCGACGCATAAGACACTTCCCGGGGTATTCTACATCTGGCAACTTCTACATTCCCGAACAAGGCATGTCGGCAGCGCATGCAGACCGCTCTCGCGCCGGAGGCGCTCATGAGGGGGGCCTCGCGAGATCGTTACGGCCAAGGACAGGTAGTGACGTTGCGAATACTCTTTGAAGGGAATGAGGAAAATATATATATACATCTCGTTATAATAAGCGTTGAATGGTGTTTTACGGCCTAAAGGAGCGACAATACCACTGGTGGTTCTCCTTTTAGCAGTCTCCGCGGCTCGCTGCTCGGCAGCAGCGCTGGTAGCATAGGCGGCTCTCTATGGCTGGCGACGCCTATTGCGCTCTGTGCCCCCTGAAAGGGTGGTGTATTGATTGCGGCTTGCTTCGCATGTATATATGCTACCTATTATGAGTCCACGACACGAAAGAGGAGCGAGAGGGGGGTAAAGGAGATATGCCTACACATAGGATACATACCCTCCAAGGCCTGGCTGTCACCTCGCCCGAGTGCTACGTGCAGGTAGCTGCTCCCTTAAGACCCCGTCTCCGAGTATTTCTGTTTGTCTCCCTTGCTGCCCTCATCAGGACCTTTTTCATGGTGTTCATGACTAAAAGATCCATGAACTAGGCCTAAAAGGACCCTCTTTTTGCTGTCTTCAACGTGTGGTCCAGGTAGGTCGGAGGCGTACATCTGTACACGCACATACATACGTATATCTGTACATATATCTACATACATATTCATACACATACATATAGGCGCATGCGTACATATATCTATGCATCTTCCTGTCTAGGGATAGCTGCATGTTATGGCTCTCGAATTACTTTTTGCCATTACAATCTGTCTTACCATTATCTATTGTGCCAGTTCTGTCTTCTGGGTGTCCGCGCCGTGTTTTCCAGCGCGCGTGCTTGCTGCTTCACATTTCCGTGGCTTCGTCCTGCAGAGTATGGAGGCCCCTCAAGGAGTACTTGAGGGGCCTTCCTCCTACGTAGGGGCATGGACCCTCCCAGAAGGTCCCTTAGTCGGCGGAAACTCACTTGAACTCGACGCGGAAGAGCGGTGCAGACGCGTTGATGCCGCGTCAGAAAGCGGTAAGCCTTGGAAAGAGGCGGAGCGAGGGAGGGCAGAGGGGCAGGGAGCCACTGCGTTTCAGACTTATATGCGCAGGTGGAAAGAACCTAAATAGCCAAGGGTAGAGACACACGAAGTACAGCAAGGGCAGAAGTACACAAAGAGACAGAATGAACGCGGGAAGGGAAGGGGAGGGTGCCCTTCAGCAAAAGGGAGGAACAGAGGGGAAGGGCAGTAGTGGGTGTGCAAGGAGCAAACATATGGAGAAACAGACAGTGTGGGGGCGAGAAAAGCGTGGTTCAAGCAGGGAGGACACCCTACCTACGGAGTTCTTGTTAAAGATAGCCAGACACAAGTACCTAATGGCACAGGATGTGGATGTATATACACTCCAAGAGGCAAATAGACTTGCACGGAGGGAAAGCTCTGGGTGGCCGCCGCCATTACATGAGAAAAGGTATTTGGTCCAATAATCTAAGCTTCCTTGTTTTTGAAACGATTAGTTGATGCAGGTGTTGCTCTTTTATGTCGTGAGACTGCTTCAGGAAGCAGCGGCAAAGTGGCGCTTCGGCACATCATCAAGCAACTGCAGCAGGAAGGGCCCATTGAGGCTGCCGCAGCTCTCCTCCAGTACAAGCCTTATGGAGAGAAGATTCTAAAGCTGATCCTGCACAGCCTTATTGGTAAGGTCCTCAAGGGAGGTTTTGCGGGAGGAGGTAATGCGAAGGTTCCGATCGCTCTGTCTTTCGTAGAGGAGACACCGCTGGGGGCATCCCCTCGTAGAGCCAAGGGGGGCACCAATACCAGCAGGGCCTACTGAGAGGCTGATGAATAGACACCTGATTTTCTAGAACAAATTGAACCCTTTGATTAGCATGCTTGCACTGGCTGCTCCTGCTACGGCTGTGATGCAGGCGCCAGCTTTCTCCTAAGTCTCGCCGTAGTGCTGTCACTTCAGATACCCCACGGGCTGACGGCTTCTGTTGCAGCAGACAACAGATTTTTGTTGTTACTAAGGGCCCCCCTGGCCGGCATCCTCTTGAGCCTGTCTCTCTGGCTCCTTAGGGAAGCCTTTGCTGCCTACCGTACGGTGTTGTTGGTTCGAATAAAGGCTGCTGCCACCATGATTCCTGCCTTTAAGGCTCCTAAAGCTTCTGCCTCTGCCAGTCCTGTAGGCTTAGTGGTGCGATTGCGACTCCTGCCGGCGCAACTGCTGGTGCTGTCCCTCTCACAGAGCGCGAAAACGTTTATCGGTATGGCGTGGATTCCTACGGCATGCAGCAGCAGCACCAGCAGCGAGCAGCGAACTATGTGTTCTGCCTCTGTGCCTCTGAGGCGTGGGTGTTGCTGCTCCTGTGGATGGGAGGCTGCTACACGCCTGCGGCAGCCCTCGTCGCTGTGCCTGCGGCTGCTGCCTTCCGGAGCTTCATCAAAAACTCCCTAGCGGACTGGGGTAGTCGAGCTTCCAGCAGCAGTGGCGAGAGGAGCGATGAATACGTCCTTGCGGGAGATGACACCAGCGACAGCTGTGGCAGCTACAAAGATATGGTGAAACCCTTCTTCCGTGCAGCGCTGAAAGCCCCAAACTTCTATGGACTGCCCGATGGTGAGGCTTCCTGCATGCCGTGGAAGCGCCTTTCTTCCTTGTGCCTTTAATGGTGTTGGGGGAAAGGGGGCAGGAGGGGGTTGCTGCTTGCTTGCTTGCAGCCTTCGTACGCTGCGAAACCAGTGCTTTGGGGGGGAGGGCGCTACACAGGCTCAGCAGGAGAGGTTCTTTGAATTCGTGTGTCAGCTCACCGAAACAGTGCACCTTTGCATCTGTAGTAGGTGCTAGAGGCGTAAGGACGCCGACGCCGCTGCTGCTGCTGCTGCTTCTGCGTATCTGCTCCAGTCGGATGCCTTGACGGCCTCCCCTCTCTGCCAACGACGACTCGGGATACGCCAGAAGCAAGTCAAAGCGGTGGAGCCGAGACACGCAACGTGATCGGTAATGCGCTGCGCCTCCTGCGACAACGAACGGGCAATCAACGGCAGCCACTTCTGCGGGCGCTTCTGTTGCACGTGTGCATGTGGGTGGATGGTCTCGTTTTCTGCTCGTTATGCGGCCTGCTCCTGCTACCACTGCTGCATCTGCGAGCCGCTGTGTGGCTTCTTGGCGGCAGTCCCTTCATTGCTGCAGCCTGCTGTTGCTTCGCGGCTGCATCAGCAGCAATAGATAAGGCCTTGCTCGCCCTCGTCAAGCAGGACGAGGGCGAGTGGGAAATGGGAGAAGCTCTGAACCAACGGCTCCTGGACGGCTCCTTAAGGCCCCTCCGTACCGAACTAGGAGGCTTCTGCCTCGACAATGGTGACGGCAGAGCACCCCATTCCCACATGGTGCCATGCTCGCACGCGCCTTCAGACGCTCAGCAGCCTGTCTGCTATGAAGCTCATGCAGCAGAGTCCACTCGGAAGGGGACGGCCGCGAACGATTCACTCATTCAACAGGAAAGCCTTCCAGCTACCGGGGTTCTTAAGGCCAATCTCGGGGAAGCAACAGCAACAGGAATCAGCAAACGCGCTGCACAGGACGCCAGCAGCAGCTCCGCATGGGACCAGAACGCTTTCCCTTTGTATGAAGCCGCAGCACGTACACCACAGCAACAGGGAGAGCAGCAGATGCAGCAGAATCAGAGGCTGCGGGAACGACAGTACCAGCAGGCACCGGAGGGCGAGCAGGGACAGGAACCGCTGGAGCAGGAGCAGCAGCACCAGCAGCAGCAGCACCAGCAGCAGCAGCATCGTAGCGATGAGAACAACCTTGATACAGAAGACGAGACGGACGAGCAAACAACAGAGACCACCTCTGACTCGAGGGAGAAGACGCCCGTGTCTGTTCTGCGGAACGAAGTCGTAAGGTAGGCGCAAGTAGGCGTACAGCCTTATCTATGCGCAAGGCTATAGCATTTTGAAGCCAGGACAGCTTCACGTTCCAGTCGCAGGGCACACGAGCAGTGCGCATTAGGTGCTGTCTAACCAGCTAGCTCGACAGGTGCAAAGGCCAAGGCGGCTACCGCGGCTACCGCGGCTACCGCGGCAGCAGCAAGCGCACATGCAGAAGCCGTTGATGGCCTTCTAGAGGGGCGCTGATCGCTAGTTTTCGGAAAGAATCTGAGTTCGATCAATGAGCTTGGGCTTCGCACGGACTGCACTAAGAACCTTGGTGCAAACGTGAGGGCACTACGGAGCGCTAAAGAGGACCGCGTTAGCTTTCTGGCCGTTTATTCGCTTGTACTGGCGCTGGCCCTTAGTATGGAAAGCGATGTTGCAAAAACGCATGCGAATTCCCTGCCGCGAGGGAACCCCAGTCTCTCGATGGTGCAGAGATTCAGGCCTTCGTAATCAGCGCACCAGTAGACTCCTTAAACGATGACATAGTCTGCAGTGCCACAGTGCGTAGAGGAGCAGGCGCTCTTGTTTGAGGAGGGGGGTGCAAAGGGCCACCTGTTGACTGTGAGAGCTAGGGGGAGGGTGAGAAGCGGGGACCCGGGTGGAAGAGGCGTGAGGAAGCGCGTGTGCGTCTCGCACGCAGTATTCGGCTAGGAATACAGTGGATGCATCGCCTTGCGGCTGCGCAACAGCAAGCGGCCCAGAGAGAGGCACAGAGAGAGACTCGGAGATAGTGCTTGGGAAGAGCTACGGAGAGGTGTAAGCAAGAGCAACGAGATTCCCCTTCTTTTGACAAACGCGGAAGCGATCCTGTCGCCAGTCACGACAGAAGTGAAATGAAAAGCGGAACCGGGAAAGGCAGACGGGGTCGTGTGAGGGGCGGTGACAGAAACGGGCATAGGCAAGGGAGGGCGGACCTGGCAGCAGTAGGGTTGGCAGTAGCGTAGAAGGCAGAGAGGTAGCTACTGCAGGCGCGATGCTGGCTACCATGGGTTCTGATAACAGCAGCATCAGCAGCAGCAGCTTTGATTAGGGGGAAGCAGCAGAGCCACACGTTAAGATCTCCTCCCGCGAACGTGGCCGTGTATAACAAGATGCACACAAGTATCCCGTGGTTATTTTTCTGTAGACTCTCGGGGGACTCTCTCGAGTTGGCGTATTATGCCAGTTTTGGAAGCAGAAAACTACGGCTATGGGAGAGGGGAGCATCAATGCTGCAGCGCGTAGGGTCACCTCTGCGTTCTCTGGGCCCTTCGCGGAGGATGTCGGCGTAAGAAGTTCGGATCCTGCTCACTAGATCGTTCTCAATGCAACTCTCCTGCTTGTAAAGCGACCGCTATTTCATTGTTTAGGAAGCTGCATAAGCCTGAGGGAAAGACACACGCGGAGGCCCCCTGCAAGGGATCGATGAGACTCGAGCAAGCAGAGCATTCAGGTTGGTAAGAAGCCCCCAAGCACCGAGGAGGCCCCCTCCCCCTCCCCCTCCGCCCCCTCTACATAATCCCCCACACCTATACCCTCTGAACAAAGAAAAATCAATACCCATGCCGGCTATTGAAACGAATCTGTTGCTCATTGGGCGAAGAGGGCCCCCCTCCCCGAACGCAGCACAGCTGTACAGGGCCTCGATTGCCAAATCCAGAACAGAGGCCTGTGGAGATTAGGCTGTGTCTTGAACCCAGACAGATCGTCCGTTTCTCTCTCTATGTTATGGAGAATGTATCGAGAATGCCACGAGCAAGAGGTTTCCGAGGTTCCCTGTATGATGAGCTAGCACGTCATCCATGAAACGGCTCGCTGGACCAACCCCCTCGCAGGTACGGCATGGGGTTCACGAGGGGGCTGGCTCCTCGAGAGGGCCCTACAGGCGGCGGAGAGAGGCGCCTGCGGTTCAGCCTGAATCTCCTGCTGCCGACTCTGCTCGTGTTACTGTGCGGTTGCCCACGCGAGGCAGCATTGCTCCCAAGCGCAGAGCCGAGGAGGCCTAGCCAAAGACACCTGCAAGGAATTCATGCCTGGAAATCCAGGTGCTCGTCTGCCTTTGCTGCCCCCCCGGCTTGGACCGCCTCAAGAAGTGCAGTCGCATGTGGGCAGTGCTCCCTGGAAGGAGCAGGGGGCCTCGCGTGCTTCTCTCAGACACGAAGGCGCTCGACTACAGCGCTTGGCTCAGAAATGGCTTCTCAGGGCGGGCAAAAGCGGCATCAGCAGGAAGAGGAAGCGGGGAAGCGCTTCCACACTCCAGTGATGCTCGAAGAGTGTCTAGACGTGCTCTTCGGGGAGGACCTATCCAAGCCACTCTTGGGGGAACTGTCGTCCTCAGAAAAGCCGAAGCAGCAGGCTCCCCAACCCCGACTTTTTATCGACTGCACAGTGGGTGGCGGTGGGCACGCTGCATGCATCGTGAAGAGACTGACAGCACAGGTATGTACTGCCGATTGTCTCGTCAGGGGCCTCCTGGGAATCTGTCCACGCGTCCTTTTACGGAAAAGCCTACGGGATTGACGGAGGGGCAGCACTCCTGACGGCAAGCGCCATCGACAAACATATGTGACTGGCCTTCTTAAACGCAGCTCTAAAGCAGCTCTGAAGCGGCTGTGAAGCAGCTCTAAAGCAGCTCTGAAGCTGCTGTAAAGCAGCCCTAAAGCAGCTCTGAAGCAGCTGTCAAGCAGCTGTCAAGCAGCTCCGAAGCAGCTGTCAAGCAGCTGTCAAGCAGCTCTGAAGCTGCTGTAAAGCAGCTGTGCTTTTCTGTTTTTCCTACGCTGTGTTTTGCAGGACACACTTGTGTGCTGCGATATTGATGGCGAGGCTATTGCAGCTGCACACGCTCGTCTGTGTTCTCTGTGTGGCGGCGGGCCTGAAGGGGCCTGCTGCGAAGCCTCTTATAAGGAGAAGAAGTCTACGGGGGCCCTCGTGGCTAAAAGGGGCCCTGGTATCCACTTTGTGCAGGGAAACTTCAAGTTTTTGAGAGAGCTTGTTAACACAGCTTTGGGCAAGGACACCAATGGATCGGTTGACGGGTACTACGGCTTATCCTTATGCCGCCGCTCCTGCTGGCAAGGATGCATGCATGCGTCTCTCACGCTGTATACGCCTGAAAATACAGGGGAAACGCATCGCCTTGTTTCTGCCGCTGCTGCACTTTCTGTCCGCCTCAGGATCATAGCGGACTTGGGGGTGTCCTCTCACCAACTGGATGCCGTTCAGCGCGGATTCAGCCACAGACTGAGGGGCCCCCTGCTGCTGCAGTTCTACCACCCCCTACCCATGGACACCAGCAGGTGCAGCCAGGTGTACGTACACCAAAAGTCGGTGGAGAACGCCATCGCTCAGCCTTCCCCTGCAGAGGTGAGAACACGAGCTTGCTCTTCACATATATAATGTGTATGTAGTATGTGTTGTATGGGTCTATGTGTTGTGTTGTGTGAGTATATGTGCTATTTTATATATATATGTACATTCAGAAGACAGCACATATATGTAGGCAGGTAGGTGTGTAGGCATGTGTACGTAGCTGTATGTATATGTATATATATGTATGCATGTCTGTGTAGGTGTGTTTGTGTATGTAGCTGTGTGTGTGTGCGCACTCGCTGATGTAAATGTATGTACATGCATGTAAATGTACGTGTATGAGCTGTGTGATGTGCGCGTCTGCCTGTGCTTGTTTGTGTCTGTCTGTGCTTGTGTGTCTGTGCGTGCTACTCTCTGTTATAAATCTTTCGTGCAGTTGGATCGATGTCTTCACTGCTGCTCTTGTGAACTTTGCTACAGTTGTTGCAGCACGCGAGCGGACCACTGCTGCAGCGAATCCTGTGGCAGCTGGGGGAGGAGCCCTTAGCGAAGCGCATTGCTGCAGCCCTTCTTCGCCAGCAGCAGCAGCAGCAGCAACAGCAACAGCAGGAAATGCGTATTCCGGATCTCGTAGATGTAGTGTGCAGCTGCGCACCATTGGTCCCTCACTCGCAAAAGAAGCGCATCCTCTCGCGCGTGTTTCAAGTGAGCTGCGTCTTAAAAAGCCTCATTTACGCTTGTTTGAGCCCAGTTCGCTGCTAGGCGCTTCGCTTCCCCACTTTGGCGGGCACCGCCGACCTTACGAAATAACGCCTTTTCCATGTTTTTCTTTGCACTTCGAGGGTGTATAGTCGTACTGTTCCTGTACGCGCACGCCTCTCGCCGTCAGTCCCTGCGACCTCGCCTGCTGATCACATCTAGATTTTGTGCTGTCACAGTGATGCGCCGCTGCGGCAGTGCTTCTTGTTGGACGCGCTGTCTGTCAAGTCTCATAGCGAAGCAGACGGCTTCTCGCCATCGTTCTACCCCGGTACCTTTGTGTGCTGTCAACCCTCCCTCGCTGCCCTTGTCCACTGCCACAGGCTCTACGGATGTACATTAATGAGGAGACGCTGGCGCTGCAGCAGCTGCTGACGCAAGCGCTGCAGCTCCTGCTGCCTGGAGGGCGCCTGGTGGTGCTCTCCTTCCACTCCATCGAGGACAAGATTGTAGCAACTGCCTTCCAAAAAAACAAATTGCAGGGGGCATCAGCAACGGCAGCAGCCGCCCAGCCGCTAGTAGACGATCCTCTTAGGAAGGGCTGGAAGGGACCGAGGGCGATTGGTGACGATGCGTCTGGCTACCGACAAGCGGCATGGCGACCCCTTTTTAAGGCAAGCTGGTGCTGCTGCTGCCACTTTTCCGCATCATCAGCCAGAAGTCTATCTACCTATCCCCTGCATCTGCTTGCCTGTCGGTGGCTCCCCTCGATACGCCGCTTGCGCCGCTCAGTTCTGCGAGCTCCTCCGGCTTCGCGCCACTACGTCTTTCGATGAATTTCAAGCGCTTATCTCTGTCTCAGCCTTTGCGTCTGCAACAGGCACCTTGCGGGGTGCCCATGCCCGGCTAAGCCGCCTTCCGTGCTGCTAGAGAAGACGCTTCTTTTTCTCCCTACTCTGACTACGCTCTCTCGGCTCTGCCACCATTTCCTGCGCTCGCCTCATGTGCCTCCCCTCAGAATTACTTGAAACCAACTGCAGAAGAGGTCGCCAGAAACTCGAGGTACGTGTGAAGCCCCAAGTCGCAGATCTTGTGTCGAGACACCTGCACGCAGCCTGTACTAGAGGCTCGGTGCACCTCTTTCATGCCAGGCCTCTCAACAGCCTCTTCTTGCGGCTGCTGCAGAGCTAGGAGCGCCAGACTTAGAGCTGCAGCGAAGGTCGTCTCGCCAGTGGAGCGACAGCAGCGGCAAGCGCAGCAGAATACCATGACGGCGCTCGCTCGCACAGCAAGAAAAACCGACTGGAACCCCCTTCCTCCTCTCCTTCCCCCGCCTCCCGAAATCACCAGCAGCAAGAATAATACCGCCCAGAAAACGCTTTTGCCGGCAGCAGCTCGGACTACATATATATATATGCGGCAGCGCTAAGTGCTAACCGCATGCAGCAAAAGTCTTGCAAAGCGAGCAACACGCGAAGATGTCGCTTGGCGTATCAGGATTCTGTCAGCCCCCATCAGCCTTTGCGGCCGCAACAGCAGAAGCCCACGCGGTCACCTCAACCGCAGGAACACCCCTTTATGCCCGGATCAAACAGCTTTCTTGTGTGCTAACACACAGACCCCAAGCCTTGCGAGGCAAGAATCCTCGTCATCGCCGTTGCTCAATCAGCGGATGAAGTGACGCAGTGGCTCTAATAGCGACTCGAAGGCCTCCCGTAGCCAATACAGGATGCTGCAGTACCCGAAAGCTAACAGATCTAGCGTTCGGCAGTCGTTTGCTCCTCTTTGATAACTGCTGCATGCACGTCCGATGTACATATATACATATATATATATGTATATGTATATATGTATATGTATATATGTATCGCCTTAACCGCCTCTTTTGCAGACGCGAACGTGCAGCAGACCCTGTAATGGGGCCGTGTAGTGGAGCTTGCCGCAGAGCATATTTTTTTCTCATCAGACGTCACTTTCGTTCATCAGCGGATCTGTCAGCCGCGCGCCTGCTGCAAGGCGTTCAGCGGCTTCTAACCGCCTGGCTCTGAAGCTGCGGGGTCCCCTAAAAAGAAAGCGGAGATGCCGCCTTAGCAGCTCTAGTGAAGAGACATCGGATGCATATGCGTGGTAACCAGAATCTCCAGACAGAGCAGGCGGCCTGAAGTACCTGCAGCACGGAGGTCGCCGAGTGGTCACACAGAGAAACACACAAATATACACACGTGAGCATTATATATGTGAATACTGTACGTAATATGCAGGCATTAAAATCCTCGCTTTCAGGATGTTTTAGGCTGCCACGCTTTGGTTGCAGATGGCACAAGAGCCGCGTCTCGCGTGAGCTGGGCAGTGTGTAGGACGCTCTGCATGCGGCAGATGCTCCGACATGCTCGCGAGTTGGCGTGCTGCTTGGGATAAAAATGGATAATGAGCATGTGAGTGCTTGGAGGAGCTACCTGAGGGTTGAGGCCGTATGGATAACGAGCACGGAGCTGAGCGCCATGAGGGCAGCGGCGATGGGAGGCGAGATGAGGAGGGGGGAACCTGGTATTAGCAGCAGCAATCCGCATGCTGCAGGGAGGCCAAGAAGGTTAAAGCCACATGCCCAAAGCAGGCAAGCAATTGTTGTGCGCCTTAGCGCTGCCGCCAGCTCCAAGAAACAGATTACACCGCGTAGGCTGCAGAGAGGAAGAAACACAGAAGGAAGCACTCGAACCACGCGTGGGGAGAAAGGGCCCTCAACTGCTGCTGAGCAACCAGTTCTACTGCGCTCGGCAGTTGTACTCTCCACACATCTAATATATATATATGTATATATATGTATACACATACATATACACACACACACATAGTGCTGTGAGGAAGCTAAGTGTGAGTGTCTCTGCCGGGGAAGGCACGAGATCGAGAGAAGCACCAGGAGAGGCTCATGCCAACCCCGAGCGGTGTATGCATGCAGGGAACTGACAAATACATGCACAAGGCATTTGCACCACTAAAGACGCAGGCATACACCACCCCATACACCCCACGCACGGTGGAACGACATAGGCGTGCAGAAATAAATAAAAAAATATACATACAGAATACCCGTTCAGAGAGCATTTGAGACACAAGACACGCCATGCACCACAGACCCTAGGAAAAGGCCATTGCGGTCCCCTTCTTGAGGATCTTTCGTGGCAGCTAAATCGGCATTGCGAAGTTGAGGGCTGTTTGGGAAAAAACCTACTCATTGCTAACCACGACTACAGAGGCACTGTTTACAGCGAGCGCTGCGCCAGCTCCCACAGCGAAAGAGAGATCTCCTGCAGCTAAAGCAGGCGAGTCATTGACTCCATCCCCCATGATCCCCACGCTACCGTTTCCCCTGTCTGCAGCACGCCGCACACACGAGGTGGCTTGAAAGGCAGAGCCTGTGGCAGTCGTGTGCAGCTCCCGTTGCGCTTCCTCTACGCGTGGCGTACAGCTATAGCAGCAATAGCAATAGCAACAGCAGTAAACGCAATAGCAATAGCAGCAGTAACCGCAATAGCAACAGCAGCAGCAGCAATAGCACTAGCAACACCAACAGCAGCAGCAACAGCAATAGCAGCAGCAGTAACAGCAACGAAAGCAACAGCAACAGTAACAGCAACAGCAGCATCCTACCCTGCTGCTGCTGCCTAAGCAGCGTGATGAGGGCAGCCTTTTGTTTCGGGAGAACCTCAGCAACTACCTTATCCGGTTCGACTCCAACGAATGCAGCGGCAGCTGCAGAGGCAGCTGCAGAATCTCCTGAACAAACCCACACTGAGACGCCTCTCTGCTTGAGAGCATCCACCACTGAGGCAGCCTCCGGTTGTAGAGCGTCACGCAGGGCGATACAGCCTGCAGCACACAAAGAGAAAGACACGAAAGAAACGGATAAAAAGCATGCAAAACGGAGGGGCAGGTACACCATCGTCACATGCACGCAGGTGCAGGTAAAATTCCCACACAAAACGTGGAGCTTTCTTTGAAAGTGCAGCTCCCCAACACATGCCGCAAACTGAATAAAGAAAGCAGCTTAACACGAACATCCGAAAGAAAGGCAGACGAAACGGAGGAAAACAGACGTTTTGCAAATCCTACTCTCCCCCCCAACAGACAAACAGACAGACAGACACAGACAGGTAGGTAGGCATGTAGTAGTGTGCCCTGCAAAAAGCCTTTTAAAGCGCCGCTACGGTTGGACTCTTTCCCCTGCATCTCCTTTTCGCCATCCTCTTCATGAAACTCCGCTTTATTCGATCCCATCTCCCTCGTCCTTCACCCAGAAAGTGCTACGTGTAATGTACCCAAGACTACGCCTGCCGTCTGCAGCAAAATGACAGTGCTGCCGAGGCGCTGCCACTCCGACACCCACTCCTGCAAACACACACTGCACAGTACAGCTGTACATACGGTAGACGGCGTTGTTAGGTGGAAGTACTTTGCCAGCAAAGAACAAACAGCATCCTTGAGAGACGCGTCGGTACGTAAGGCAGTAGCATACACATAGATACACGTACATACACATACATGCACATACACACACATAGATACACATACACATAGATACACATACATATATACACACTACTTGAACGGAGGCAGCAAAAGAATACTGAGCAAAGCGTTTTGCGGCTTTTCCCAGCCGCAAGCCTCCCCCTTCTCCCTTCTTTATTTCCCCGAAACAGGGGAGCGGCAGCAGCAGCGGCGACGCAGAGAAGGCAAAGAAGGACGTGGAAGCGGATACGGAGTGCGAAGAATTCGAAGGCACACGTGAAAAGCCCGTAAGAAAAAAGTACACAAAATAGAAAGAGACAAGAGGAGAAACAGACAACCACCCATCCCCCCTCTCCCCCCCCATAAACACACACATCCACATACATACACACATGCATACCAACGATCCCCATGGTACTTTTTGCACACCTGTAACTCAGGCTGCAGCAGAGGTGCTGCTCCGTCGACGCTTTCCGAGACGCAGCCGCAATTGGGACCGTCAACTTTGCATTTGCAGGGAGCACATGAGCAGCCGACGCCACTGCATGTAGGCTGCTGCTGCTGCTGCCGCGCTGCAGCAGCAGCAGACACCTTCAGTTCAACCGCATCCACAGAGCAACAGAGACCTCGTCCAGGGATGCTCATAAATTTCTCAGGCGCTCTCAGAGGCGGCACACCTGCAGAGACAGCAGCAAAAACAACAAGGCACTGCACCAACAAGATCGCAACCAGCCTTCACAGACTCGGCAGGCTGTGCAGGCACAGAGCTGGTTGCAGAGGGCTTCCCCCATCCACAGACACATACACATGTATGTATATATGTTCACATACATACAGACACATATACATATATATATATATATATATACATACATATACACACATACATACACATACAAATGTGTATATACACACGTACATACACACATACATACACACATATATATATATATACATACATACAGACACATATACATATATACATACATATATACGCACACACATACACACACACACATATATATATATATATACATACATACACATACATACACACATATATATACATATATACACATACATACAGACACGTAAACACATATATATACACACATACACACACACATACACATACACACACATACACACACATACATGCACACATATACATACATATACACACATATACATACATATACACACATACACATACACCAGGAAACCTTCCGTCATAACACACGGAGGCAAACAGCAGCGGGCAGACGAAGAAAACACTTTCTCCAGCACTGCTCCCAAGAAACAGCCGCCAACACACCCTCAATCTGCGAGACAGTATTCACAACGGCCCTGCCAATTGGATGCTCGCTATTCAGCTCAGCAACGCCGAGTAGCCACCAAAAGAAAACTGCACTGTCCTCTTGCAGCTGCAGGTGCTGCTGCAATTCCACGTGCTGCAACTGCTGCTGTTGCTGCTGCTGTTGTTGCTGTTGTTGTTGCTGTTGTTGCTGTTGTTGCTGCAATTGGGGTGAAGCCTCCAGAGAGTCCTCCGGCGAGAGGGGGATCCAGTCGATGAGCGGTGAGGGGCGTTTAGTCAGATACTGCTCGCTTTCTTGTTTCTGCTGCTGCTGTTGTTGGACTTGCAGGCGGTGACGCAACTGCTGCGCTTCCTCCGGCAGCCTCTGAAATGCTCCAATCGCCATTGCGGCACGAACTATCTCAAAAGCCCCTGTGCAAAATTACCCATAGACACCCATAGGTCAGCATGCACACATACGTAAGTATGTGTGCATGAACACACGGACACATACACACACACATACACATACACACATACATACATACACACATACATACATACATACATACACCCATGCACATACGACTCGCATTCAGCTTTTGGTGTGCTGCTTAATGCTCGGAAAAGGCGATAATTTCGCTTTTTGCGCGGCTTTGCTGCGGGGGAGCAAAGCCTTTTGCACGCCGAGAAGCGCCTTGAAAAGAAAGCTATACATCCAATTCGAAGTTCGGTGGGTTCAAGGGTTTAGCAAGCGAACAGCCGCGATTTCAGCAGGAGGCAAGGGGAAAGGGGGAGGAAGAAAGAAAATATCAAGCGAGCAAAGAGGCCTTACCCGTAGTAAGAGTACCTGTCTTGTCAAAGACAAACGTCTTCAAGCGAAGCGCAGACTCGAAGGCTGCCGCATCGCGAACGAGGAGTCCATAGCGTGAAGCAACACCACTGCAAACTAACTGCGCCGTCGGAGCAGCAAGACCTTCAGTAAACAAGAAACATGGAAGAAAAGATGCGCAACATGCGTACACATGCACACATACACACACACACATACATAGACATACATGAATGCATGCATATACAAAACACATACAAACGGAAAGTGCAGGTGGGAAAGCTGCATGGGCAAACGGCACAGCCGTAAGTCGTGTTCCTATACATGTATTTATGTACATATATACATATATATATATATATGTGTATATATATGTGTATATATATGTGTATATATATGTGTATATATATATGTGTATATACAAGCGCAGAAAGCTGGCAAAGATCGACAGTCCTGCAGCTGCTGCTTGCGTTTCAAGATCGATACGTGTCTACACCCACGTTACAGCCACACAGCGGCGCTTTTTTGCCAACACACGCATGTCACGGCTATGTATGGAAGCGAAAAAAATAAATTTTATTATTTCACATCCCTGCTCGCGTGTATAGTATGTGTATGTATGTGTGCGCAGGCAGTGGAGGAGAGGTTCTTCGATATCCCGAGGGGCAAACCACCACATGCTATTTGTGCAGCGTAAGACTCGACAAGAAGCCTGTTCCTCTCTCCCGAGATTTGACGCTAGTTATTCATCACAACCCTCTCCCCTGCTCTCCGCTAAGCTTTTTTTCCTACGACCCCCTAAGAAAAACCCTACGAAGCGACTTTGCAGCATCTCGTTGAGTGCGCCGTTCTTACCAAGAGCACACGGGCATGCGATGGCGAGGACAGACACCGCAAACTGCAGGGCTAAAAGAATTCGAGCAGTAGTGGGATTTCCCTCGACTGTCTCTCTCGGGAGGTGTAAGAACGGCAAAGGGGACACTAATCCAGCAAGCAACAAGTACAGCCAACAACTGAAAGTCACGGCAGAGAGAAGGAGAACTCCAGGCACAAACCAGCTGAGCGTAATCGCAGCAGCAGCACAAACTGAAGCCATCAAGGCTAGCAGCGCACTGCACATATTTCCACGGAAGCAAGCATGACGCGTTGCAGTCAGTTGCAAATGGCATGTGCAGCACCCGCGCGGCAGGCTTTCCCCACACGAGACACAGCAGAATCTCGGCAGACAGCAGCTGCTGAGAATTTGTAGCTGCTCTACTGAGTCGAGAGCCTATCGGCAGCGGTGAGAGCGACTCGCATGCAGCAGCCGAGGAATAAGGGCATTTGCCAGAAGTTGGTGGAGGGAGAGCGACTAAAAAGAGAGAGAAAGAAAGCGAGAACGAGAGAGAGACACAGAGAGAGAGACGTACGTGGCGACCTTATCAACGAGTTGCTGCGCATGTGGCTTGCTGCTCTCCGATTCTTCCACCAAGCGCAGCACTTGACCAAGAGCAGAGCCGCTGCCAAATTCGTGCAGCTGCATGAGAAGAGCTGCACCCTCCTCAGCAGCAACAACAGCAGCAGCAGCAGCCGCCGCTGCTGCCGACTGCCGACGGCGACTCTTGTCTTTTTTACCCCGGGGGGAGTCGCTGACACTTGATAGCTCCAGCGCTGTGTTCGAGACTGTCGAAGTTGCTGCTGATGCAGCCGCTCCAACAACCAGACAGCCCCCCAATATCGCATCTCCGCATCCCTTAGACACTGGTCTGCTCTCCCCAGTAAGCAAAGACTCACTCACCAGCACGACTTCCTGCACAGTGCGCCAACAGAAGCCATAGCAGCAGCAGCTCCGTCCTTTTGAGAATGCTGGCTTTCTAAATAATCCCCTCTTCTCTCCCCCCTGTGCAGAAGAGGGGGCCAAAAAGAACGCAAAAGGCCGTGCAAAAACTCCACAAGGATCATCACTCACGAAGAAGTAACACACCAGATCCCCTACAAGGTGAGCCGAAGCTGCAGGCAGGCTTCCCCACGGCTGCAGCTGTAAATACCAGCCATGCTCAGACACTCCGGCAGCTCAGCCCTCCACAGAGGCAGGTGCAGGGAACGTTTGTGGGTATGCATGCAAATTTAGGAAAAAAAGAAGCAACAGCACTGCTGCCATATCCCCACTCCTAGGCCCCCCCTATCCCCCCTCCCCCTCTCCCTCCCCCCCAGTTTCCCACGAATTCTCGAAACACGAATTCTCAAAACTGAACAACCAACCTTATTGAGCTGCAGCCCATCTGCAGGGACTGCTGCCCCCAAAGGAACTCTTGCGATATCGCCAACATGCAAGAGCTCCACAGGAAGATACACTGGAGGCAGGCTTGCGAGAGCAGCAACTTGCTGCTGCGTAAGCCTTTGAGCCGTGAAGGCAGCAGCAGAAGCAGCAGAAGCAGCGGGAGCAGCAGGAAAGGCCACTGTAGGTGCGAGAAAGGGCGAAGCCTTTGCTGTTGCCAAGGCAGCGGCAGCTGCGATAGCCGTACAAGGAGGGTTTAAATCCCCCTTTTCTGCTGCTTCAGCAGCAGATGCTGCTGCAGCTGCTGCCGCCGTAGCATCTGCCAGAAAGGCGGCAGTTCGAGGTCTTGCTGCTGTCAGACGTTCTGCGGCAGCAAATGCGCGCCGTTGCGCTTTTTTTTCAAGCAACTTTCCCAGCAGAAGCACCGAGATGAGGACTGCGGCAGTGTCGTAAAACGTAGGGGGATCCATGTGGGGGTTTCTACTACTCCTGCTGCTGCTGCCAGCGCTGCTGCCAGTGCTGCCGCTGTAAATGGTGAGGAAGACAGTGAGCACAGACACGAACAGCGAATACATGAAGGAGATGTTCGTTGCAACAGACATGAGGACATACATATCCGCCGTTCCCCGCCGGAGGGCAGCCAAGGCTCCCTGGTGTATAGACACCCCAGCAACGTATACCACAAAGGCAGAGAGGAGGGCCACCAGGAGCAGCAAATACGACAGTCCGGGAAGAAACGATTCAGCGAGCTGCAAAACACCTCACACGCCGTCACACCAGCAGCAGAAAAATGGCAGGCATATCGCGGCAGCGTAAAAACAGGCACCAGAAAGGAAAGAGAGGAGGAAGCAGGTGAGTTGCAACATGTATATACATATATCAATATATGTATGAAGATATATCTGTATGGCGATATATCTGTATGGCGATATACACATATATGTACATATACAGAGAGTGAGTGAAAGCCCGCCGTGCAAACATGAAAGACGTGTGTGTGTTGTTGCTGCACAGGGGGGTTCTTGTCGCTCGTGTATTCAAAGAAAGCACACGAGTGCAGCTTGGGAGTGAGCGGAGCGCTGCAAAGACGGCAACAGGCATTTTTTTTTTCTCTCTCTCTCTGTCTCTCTCTCGTTATGGCCCCGCTTTCTGCCAGACGATGATCGCACCAAGAGTGGAAGGTAGTGGCTTGGAATAATCATTGTGACGAGGACGATGAGTGCCGTGGGGAGTGTAGCGGCAAGAACTCGCCGCTTTTGAAGCTGCAGCGCCGTAGCTGCGGCTGCAGCCTGTCCAAACATCGCTTCCCCCCCTGGGCACCAGCGAATGAGCCATCCGCTGCAGCTACACAGGTGCAGGAGCTGACGTGCTCCTAGTCTCTTGTATGCATACACAACCCTAAGACAAGGGCCTCTTGAAGGCACGCCAGAAACACCCCCCAGGGCAGTCGCCACAGACACGACTCCCGGTACAGAGAGGAGAAACGTCTTGAACGCTTCGCACCAGGCGCTCCACTCCTGGTGGCTTCCTACAGGAAAGTCTTCGGAGGCAGCCGTCCACGCTTCCGCGTTTCTAGCTAGACTCTGCGATGCATCCGCGTATCCTGCTGCTCTTGCTGCTGCAGCGGCTGCAGGACTGACCCGAGCAAGCATGCGAGACGCTGCATCTGCGCCGTGGCTAGCTACTGCCAGCACTGCTGCCATATCCACTCTGACACTCCCCTGACGTGTCACGTCTGCAGGGCTAATGTGCAACACAGTAGTGGCCTCTAGCTCCCCGACAGCAGGCACTGTTTCTCCTGCTGCTGCAGCTGCAGCTGCAGCTGCTGCGCCTCCGCAAGGCTCGTGCTGCTGCTTGTAGTAATCCGAGAGCAATAAGGCCTTATACCCCAAGTCAGTGAGGTGCCGTTGCAGCGCATCTGCAGTTAGCGCGCTGCTGCTGGCGAGTGAAACCTCCTCCGCCTCTACGCCTCCAGGGGCCGGCACAGAGTACTCAATAGTCGCTCGCTCGAGCAGCAAAGACACCGCAGCTCTCGAGACACCCGGGATGTGCGTAAGATGCGTTTCAATAGTCCGCACGCACGAGGCGCAGCTCATTCCTAAAAAAAGAAAAACGCCAAAAATCAAAAAATAAGTCAAACCAAAGACTGTCTTGCGCCGTACGGCAGAGCCGTCGCGTAGGCCACGTGGCGGCAAGCCCAAGACACACACACCAACACACGCATGTACATACACACAAACATTGATATATATATATATACACACAAACATTGATATACACACATACACACAAACATGGACATGTACATACACAAACACTGATATACACACAAACATGGACATACACACAAACATGTACATACACATACAAACACGGACATACATACACACGAACATGGACATACACATACAAACATGGACACACACACTTACACAAAGACAAAGACACACATTACGATGCAAGCGCTACAGCCGCAGCCATCACTGACCCTGAATTTGAAAGGTTGCAACTTTTAGTCGCATCTGCGGGTGTTCGTGTGTCAAAGCGTCGCAGCGCTGGGGAGCATCAGGAGGCCCATGGGAAGAAGAAGTTCGCCTCCGCAAGTCAACTTTATCGATCGAGAAGGCATTCAGAATTTTCTGCGTGCTGTCAGACGCTTCAGTCTCACCCTCTCGCAGGGAGCTAGCGGTAAACCCCAGCTCTTCCAGAGACGCTATCAGAGACTCCTCAGTTACCTGCATGCTCGCAAATGCGCGCGATCCCAGCAAAGTCTGTTTGTGCCTCTACCCCCCCCCCCCGTTTCTCGCCTCATTCGCGGCGCAGGCGGGCAGTGCAGTGTCCAACGGAGGAGCTGCAACGCCAGCCATCAAGTGTACGTACCTCCGGAGCGCAGTAAACAGAGACCTTATGCTCATCCAAGGCTACACGCGCCGAATAGACCCCCTCACGCTGCCCAAGTGCCTTTTCGATGGTGTCCACGCACCCGCCACACGTTATTCCCTCCACTCGCAGCACCACAAAATGCGTCATGCTTGGTAACTGTGTTACTGCTCAGGACTACTGGGAAGGAACGGCGGGGAGAGGCAGCGGGCAAGAAAGGTGGGACCTGCGAACCTGCACACGGAGTGTTCTCGGCTGTATATCCACTCCCGTGCACCGCGAAACAGGACGACAGCAAAGCCTATTAAAGGAAGCCTGGCGCGGGTGCCTCATAGGTGTTTCCCACTATATGCGCGGCAAATGTGGCAGAAAATCCCGACCTCTACAGAGCAGGCGATCTGCGCATGAGGAAGAAGAATACACGTGCACGCGCGCGCGAGAAAAATATGTCCCGCCGAAAGCGGCTCTTCTTCTGCCTTTCTAGTAGCCAAGAGACACGTTCTCATGTTTTATATGGGAAATTTCGGTGAAGTGCGCGAGAAAGAAGGCGAAGGCTGCAAGTCCTCGCAGCGGCGGCTGCTGAGCGGACACCCTCTATACACACCACACCGCCTCACAGCCACTGTTGCACTGCTCTGTTCAACAGCGCAGCGGCGCAGTCGAGCCGCTGTTGCACTAATGCAAGATCGCTTCTACTCCAGGCAACAGAAAGAAAATGTCAATAAGAATTTTTCTCTAGTTTTTCTAGCAGCAGAACACCGAGATCTAGACCCCGAACCACGCGCTTCCATCATGGACGCGTGCCCCACTGCAGCCGGCAGTCTGCAAGTCGTGTACCCTAAACCAGTGTTAACGCAACAGGCATCCTGCTGTTTGTCTTTGTTTTTCTGTTTAAAATCAACGCCCAGATATGCACACATGGCGCTTCGAGAGAAGTGCCGCTAGCAGCAACGTCTGAACCACAATTCAACACTAGCCTAGCAAAAAGACAGCCCCTCACCAGGTGCCTCGAACCCCAGCAGGCGGAAACAGTTCAATGCACAGTCCACAGCTCTTGAAACACAGAAGATAACCCGCTTCCTTTCTCCAAACCGGCTCCGTTACTTCAACTCGCAGAGCCTTCCTTGCTCATGGACCAGCACATGGAAAGGACTGCGCCGGGAGAGGCTTGCTGACCGCCTCTCTTCTTGCCTTAGGCTCCCTTCTCCGCCCTTATCAGCATCGGCGCTTTCACTGGCGGAGAATAATCCTCCATCCAGAATTACGGCAACCACACGAATAGACGACCTCCAAGGCAGTAGCTGCAGCAGCGGCTACTGCTGCCCCCAGGCGTCGATGCAGGCTGCATACTTGCATGGACTCTCTCCGTTCATTCTACGCCGTGCACTTTTGAAATGCTGTACTTCCAATGAATAACGAAAGGCTTGGAGGTCTTGAAGGGCCTCTTCGGGAGTTCCTGCGACACTGGAATCTCTACAAGAAGACACAGCAAGAAATCAACGAATTCGTGCAGAGCCTCGTTAGCCAGGTTGCTGACCGCAAGTGAGCTGCAAGCAGTCATATCCCACCCCTCCCCATGTGCGCACTTGTGGAAATCCGATCTCGGAGGTGCTGGGAAAGCACTACTCGGCAGTCGTAGGATGGCGGAGGAGTCTGCCTCAACTCGTGCTGCTGTCTGCTCCGCATCAGCATCTGCATGCATGTGTGCAGCAAGCCGATTGCGGTGCTTGCTGCCCTCAGATACTTGGAGGGAGAGTACATACAGACGCTTCTGCAAGATGCAGAGGTATGCATCGCATTGCCGCTGGAGCGTCGTGACGCAGCTGCCGATCCTGCTGCTGCTGGGAAGGCATGCAAGGCACACTGGGAGCTGGGGGGGCATGCCCGCCCTTCTTGTTGGCAGTGCATGCGTGTACAGCGTTTCGCTTCACACCTTCCTCTCGGAAGCTCTTGCCTTAATGCGTTTTCATTGCAGCAGAAACAACTCGCACTTAACAACACGACTGCCGCAGCTTGCTCCAGCTGCAGCCGCTGCTGAAGGCATTGCCCACTCTCCCCATGTGTCTTCTACCTTCTTCTGCCGGTGGCTGCTTGTGTTGCTGCAGCTGCACACGCGCTGTCTGACGGCCTACAACTGCCGTCTTCTTCAGCAGCAAGCGACTTTGGAGCGCATGCACATGCAGCTGGTGCGTTGACGCTGCAAGAAAAGCAGCGGGGACTGTTCTCTTTCCTAGTAAACTTCATCATCAAGGCTCAGAGCCGCATCTTCTCGCTGCTTTCGTGTCGTTGTTGCGTTCAGGAGAGCCTTGTTTCAGGGATGTATGAAGCTGCCCTGACGTGTAGAGCTTTTTCCTCTAGCAGGGGAAGTGCTGCAAGTGCTTGTGTTGCTGCCAACACAACATCGAGGGGGGAGCAGGATCTCTATGAGGCTGCTATGGCAGCAGCAGACGCAGGTTCTTAATCCCTCTTCTTACCCTCACCCCTCCAAAGCAGCCTCCACTGAACCTGCAGTCGCGCGCCGTGGCTGGAAAAGCAGAGATGTCTTGCGCGAACAAAGCGAAAAAGCGGTATCGACCCCCTCCCTTCCCCCCAATCATCCAATTCCCCCTTCTCACACACTGCATGCTGCTGCTCTGCCGATGTTGTTGTCTCTTCAGCTGGACTCCTGGAGATGGTTTCTACTGCATGCAAGCGGCAACTTGCGCTGCAGCAACGGCTTTTGTCAATTCTGGTAGGCCTGAAGCCTGCATCTGCAACCTTAGACTCTGAGAATTCTTCGGTTCGCTTCTTAGCCGCTGCCGCTAAGGCAGCTGTTTTTGTTTGCTTGCTGTCGCTGTGCAGCACGATCTGAAGCCTACAGACACCCGAGAAATGCAACGCTTCCTGCTACTCTTCAACACGCGACCTTGCGAGTATCCTCTCCAAAAAACAGGTGCGCTTCGTCTTTGTTCCAAGTCTTCAAGCTTTACGCATGTCATGACTTTTGCACACCCCTAAGACGCCTGCACACAGCCTCTCAGAATCCGCAGAGAGCTTTCTGGCATGGGATTTACGTTTTACTACGCCTTGGGAAAGGGTCAGCGTAATACGGAGTTGTTTCTACTCGTAAAAACACCTTCGCGTTTGCCGCTGCGGGATCTAAAACGGTACTGATAATGCTGCTGCGCTTGCTTATTTGCAGGGATGATTGCAGCCGCGGAGTCTTCCCTCAAGCTGCTCCTCGAGAAGCGGAAATAAGACCAACACCCCTTCACTCTTCCCCCTTCTTCTCCCGCTTTCCTCACGAGCAGCCGTCCCTCCGTCCACTAACTGCACTGCCAATGTGTTGCCCTTTTTTGCGTAATGTCGCTTTGCGACATCTCCGCTGCACTGCGGCCGTCCGAGACGCTGCATTTGCGATCTCAACGCTTGCCGCTTCCCTTTTGCCTTCGCTTCTTGATGCATGCATGCGCTCACCGTGCGATTATCTAGCTTTAATTCTGGCTTCTGTCCCTCTGAGGCATCTCTTTTGGGATAACGGGCAGCAGTAGACACTGATGTAGTCCGCAGAGCGCCGGCCCCTAGGCTCACCCTGATGCGCAGCTTGGGTGTCTGTACACTCCAGAGCTGCTGCGGATGCGACCCGCTTTACTGCTGTTTTGCACCTTCAAGCCCACTCACAGGGGGAACGCAATAGTTTTAAATGGACGCTTTTCTCCCTGGCAAACCTTGCGCTTTCGGTAGCTAGGCTAGCAAGTAGAACTGGGAATTCTTGCCGAGGCAGGAGAACCAGCTGCCTGGCCGTTCCAGAGGCCTCTTGCCGCGTTATGCGAAGTCTCTACCGTATCGCGCTGGTGATGCCGCACTCAAAGCGCGCCTCGACGTCGAGCAGCCGGTGTCTTCACATCGAAAAAAATGCCGCTCAAGAGTTTGCTTGTGCGAGACTACATGGGGGCTGGAGGAACTATGTTGCATCGTAGCCACGCTAATGGCACCACGCAGCAACAGCAGAGGCCATCAGGTGTGCCTTTACAGGACGGCAGCAGCTGCAAGCAGTGGGGAGGCTAATGGCGCGTAGTACCCTTTAAGAGGGATATCATGGTCTTACGGCGAGAGGTAGGCTCCTGGGAAAAACTTTATAACGCCCTTAGGCCCTGCCTACGTGAGTTGGACCAAAGCGCACCCTCGTTTGACTGTTTCAATCGCTATTGGTTGCAGTGTACAGCTCGTTTGACGCCGTGAGCACCAATGTCAAGTGCCAACCAGTATGGAATAAACCGTCATGGTGTGCAGCTGGCTGCGAAAGCTCGCAAGGTGTACCGAGCATGCAGCAGCGCGCACGCCGGCCGATCCTCTCCCCCGTGTTGAAGCCCTCAAGGGTGACAGCCGAAAGCAAGGGAAAGGAGTTCTAGGGGACAGGCACTTCCTCTACTAAATTAGTGTAATGAACTCTCTATTTAGTGTCGTCCCCTCCGGATAAAGACCCTAAATTGAGACTTCCAAGTGAGCTGGAGCGCAAATCCTCTCTATAGCTATATATAGATATATATCTCTCAACATACGCACGCGCATGTGTGTGTGTATGTGTATCTTTGCGTGTGTGCAGCACACACCAGGTCATCAGCATTTGAATAGCTCGACGCAAATGCCGATCTCGGCTTTAGGCTGCCGGCTGGAGGTGCAGAGGAACCTTTGGCAGGAGCCACTATGTACCCAGAGAGACGCTTTTCGCAATCCTTCTTTCCTTGCGCAGCGCCCTAGGGTAACAAAGGTTATGCGCCAGGAATCGATACAGACATTTGAGCACCTGATTGTGTATACTTGCATCCATGATGTTCACAGCGTCAACACGGCACATAGGCACATGATTGATAGGAGGCAGCTGCTGACAGGGTAGGTATGCGCGCAGACTGACGCCTCTGCAAAGGAAAACGCAGCAGCTCTGCATGCATGCAAGGGCAGCCACGACCAGATACTCTGCAGCCCATTTAAAAGGCACTCGATGAGGCGAGCCGATGCTACATGAAGGCTGCAGCTGCACAGAAAAACAGCTGTCTCGCTGCAGCCTTCCAAGTAGCAGCCTCATATATGCGACGCCACTCTATTCAGAGCGGGCCGAACGAACGTCCCCTACTGCCAGAAGCGAAATTCCCATACTCTGAGCTTTTTTTCCTATAAACTGCTCCCAAATAACTTTCGTGGCCGCCTGCAGCACACCCACATTCATACACAAACCAACACACTCGCAAACACACACAAACACATCATCGCACAATCACAGATAATCAAACATACAGACGCACAATTACATGCATACACACACAACTACATATAGACACACACACAATCACACACAATCACACACAATCACACACAATCACACATATGCACACATATGCACACAATCACACACAATCACACATGCACACAATCACACATATGCACACAATCACACATATGCACACAATCACACACAATCACAATCACACACACACAATCACAATCACACACAATCACACATATGCACACATTCACTTTAACAATCACACACTCTCCGAAACACACCTACGCACACACAAGTACACACATACACTCTAACACAAAAACATACCCAAAGACAGATGCACACCTTCCCGCCCAGTCACGTGGAAATGGGAAGGGAGTGTTTTGGTGCGCTGTGAGCGAGAGAAAGCAAAAGCACGGGGTAGTTGTTGAAGCGGATGGTGCAGTGGCTGTAATTAGTTACATCCGTATCCTGTAATAGCGAGCACAGAAACGTTGAGGAGTTAGGGAATGTAGGAAGTTTTTTCCAACTCACTTCCGTGAAAGACTGCCCAGGCTGAATTCTGGATCTCAGGATGGGCTTGTCTTTCCTTCCATCGAGCTCTAAGACGAAGCCTCTCCATGGGAGAAGGCATGTAAAATGCGTATCGGTATGTTCTGCAGCTGTGGCATCTGTTTCTCCTGCCTCCTGCTGCCGCAAGTGCAAGGATGTCAGCTTCTCTGAAGCTTCAAGCGCAGCACCTCGACTGTCTGGATCCATCATGCGAGTCTCCCCTAAACGTGCAAAGATACACATACATATACACACACATACATATATATATATACACTTGCATGCCCCTACATACACATACACATATATATATACACATATATATGTACACTTGCATGCCCCTACATACACATACACATATATATATATATATATATATATATATATATATATATATATATATATATACACTTGCATGCCCCTACATACACATACACATATATATATACATATATATATACACATATATATATACACCTGCATGCACATACATATACATACATATACACATGTATATTTATACCCACATACATTCCCTTGCATACCCATACATCCATATACATATACACACACATGTACATGCACATGCGTACATACGTACCCATACCCATGCATATACATGAGTCCTCTCAGCCTGAAAAAAAAGGCCTTGTCTGTACCGAAGCACATCAAGGTTCTCTGAATAAATCCTAGAGCTATAGATATTTTGTGGCGCCGATGTCTGTCTCAACGGGGAAGCAGAATGCTGCCTTGAGCTCTCGCTACAACTCCTGACTTCGAGGTCGCTTTTTACCTTCTCCCCTCAGGCAGCCTGCAGCATAGCCGCAATTTTGCGTGGCGTTCCGCATGCTGTGCCCTCTATCATGAACTAAGTCAGGCAGTCTTCACCTACTGAAGAAGCTGTCGAGAACGCCTTCTGGAGGGAGGGGAAAACGGTCCCTGGGGAGGTTGGCAGTGCAATGCAGGAGTGCCACAGTGCCGCAAGCGTTGGCGATCGTCTGCGGAAGAAGGCGCGCATAGCAGAATATCAGAAAGCAGCAGTGACCTCCTGCCTTTCGAGGAGGATCACAGCGAACTTGAGGAGGCAAAGCTGCATACGTCGGAGGACGGATAACTCGCGGCAGCGACAAGAATCGGCTCTAGGCACAGAGAACGAGGGGACCAGAAGATCGCATAGCAGGAGAGAGAGCACAACGCGTCAGAGAGGCTTTGCAGTTTTGAAAATAAAGAGAGCAATTGCAGGCTCCGGGGTTGCCTGCTGCAGCTTGCTGCTGGTCCTTGTGAGGCAAGTGAAGGGAAGCGCGTGGCTTGCGGGTAAGCTGAAACGGCGATTTTCGTCTTGCCTGTTTCATGAACCAGACTTCCTGACGGATGGCTTCGGCGTGCCGTAGCTGCTCCTCAGGCAAGGGCTCCAGGGATCGCTCCTCGGTGTCTGTCTCGCTCACGGAGAAAAGGAAGAGAAGCGCTACGGTGTCTGTACACTGCAGCATGTCGAATGCCCAAGGCTCGAGCGCAACAACGTACTCAAACTGCAGGAGAGAAGCTCCCTGAAAAGGGCCCCCCAAATCCGTCAGGTACGGTCCCAACACCTCCGGAGTGCCTTCAAGGGGCAGCCACCTCCTTGGCTTGTCAGACTGCGTCATGTTGCTGTTGCTGCTGTTGCTGCTGCTGCTGCTGTAGGGAGGAATTCGCGCTCTCTCTCTCTTTATGCGGCCCTACAAGTGCCCTAGATCAGGAGGGGAAGATAACAGGCTTTCCACGCGAACAAAGGACCTCCTCCTTCGGCTGAATACCGTTCAAGATTCGGGGAGCGCTCTCAAAGAAGCATGCATTCACGTGCACACCTACACATACACAGTTGCATGCGCACCTACACACACACATTTGCATGCACACATACGCGAAAAATTGCGCATGTCTTGCTGCAGACGCGAGGACTGGCACGCTGTCTCGAAGGACGGAGGATGACGCCATTCTCTTGAGAGGAGGAGGCGGAGGTTCCATCCAGCAAGGGCTGGAAGCCACATGGGGGTAATGTTATTACGGCACTTTTTGGCTTGAAACGCCTTCTCCTGCGAAGATAACAGCGTTTCCTGCAAGTTTTATCGGCTTCGTGCCTCGCAGCAGCAACAACACCGCGCGGGAGAGGAGGGAGGCGCTGTCAAGCGCGGGTGTCTGTACAGCGCGAGTGACAACCATCAGCACTCCCTCCGTGCCAAGAGGCCGCACCGGCAACGCGCACAGCAGCAAAAATAACGCTTCAATGCGGATTTTCGTGCGATTCTGCTGCTGCAGTGGTCCCCCGCTAGCCGCACCGGACGAAGGGGGAGCAAGCGGCTGTTGCCACAGCAGCTCTGGATGCCGTCCCTTCACAGCGGCAGCGGCTGCGGCTCAAAACAGCTGCTTGCACGTTGACGAGCAGCGGCAGCAGACGGTAGGCCACTTGAAACAGCATCTGCTGCGCTTGCTGCATAGAGGAGTCTTCAGCGGTAATGCGCCTGCCATCGCCAGCAACTGCCCCCCCCGCGAGCCGGTTGAGGGAGAAGATGGAAGCGCGAAGAGATGCAGCCTGCTGCAGCTACGTCTGCAAGGATTCATGCTCCCCGATGAGCAGCCTCTCGCAGTCATTCGTGACGGAGACGTTGTGACTGCCTGTCTGCACAACCTCAACGTCACCACTCACGGCACTCCACGGCAGGCTGACCTCCTCCAGCAAGAAGAGCTGACTCCTTCCAAACACAAGCTCGTCGGGAGGGCGTCTGATGTACAGCGCAAGAGGCAGAGATCTGCTGCTGCAGAAAAATCACCGGCTGTGCCTTCTGGAGAAGGCTCTAGAACTGCTGCGAACGCGACAGCCGCTACCAGCAGAAGAAGCAGCAGCAGTAGCAGCAGCAGTAGCAGCAGCGATGATGAAGGCAGAAATACTTTTTTTGTCTCTCCTTCGAAGCCTGTCCGCAAGGAAGCAGCAGCGGCATCAACAGGCAAGCATGTGCAGTATTTGCGTCCTGGGCATATTATCCTCGGCAGCAGCAGCAGCAGCAGCAGCAGCAGTGAGACGGAGAGTGAAGGAATTGAAGGATGCGGGAGACTTAATTTGCGGCGAGAGCAGAAACAGCCGCCACTCTCCTCAAAGCAGCAGCAGCAGCAGCAGCACCGCCTATGTGCTGGACCTCTCCCGTTGCCGCTGCAGCGTCTACAGCGCCAGCAGCAACAAAAGCAAGTCGTAGCGGCTTCTGCAGCAGACGCTGCAGCAGACACCACTGGAGCAGCAGCAGACACCACTGGAGCAGCAGCAGACACCACTGGAGTTGCCACAGCGGCTGCGCAAGGCGCTACGACTGTCGCAGAAGCTTTTCGTGCGTGGCAGGGGCCCCTCTGTGCTTCTTTAGAGGGGAAGTGGCTCAAGGCGCAGCTGCTCCTGCTGCAGCAGGGAGTGCCACAGCTCTCACCGCAGCAGATCTTCCGCGTGCTGCAGGTGGACGTACAGCGCAGCCGAGTGCTCCTGCAGCCAGCTGCATCGGGAGATTTTTCTCAGGGCGGAAAGGGCAGACACGGCAGGCAGCAGCAGCAGCAGCGCCGCTGGAGAGACTGGACTGAACTCACTGCCACCCACCTCCTGCCTCATGACGCAGAAGACCTCGAGCAGCAGCAGCAGCAGCAGCAGCAGCAGCAGCAGCAGCAGCAAAGCAGGCAGCTCGATCAGAGGCCGCCACTGGACCCCACACCACCCAGTGGAGAGAGCAGCAGCAACAGCAGCAGTGGAGAGAGCAGCAGCAACAAGGGTAAGGCTACTCCTACGACAAATGGGAAAAACGGCGGCACAAGTGCTGCCCAGTATAGGCCTCTACGGGAGCTGCGTGCTGCGGCAGCTGCTGCAGCAACTGGTTCTGCAACAGAGAAATCTTCCCGAGGCATCAAAGAACCGTCGAGAAACGGGGTGAAGGACGGCAGCACCGTCGCTGGAGGTACAGTATCGGAAGGGGGGGTGTCTTTGGGGGGAGGAGGAGCAGCAGCAGCAGCACAGACAGCAGCACAAACAGCAGCAGAAACAGCAGCACAGACAGCAACACAAACAGCAGCACAAACAGCAACACAAACAGCAACACAGACAGCAGCACAAACAGCTCCAAAGGAGGGGACCCCTGCAACTCCCATTACTAGCATCGACGCTAAGTCGGGAGGCGCAACAGCATGTAAGGCGGAAATTCGCGCGTGGGTGTCTACAGCCTTGCTGCATATGGAGGGGGGGGAGAGGCTTCAGCGGCAGCTATTAGTGACAACAGGTCCTTTAGGAACGCTGCAGCTCCCTGGCAGCGATCTGTGGCTGCAAGAAAAGCCACAGCATGTCGCACGTTGGCGAGAGGCAGTGCAGCAAGAGCAGCAGCAGAAGAAGCGGCAGAAGGGGGGCGTTGATCAGGTGGACGTACAGCAGCAGCCGGGGTCGGTGGAAGCTGCAGCAGCAGCCGCTGCAGCGGCTGCTGCTGGGGATGCAGCACAGGATGCCCTCCCTTTGTCTGCATGCAGTGACGTGCTCCCCCCGGAGCTTGTGACAGCTGCCGAGAAGCTGCTTCAGCAGCGGCTGTCTCAGCTGCGCGCGGCAGTGCGACGTCAGGTAGATTGGTATTTCTCTCCTAGCAACTGGAAGCAAGATCACTACTTGCGAGATCAGGCTGTGGTGTATCCCCCCTCCACGGAAGGCAGAGAAGGAGGCGGAAGAGGGCGAGAGGGCTCGCAGCCTCTCGGCGAGAAAAAATTGGCAGTTCCTCTGCAGCTAGTGCTAGGATTTCCTAGACTGCAGCGGCTCACTCGAGATGCTGCATTTGTGGTCGCGTGTTTGCAAGGGGGCGGGGGGGGGCTGAAACACGTGGAGGTCAGTGGTCCCTCAAACGACCTTCTCTTGCGGAAGGAGGGAGAGAGGGGAGCGTGACACGTCGATCAACGAGCCAGCCACCCTTTAGAGGGCTGGTCGTGCTTCGCTAGCCTCTAGCGAGGTAGCGCGCTTCTTTCTCGTCTCCCCAGCAGTCGTTTTCGCTCGCAAACGCGAGCTCAGGGATCAAACTCACTGGCTAGCTACAGTCTGGCCCCCAGATAGCCACGGCGAAGAGTGTGTGAGGAGCTGCCGCGGTTTGTGAGCGGCAGCCGCGGATACAGCGAAGCAGGCACCAAGTGGTCGTCTGCTTGCGTCGTAACTTGTTCACTTGGTCTGAGAGAAACGTCTAGGCACGTTCCGAAGTCTCGCCTGCGTGAGGCTTCTAGGGTGTATGAGGCTGTACATGCTCCACGGCGTGTTGCTCTGCGATGGCGAGTAGAGAGGCAGTCTTGAGCGCCTGCAGTGGGAATAGGCTAAGCAGGGGCCTTCCCCGACACTCACTGGCTCTGCTATGCTGACACTGTCTCGCCTTGCTCGGCTGTGCTGACACTGTCTCGCCTTGCTCGGCTGTGCTGACACTGTCTCGCCTTGCTCTGCTGTGCTGACACTGTCTCGCCTTGCTCTGCTGTGCTGACACCCTCTCGCCTTGCTCGGCTGTGCTGTGGGGGGTGAGGGAGCGGTGTTGTCTGACAGGTTCGAGTTAGTTGTGTGGCTGTTTAGTCATGCAATTGGCTATGGAGTTCCTTCACTTTGCAAATAGTCGTGTGAGGTATCTTGATTTTGCAACTAGGTGCACAGTTCCTCAGTCTTGCGGAGTCTGGAGAAGGGCCCCCCGCAGTTTCTGGCAAAGCGTAGTGGGCACCTCCTTTCGAGGTTTTTGTTGCCCCCCGCAATGAATCCTCCGAGCTGTCAGTAACGCATGCATGCATTTTTTCTGCCTCTAGGCCCCTTCTTTGCGCATTTTTTTAAAGCCGTAAGAAGCGCCGCCCTAGAGACAGCTCACGGGGAGGGGTTTTCTTCGAGGGGCAAACTCCTGTGCCCAGCTCCCTGGTATCCCAAGGCTGCTAAGGGCCCCCTTTCTAGCAATTGCTATGAGAGGCTTACACGGATCTTCAGGGAAAGTCTCTAAGGCCTTAGCTTTCCTCGGGTTAGGGTCGACTGCTGCTTTGCTGCCCCTATGCTAAGTGAGCTGCGACAAAAGACGACATCCGCAACAGTTGCCGCTCGCAACGCACACCCCTTCGTTCGCCGCTGTATAAAGGCACGACCGAACACCTGGATATTCTACACCAGAAGGCGCTGTAATAGAAGAAATTACAATCGAATCAGCGTCGATTTACGCTGGAGGGGGCCTTCTACGCAGTCCGCTGGTTCATGGCAGACGTCGTGTCGCCCCACAGTGTACAGGCACACCGGGCAGGAAGGCAGGGGGCCCCCCTTCCTGCGTGCACCGCAAGGGACTTTTTCTGCAGTGCATGCGCTGAAAATATATTCCATTTTCCTAGAAAAAACCTTTAAGTGTTTTTAATTCCAAAAAGGGGCGGATCTGTCCCTTTTGTGCCGAAGTGCCCCCCTGCTTACGTATATACATATATATTCGTACGCGCCTCTGCGGAAAGGACTGGATTTCTTGGGGGGCTCATCACTTGGCACTCGACCGCGGAAGCCTTACCTCTCGACTTTGCGTGTGTTTTTGCGAGTTTCTTTTTGGTGAAAGCACGCAAGCAATGAGCGCCTAACCAGCGGAGGGCCGTTTAGCTGCTGCATGCTGCCCGCTTCGGCTGTGACTCGACGAGCGCACTGCGCAGCGGTGTGCAGCTTTGCATCGTAGGATTTTCAAAGGCGACGAGAAGGAGAATGCGGGCAAGCAGAAAGGCTAAGTGGAGGAAGACGCCGATCTCAGCCGCTGAGAAGCTGCTAGATGAGGCCCCCCTTCGGGAGAGGGCTCAAGAGCTCGACCGTAACAATCAGCTTTTTCAGATTGATACGCAGGGTACGTCAGCCACATCTGCGTCCGATGGATAATGCCTCTAATGCGCGTCCCTTCGCCCTTGGCTTGCCAACTGGAAGCCGACGATGATTTGCTGAGTCGTGCTCAGAAGCACGCGAGGCGCCTCCTACCCTCCTTGCACAGAAGAGAGCAGGCATTCTTCGAGAGCAGCCATTCTTCGAGAGCAGCCATTCTTCGAGAGCAGCCATTCTTCTTGCAGCGTGCTGCTGTTGTTACCCTCGCGAATGCTCTTTATTGCAGGAACGGAAGAGACCCTTCATCTCTCCCAGGCAGCGCGGCGGCTGCTGCAGCGACGCCAGCTCCTCGTTGGTAGTGACGGCAAAAGCGGCAGCAGCAAGAAAGTGCTGCTTGATGTAGCTACACAGGCGCACAAGCAGCAGCTTCTGCGGGTTCTAAAGGGGCGCAAGCAGAGGCTAGAGGCTGAAGCAGCCAAGCGCAAGGTACCTACCGTCTCCTTGGAAGCCCTCTATGCTTCAGACGCTCTATCTTGCTACTTTCGAAAGCTCTGCCTTTCTTTCTCTCGATATATGCATATCATATGTGCATCTAGCGAGCGAGGGTAGAGAAGGCGGCGACGACCCTGTTTCGCAGGAGCAGTCTACGTTGCGAGCTCGAGCAGCAAGCGTGAAGCCTTTTGGCTGGCGTCGAATGCGATGCGATGCAGCGTGCGGCAGCGGCAGAAGGGGTGACAGATATTTGGGAAGATACACCGCTCGAGCTCCCGTCAAGTGGTGAGCAAGGGGTCCCCAGTTTGTTGCAAGACGGTATCAAACTTTCGCGCATGGGGGCATCCTAGAAGAGCATTCTTGGTTTCCCGTGCGTTATAGATTTACTTGTGTATATAAATGTGCGTACATACACCACTCGCCGGATATGTATGGCTGGCTGCTGCGTTCCTGCACAGCCTGCCTTTCTTCTCATGCCTGCCTTTCTTCTCATGCCTGCCTTTCTGCTTCAGGAGAAGGCTTGTCGAAAGCAGAGAGACAGAGGGAAAAGAAACGCCGCCGCTGCACACTCGAGACTCTTCGCTCGCTTGTTCCTGCAGTGGTGCTGCCAGAAGCGGGCATTTCTTACAACCCCTCTTCAGAAACTCAGCAAAAACAGCTGATTGCTGCTGCGGCGACGGCAGTGTTGCAGCAGCATGAAGGGCGCTCTCTGCAGGCAGTGCTGCGCAGCCACGCGCAGACTGAAGTCGAGCAGTTGCAGCAGCAAGAGCAGCTGTTGTTGAGCGAACAGGATCCGTTGAAGGCTCTGAAGCGTAAGCAGCCAGTGACAGCTGCACTGCTGCAACATGTGAGTCATGAGGCTTTAGAAGGCCTCTCGGAGCTCGACAAGCAGCGGGTACGTCGCCGCCTCTTAGAGTCTTCTCGCCTCCTGTTTGCATGCATCTTGATCTTCTTGCTTGGAGGGAAACAGCTGTCAGACGTGCTGACTCTGAGCGCGAGGCTCAAAGGAGCTGCCGAAAAGAAGGCCACACCTAAAATAAAAAGGCGGAGAAAAATCGACGTGGCTGTGCGCGCGTCAGCAGCAGGCCCTTTATTTTATTTCCAACGGTGTGCTGACATAATATGCTGCGTGTGTGCTGCTGCTATAATGCTGCCTGTGTGCGTGTGTAGATGTTTATGGAATTAGCTGTGAAGGGCAGGCTGTCTGCGCAGGAGGAGGGCGAGGCAACAGCAGCAGCAGAAGAAGGAGACGAGCTCTCGGATAATGATCTGGGAAAGGAAGCTGCTTCGAAGCGTGCGTTGTTAGTCCTCTGATGGTGACGCTTCGGGTGTAGCCTTGAGCATTCAGAACGGAGGTTCAGGGTGCACATGGCCGTATTGGCACGTTGTTGCTTTCAGAGTCGAAGAAAAAGACGCGCACGGAACGCAATCGCCAGCGGCGGCACCAACAACAACTGCGCTCTGTGAGTCGTCGCATGCTACAAAGACGAGATTTTTTCGGAGGAAGGAAGGGAAGGGGAGAGAGAGGAGGACAGAACGCTTTGTTTGGCGTAGAAGGAGATTTTTTCCAGGCGTCTTTTGGTGCTGCGTGTGTGATCCTGTGCAGGCTGCAGTGAAGCAGCAGGGAAAGGCGCTAAGGAAGTCTATTGATGCGTTGCCGCAGCTGCTGCAGCAGCTGCAAGAGCAGAGCCTCCAGCAGAAAGAGGCGCGAGCTAAAAGGTGGGTGTTTCATCTCGTTGTTCTCTGGGATTGTCGGCTTCTCGCGTGCTCGACAGGATGTTGAGAGGGCAGTCTCCTAGAGGCGTCTCTGAGCATTCTGCACTGTTGTCTTTGGCAAGGCGACCCTTGCAGAGATGTCTCTCTCTTTCTACAAGGCACGCGGCAGAGGAGCACGCAGGCAAAGACGCGCGAGTTGTTTGACCATTAGACGCATGCCGTATATATCTCGAACGGCGTTGTGGCAGCTGCAGCAGAGATTTCATAGCGACGCGCAGCGTTCCGAGTCTCTCTCTCTCTGCTTCAGGGAGGCGGGAGTAGAAGCCAAGAAGGCTGCTGCGAGGAAAGGAGTCGTTGCTTTCAAGATCGGACGAGTCAGCGAAGTTGCAGAGCTTTCCCCTTGTATCCTGTGGTCTTGCGGCCTTTTTGCGTGTGCGACACGGAGTAAAACCTGCAGTTAGTGGCATGTTGTTTTGCGATTTTCGCGATGCAGAAACGGTTTGTAGGAGGATCTGCTGACGCAGCTGTGCCTGGGGAGGTGACGGGCTCTCTGCGCACCACTCTGGTGAGCAAGCCCGCACGCTGAGTGCTGCAGCCTCTGTGGGTGTCTGTCTTTTGGCTGTATCTTTTCTGTCTGCTCTGCGCACCCAACAGCAGCGCTGTCTGTTGAAGACGCTTCCGTGTTGTTGTGTGGGGGGAGGCAGTCACATACGTTGCTTTTTTTTGAAAAAAATGCAGTGTTTGCAGCGGATATCCCTTGCTTCTGCTGCTCCCGCAGGTACACGGCGCTGCAGCGGCTGCAGCAGATCGCCTTGCCTCCTTCCATCGCAGAGCTATGCTAGAGCTTCCTGCAGAGCTAACTGCAGCGCATGCGACTAGGATCAAGAAACAGGTGCGCAGGGTTGCAAATAGTCGGCGGATTGTCAAAGCAAAGGAGAAGGGAATACACGCTGTATAGACACTTCAAAGGGCGGTCCGGGATGAGGAGGGCCTTTTCGAACGCACCCGCGATGACTCTGGGAAGCGCATTGAGGGGGCCCACTCACTAGTCTGCATGCATACCCGACGAGTCTTACACATAACTCGCTGCTTCTGGCACTGCATCACGCGGAGCTTCTGAGACAGCAGTGCCGGGGTGTATCCTGCATCGAGAGCCCTCGATATGGCATGGGGTGCCACCACGGACTGAGGCAAAAGCTGAGTAGTATGAAGCAGGGAGAAGCCTCAAAAACTGTACATGTCTGAACTCGCCGAGCCCTCTCTTCTCCGTATTTCGGGATACCCCTACGGCATAAAGGGAGAAAGAGAGGAAGAGACAGACTGCAGAAGGCGCCGAGGCAGCCTAGAGCAAGAGGCGCCACCAGGAAGCAGAACCCCACTTAGCTAGCAGCGCAGCGAGCATTCCCAGAAAGTAAGGGGGCAAGCAGAATACGTTAGCCGTAGAGGGTGCAACAAGGTGGATAGCCATGGCACAAAGGCACTCTACAAAAGGGGACGAATGAGTGGAGCCGCCACATTGTGCAACTTTCGGCTATTCTTCAGCCTGACAAGGCATTTCGGCTTCCAGGAGTGGGGAGGCGGGGGGAGAAGACGAGCAACGTAACGAGTCTTCAGTATGCATGTAAGAGGCTTGAGAGGCGAGTACTCTATGCATAGCTGTCAGAGGGTTGTGTGCATACAGCTAAAGAGGCCTTCCTCGTAGCGCTGCAGCCTTCGGTCTCGAGGTTCTTGTAATGCTGTCCTCTAGGCTTCCCCAGGGAGGCGCCAAGCGGCACACATACACACCACAAAACTTCATAGCAAGTTAGTCAACGCCCTCTTACCATAGACACTCCCCACGCTCCATGCGCTAGCTGGGACCTCGAGCTGTCGTGACAGGAGGGGAGCTGCTAGAAAGAGTCACAAGGTGCACTTTCTGGGAACGCTGACCGTTCCCCGCTGGGTGTGCAGCACACCCCGCATCTAGCGCATGTGTCTGTAACATTTATTGCATGCGAGTGAGTTCAACGTTGCTGTGCGGTAAAACCACTTGCAGGACCGAGACGCTTGGTCAGTTCTCTATTTTTGTTTCTTTGTGAAGTGTGACTTGTGTGGCAGAAACTGTCTATTCCGTCGAGTGGCTTTTGTTCCGTTTCACGAATCAACTGCCCTTGCTGCCAATAGGGAGCCTAGGAAATTGTTTAAGACCTGCCTGACTGCCTTCCCCCCATCCAGCACCAGCCACAACAGGGGCAGTAGCACAAGTTACAGTAGCTAGAGAAACAGTACCTACGGTTCGTCGGGCATGCACCCGAAAAAAGTGCGCTGGTACAGCTGGAGGTTCTCGTTGTCGCGGCATTGGTGAGATGTGCTCTCCGAGTGTGTCGGAGCCAGTCTTGGATACAGCCCGTTTCAGGGTGCTGCCGCACCTTCCCAACGGGCCTAAAGGAACAGTCTCCTCACTTTGAGATCAATTGTTCGGTAGCTATCCCTCCGTAGAGACACCCCAGCACGCTAGGCAATGCAGACTACAGGCAGGCACCGCCTTTTGGCTTTGCACACTGTGTGCGCCCAGGCGCTCTCAGAGATGCGTATCAGGGTCTTATGGGCCCAAGGGGGGATTCAGAAGCGTTGAGAAGAGCATTTGATCCAAGATTTCAAGTTTATAAATGCCAGATTCCCCGCAGAACTCGCTTCTTCCGGCCCGAGTTGAAGCCTCGCTGGGGGGCCCCTTGGTTGTGGCAACCCCGCGGGGGGCCCCCCCGCCGTCCTCCCCCCCGACCATCGCCTGGCGTGCCTTGCTTGGTGCCTCGCACGGCGAATACTACATAGGAAAACTCCAAATTAACATCAAGTAATATGGTAGGAAGCAGAGAAGCAGAGCACTTTGCGTGCCTGTCTGTACACCCCGGCTGCAGTCGAAGGCGCTTGGTCTCGAAGGGTGATAAACCCGCTGGCTTTGACGCCTTAGTTCCTCCTTTTTGCATTTTCCTCGGGGTACCCTCTGCCTAAACAGCTCCGAATGGATCTTCTTCTCCCTGTAGAGGACCCCAAAGCTTACACAGGGGTTCCTTGATCTCTCTTTCTTGCCGCTGACCCCCTTCCTGCGCGCCGTTTTCGCACGAGAAACATGGAGTCACCGGCGTCGGCAAAGATCCCTGACAAGGGGCAATGCGTAGCGCAGTGTAGCGACGCTTCGGCGAGCCGCTTTGATGCTGCCAGCACCCTGGAGAAGGGATCTTCACGCATCCCCGCAGCCTTTCTCCCCCTACACCCTAGTACCACCACTCCTGCGTCTATCCCCTCCCCCCCCTCCGCGGAGAGCTACCTGCAGTCTCTCTTTAGGAAGAACATGTGCTGCAAGCTCTGGTTCACTGCTACCAGGAGGCATACACTGCCCCTGCTGCACACTGTCACGGAGCTGCTGCGACTGGCACTTACGGAGCAGAGGGAGGAACTCAACGCGCACATCCCTACAGACATCCTCGAGATGCTTGCAGCGCATGCCCGTCGCTCCTGCTGCGTTGCAAATCATAAGCTCTTCTGGCCATATCCCCCGACACTCATCAAAGCCAATGCCAACCTACGAGTCAGCCACCTCCCCTCGCTGCCTTCCTGCTGCTAAATCACCACAATCTTCCCGTAATAACACGCAAAGTCGCACTGTCGAACGAGGGGGCCTTTCCCCTTCTCACACACACAAGGCGCCCCTTATGAGACCAGTGTTCATCCGGATGCCAACAGTACCCACCTCGAGCCGCGTGATGCAACTGAGCATAAAAAGCTGCCACTGCTCAAGAAGGCGAGGCGAGAGATGGAATAGGATAGGGTAGCATACCCCTCGAGTAGCGAATATAACACCTCTGGCTGCATAAGTTCGAGAGAAAGAGATAGATAAATAGATAGATAAATAGAGACAGATTTACATATATATATATATATATATATATATATATATATATATATACATAGAGAGAGAGAACGTTTAGGGGCAAGGGAAGCTAGAGCTTGGGGTGTGAACTGATTTTTCTGCAATATGTTCTGTCGCATTTGGAGGGGAAAAGGGGGTTGTGTTTTGTGTGTGTGTTTTTTTTTTCAATAGGTATTAGCCGTGGCACAGTGTATGGGTGATATTGTCGTCCAGCGCTCAGTGCAGCTTCATTGGGGGCTTAATCTGTCTCCCTTTACCAAGGCTGAGAGCAGCAACTGTGCAGGCAGCTGTTTCTCTCGCCTTTGTCCTCTCTGCATTGATGCCTTGGTGTGTGGAGCTCAGAGTGCGATCCTCCAGAAGACGCTGAGACGCATTATTGCCGTAAGCCGCAGTGTCTCTTTGGGGTGGCTTGCAAGCAAGCCACCCCAAAGAGGCGCTCAGCTAGCTCTCCTCTAGAGGACTGTAGGGCTTTTGTTAGGTTGCTATGAGGCAACAGAGACAGAGAGAAAGAGAAGCAGAGACAGAGAGACAGAGAAAGAGAAGCAGAGACAGAGAGACAGAGGCGTGTTGTGCAGAAGTCGGTTGGAAAGTGTGTTTTGTTGTGTTTAAAGGCCAGGTGCCCTTCTGGAGGCTCTGACAGTTTTTATGGATGCTGCTGCACACATGCAACTGAAGAGACGTCGGGAGGGTGTTTGCGCTTTGGAGCTTCTTTCTGTTTAGCCGTGCATCTTGCGAGTTTATGCGGCTTGGCGCGGATGCATGCGCTGTCTTTGTAGGAGAAGAGGCGCTGCAAGGGCAGTAAAGCTTCCGTCTGTTGGGGGTATCACAAAAGCGGTTCTCTTGCAGCTGAGGAGATTGGACTTGAGCCTTTAAGAGACGAGCCGGAGCTTCCAATGCGTATTAAACGAGGCAGGTTGTCAGATGTGATGGCTGCTAACTCCCACTGCGACAGTCGGGAAAGCAGCAAAGCACATGTCAGACTGAATGCCTCCTATGCGTGTTGAACGAGGCAGGTTGTCAGATGCGATGGCTGCTTTTCCCACTGCTCCTGCAGCAGAAGCAGCGAAAGCACCTGTCACACTGCATGACCGTTTGTGTGCAAGGCTTGCGGACGGAGGCTTCTAAGTCTGCTGCTGCCCTCCTGCTCTCACCTCTCTGTCTGTGTGCGCTCTTAAGAGGCGCGCAAGGTGTCGTCGCGCTGTCTGTCTATGGGTTTCTTCAGGCAAATGCTGCTTGGAGCGGCACTTGAAAAAGAGTGCCTCTAAAGAAAGCATTTTGAAGGAGGGGAAGCTCGGCGAAGAGACTGCCCCAAAAGACAGCACGTTCTCGGGAGGCGTGAGTGATTTTAACGTAGCGTTTGCAGCAACAACTCTCGAATTCTGGAGCGCGCTAGAGGCTAAAGGGGGTTTCTTGTCTACGGGATCTTGTATGGGTGTGTGTAGAGAGAAAGAGAGAGGTATTTTCGACGCTTTGTGAGCTGTGCTAGGCAAGGGGCGTTGCTGCCCTGTAGGCGTTGCCGTCTTGGCGCGTTGAGTAAATGAGCAGAAAAAAGCAGCTGAGGGCCCTTTAACGAGCCATGCTATTTGTACCTCTTTAGAAGGGGAGAGCGCTGCAGTTAGGCGAGAGGGAAGGGGGTTTAGTGTCGGAGGGGGGAAGAAAAAGAAGAAGCGTTTTTTTTTGATGGACCCTTGCTGGATGCCTTTGGCGGTTGTGTTTCTTCTTGCGGCATATATATATATATGTATGTATATCTCTTTCTCTCTGCTCCCAAGAGAGAGACTTTTTGTGTGCCATTGATGGAGTATGTATCTTCTGTGAATCTGCAGGCAGCGGCTTCCGCTGCTGTGCGCGCCGTGAGTTCTCCAGAAAACAGTCTCTCGCGATCGTCTTCAGAGACTGCGAGCAGGGGAGGTGCCGCTCAGCCTGCTCGGGAGTGTTTGAGAAGCCTTTCTCCAAAGGAGCCCTTCGACGCCTCCAAGAGCAACCTCGAGAAGGATACTGCGCAGTTTGCGCATTTGGGGTGGGGACGGCAGTTCGACTGGCACGAAGTATTTGGAGTTCATCGCGTCGATTTGTGTGAGGAAATGTGGCCCCTGGTGACGTGGGGAAGTCGCAGCAGCTGCGGCGATTTGCCGCAGACGCTGACGCAGCTGTTGCGCCAAGACACCCGCTGCACGTGTGGGGTGGCTCAGAAGGAGGAACGCGCGAGGAGAGAGGCTAAGCTGTCGCGACTGCATCAAATTATCGACCATCTGGAGGCAGCCGTTGGAAAATCCCGAGGAGACTCGCATAGGCGTGCAGACGGGCAGCCGCGAAGCGGTGACGCGCGGCAAAAAATGCAGCCAGAAGCAGAGTCTCCGCTCGAGAAGGCTCCTGAGGAGCCGCACCTGCAGCTGCCACAAGGGGCACGACAGCTCCTCGAGGGAGGAGGAGGGGGCTGCCTCCGAAATCTCGGCGAAAGGCGGGTCGGTGCAGCTGCAGGGGTGTCTTGTGGGAAGAGGGGGGAGAAGGGGAAGGCTTCTGAAGCTTCTTGGCTAGTTAGAGAAGACGAAACGCCATCAACGGATGCCTCAGCGACTATGAGGTCGTTCGCGCAGAGCTTCCGAGGCAAGCAGGCTGCAAGAGGGGGGCCAGATGTGCATCGAGACAGCCGTGTGGGAGAAGGAGGGGGGGGGCAAGCCGTCTCTTCTTCGGCGCGCCAACTAGACGAAGCGCGCTGCAGAATCGAGAAAAAGGAATGTCTCCGTCTGCATCCCTGCAGCGCTCTCGTTTCAACAAGGGGCCCTTTGGGGGGAGGGGGCACTGGAGAGTCTTGTTGCCGCGAAGGATCCGCTGAGACGCGATGTCACCGCTCTCGACTTGAGCACTCGCATGCAACTTCTTCTCGACAGCCACCACGCGATGCACGCTTAAAAGGCCTCCCTTCGATCAAGCGGGAGGAGGCTTGTGAGAGCGCGACGCCTTCGTCTTCTTCTGACGCACCGGGGTCAGATGCGCACTGCCTCCGCTTAGTTCGCACTGCAGATCCCCGCCGTTTGAGGCTTTCTTCCGTCTGCTGCAGCGTCGACACGCCGTGGTATGACTGCCTGGAGGAGCACTTGGCTGTGGGGGCACGCTCGCGAAGCAACAGCAGCAGCAGCAGCAGCAGCAGCAGCAGCAAGGCGCTGTCGCAGTTCGAGGGGCCCCCCAGGCAGCGCTCGACATGCGGTGCTGCTGGGCGTCGTAGACATTTGCTGCATTCTGCACGGTCGCATGCGCGGAAAAAATCCTCTCTGAGTGCGAGAAACGCTGCAATCGTGCAAGGCTACGGGATCTCCCGGAGGGAGTCTTGCTGCCAAACAGCCACTCGCAAGGAGGCGTCGAAGGGCATGCGGAGAGAAAGGCTCACCGCTGACGAGATCCTCGAAGGCTGCAGACACCCGCGCAAGGCACGCGCCGCCGAAGGGGCGCTAGACAGACTTCAAGGAAGACCTCTCGAGCTGAAAAAGAAGAAGCAGACACTCAAGAAAGCTCCAAGAGTGCCTGGCGTGTGGCTGCGTCTAGCGCGCCAAGCGGAAGCTCTCGAGGAACCAGTGGCAGTTGCAGAATTTCAACGCATGTGGCCTCTTTTTGTGCGCCTCCCGGGGGCCCCCGGAGGTGGGGAGGCCCCTGTGCTGCTGCTGGGATTCTTCGTTGAAGGCTTCCACATGCCAATTCCGAGGCAGGCTGATCTTGAGGCTTGCCTCGACACAGTTGTAGATCTGGCTGTTGGACGTCTGAAGAGCTCGGAAGGAAACGTTTTCGCAACAGGAGAGAGCTTCGCGACAGACGCACCATCGCCACCACACGAGTCTCCTCCTTCTCCTGCTGCTGCTCCTGCTGCTCCTGCTGCTGCTGCTCCTGCTACTGCTACTGCTACTGCTGCTGCTGCTCTCGCGGCAGGGTCGAAGGCGCGTCGTTCTTGTTGCCAACAAGCGAGGGCCCTTGCGGAGAAGGCTCAAACGCCTACTGCTGAGGGGAGCAGCCTCGGAGTGTCTGCGGAACGTTTCTTGGAGGCAGGGATTTGCGCGCAAGAAAAAGCGCCTCAACTTGCAGCCAGAGGCGTTTGCCGCGCAAGCCCAGTCACGACCCTCTCTCCAGTGAACCTGCTGCCCTCTACGTCTGCGAGAGGGGAAGACGGTGTGGCTGTCTCTAGTTCTCTGCGCGACGTGGACGAGGACGCTTGGAAGGCGAGCAGCGCTGCCGCGTACGCCTCCTCGCGTGGCGAGACGTCTGCAGAGGCTTCTGCAGTGACGGGGTGGGAAGGGGGGGGGACGGCACTCAGCTCTGCTCGTATCCAGACTCCCCAGAGCCTTGAGGAGAAAACGCGTTTGACTCCGGAGAAGGCCAATTCAACGCGCAGCGCTCAGTTATTCCCCCTTTTAGGAGGCAAGGGGGCACGTGCAGGCTCACAAGACTTGGGGATAAGCGCGGAGGAGTCGGCAGAAGCGGGCAGACAGAGTGCAGGAGGCCTCTTGCCATGCTCTTCGGAGACTGCCCTTCTTGGGAACCACCCAGCAGCAAAGGGCTCCCCCGTCGAGTGCGCGTTCAGCAAGGCGCTTCGCAGAAGCCTCCTCCTTCTCCCTCCCGATCGTAGCGGGAAAGACACTGGAGGCGCCGTGGAAAAGGCCGCATCAGGAGTCAGCAGAGCCTTAGACGCTTCAGATCGAGAGGCATCTCGCGAGGCAGCTTCTTGTCGCAAGCGTTCTCGCGAGAGCGACAGGGGAGGCTGCCGCGCCACAAACGCGTCGTGCAAACTCCCAGAGAGGGGAAACGCTTTGCGGCAGGCTGTCTGCGCTCCGAGCTCCGCTGCCTCTGAGTCGGCTGTCGCTCTCGCCCAGATGTCGCTGACGAGGCAGCGTGCCGCCTCGCCTCGCAGGAATCCTAGGTCGTCTCCCCGACGCAGACAGAGCAACTCGCAACACCTGCCCCTGAAGCGGCAGCTGCGGATGCCTTTCGCATGCAGCCACAGTCCAGCCTGCGCGATCCAAAGCCCCGAGAGCTCCCCCGTCACCCGGGGGGCCCTGGGGCCCCTCATGGAGGCCCCTAAGGGACGACACCTCGAAACGCTGAGCGTCGACGCGATGCTCCAGCAGCAGCTGCAGAAGGCACAGCGGCGTGTTTCCAGACTGCAGGCTCGCCTGCGTGAGCACTTGCAGAAGCATTTGCTGCTGCTTTCGCCGCAAGAAGAGCGCCTGAGGAGTTTCTCTCGAGGCGTCGGCGAAGTCAAGCTCGAGGAGCCGTGTCTTGTCGGTGGCCTCTCCAGGAAAGGGTACTTTCTCAGGGCCCCTCGGGGGCCCCTGAGGGGCCCCTCCCTTTCAGAGACGGAGGCGATGAGAGCGACGCGCGACACGTTGGAGGAGCTCTGCAAGGCCAAAAAGGCCCCTAAATATCCTCCTCCTGACATGCGGCGCAACAGATGGAGGTGGCTGGAAGCCTCCCCCGAGAGGGCAGCGCCTGGATCCGAGCGCAGTTTTGCAGAGGCCTCTCTGCAGCTTCCCCTTGCGGAAGGCGAAAGGGGCTGTCTCCGCGCGAAGCTGAGGAGAAGCGCATGCGCGGATCGCGCCTCCCCAGCCTCTGCGGTTCGCCAGTCCAACAGCTCTGGAGTGCTGGGGGGCCCCCTGAGACTGGCAACGCTGGACGCTCCCCATGTCGGCTTGCCTGCGAAGGTTGCCTCCCCACTCCCAGAGAGCGCTGTGGAATCTGGATGCTGCTGTGCATGCAATGCAGAGACAACAGCGCCTTCTTCGGAGCCTCTTAAGGCCGCCAGAGAAGAGCCCATAACTGCCCCTCTTCTCGCTCAGGAGATCCTTCTGGAGGGGCCCCCCAAAGGGCCCCCCAAAGGGCCCCCCAAAGGGCCCCCCGCTGCTGCAGGGAAGTCTCCCCCTCTTGTTGCCGTCGATCGAGGGCTTGAGACACCAACGACGGAGGCTTTCGCAGCTGGGCTCGCGGCAAACGGGTTGCTTGGCTTGATCACGCAGACGCATCCAAAGACAGCATCTTCCAAGGCACTTCTGGAAGAACGAATGCTTCAGCAGGAGGGAGGGCAGCTGCAGTCTCAAGGGGCGTTGGAGCTGGAAAGCCGAAAGCCCGCTTTCTCTGGTTGCGGTGCGTTGCCTGGTGCATCCGATGCAGCCACAGCAGCAGGAATGTCGCGCACGACGACTACTTCTGCTGCTGCTGCTACTGTTACAGTTGCGGGGGAGATAGAACGTCGTGGAACTGGGAATGCCGTCTCGCCCCCAATTTTTCCCTTTATGAACGCCAAGACACCGATGACGTCAGAACCAGGGGGTGATTCTCAAGAGGTGAAAGCCGCAGAGGGAGAGGGCCTTATCGAATCCCCTAGACACGACGACAACACGCCCGATGATGCTTCTCATGCAGCAGCTTCGGCTGCGCGTGGCGGCTGCGGGGAGTTCGCGAAGAAGGCCGTTGCCGTTGTTGTCGCCGATTCAGCGGATACTCAGAGAGCGGCTGCTCACGCCAAGGATGCGACGGGGACGGAGAAGCCTGGCGCATCGGAAGCGGTCGTACCGAGGGCGGGAGAAAGCAGCACAGTGCAAGGCGGTGCTGCTGCTTGCAGCGCTGTCGCGTTGGCAGCAACGCCGGAAGCAGCATCGGGAGGAGGATCAGAAGCGAGCTATAGGTGCTTCTCCCCGCGTACAGAGGCTCAGGGCGTGCGGCAAGAAATCTCAGCTCCCCATTCTGCAGCAGCGGAGGCGAGCCAAGCTGCAGCTCGTTCTGCATGTCGCTGCGCTCCGGCTGCTTCTAATGAACGCTGCAGTCCATTGCAGTGGTGTCTGCGGACTCGAAGGGCCTCTCTGTTGAATCGCACGGACGCGAATGGAGGGGGGGCCCCCCAGGGGCCCCCCTCGTCGAGAAGCGCGCCGTCTCCCGAGAAAACGGGCAAGGGAAAGTCTCTCGTTATGCGAAGCTTGTCGAGGATACGGGGTGAAGCTCTGAGAGAGCTTCCCCTGAGAAAGCGTCGGCGGTTGTCTTGCGTGTCAGTGTCAACGAACGATCCAAAGCATCCTCCAGCTGCAGTATCTGGAGCCACTGTTTCTCCTGCGAAAGGCGTGCACGACGATCTCAAGCGCTCAAAAGGGCCCTGCCAGAGCAGACAGGGAGCCACACTGCGCAAACCGCATTTACCCGCTGCTGCTGCCGCTGCTGCTAAAGGGGCCTGCGCATCGACTGCTCCTCCTCCGATATGCGCCGTGCATAGCGCAGGCTCTAGCAGTCCAGATGCGGAGTATTTGGAGGATTTGCTTGGCCGTCTGCGGTTCGTCATGCACCAGCTGTGGCCATGGAGGGCTTCACGGACGCACAATTGGGGTCGAAAACTCGACGGAAAACCCTTCACCCCGGAAATGGCGGTACAGGTCAGTTTCTGATGTGTCGAATACGCTTTGCGTAGCTGCAGCAGCATTTACAGCAGCAGCATTTACAGTAGCAGCATTTACAGTAGCAGCATTTACAGTAGCAGCATTTACAGCAGTAGCATATACAGCAACAGCATTTGCAGCAGCAGCATTCACAGCGGCAACATGTACGGCAGCAGAGAAACAACAGCGTAGGATGTCGATGCAGGCCGTCCTTTCTCCCGCGGTGTGCGTGACAGCGCCAGGCACGCCGTGGAGCCTCGCAGTGTGTTCTGAGGCTGCGTAAAAGAGCGAAGCGTAGCGTTGGTTGTTGTCGAGGACTGCTTGGCGCGTGCGTGCGGCTTGCTCAGGCGATGCGCGAGGGCTTCATTCCGTATGTAACAACAAACTTTGCGTCAACATGTGGCCGCGAGCCCGTGCTGCGGCATTTGGACATGTCTGTACCGGGACGAGAAAACATCCCCTTTCTGGGGTTCAACACGAAACACAGGGAAGTTTTAGGAGCCGGAATAGGTCACAGCTTCCTCTATTATTCTATATTCCCCGGCAGCACCTTCCCCATGCACTGCGAGCAAGGAGGGCTCGGTGCCTTCAACGCTGTAGTAGGCGTGCTAAAAAAGCAGGTTAAAAGGGCACTTGAAAGAGGCTGCTGAAAGCTGCATTGTTCCTCGGTAGCTGCCGCAATGATGGGGCTGTTCAAGTTTCCACGGCACTCCAGATGCCCGTATCCCGCCCCATGAGTAAGAGCCCCGACGACGAGCATTACGCTGAACACCCCTGAAGGTCGGAGACGTGCCTCAGAGTAGAGCCCGCGAAAAGGCTCAGAAAAATCCCTGCCTCACAGGGCTTCTTGCTGAAATGCGCGCGAGCGAATCACTTGAGAGGCCCCCTACGAGAAATCCGGTCGTGCTGCTTCAAATTGCATGAGGCGGATTCCTTCCACGGGGTGCTCATAGCGGTAGGAACTCCTCAAAGTAGAGGCCGCGTCAGTTGGAAACTGATGTGCAGAAACGACTCTGACCAAGCGCCTGAGGTCCTCCCTGCATGCGCCGCTCCTTGCATACTTTTCCATACGCTCGCCCCCAGCCCTGTGCAAGCTTATTTGTATTCAAGATACATATATATGTGTGTGTACTAGGTGTACATGTGGATGTGGATATATATACATATATATATTCCGCATATATATATATATAGATGTGCTCAATGTCTGTTCTTCAGTGTATATGTATGCAGTTGGCTTACACAAACGATCGGGTACACAATTGTTGTATATGTATATGCATTCGGAGCTATACAGATACGCCTATGAAGTTTATATGATTATGTATACCGAGGGCCCACAGACAGAGAGGTATTTCCTATTGGGACTGCTTCTCAAGGTAAGATTCTCCGGGGTCCTCTGGTTTGTTGCGCCTCGCCCCTTGGTCAGCCGGCGCAAAAATGGGGGAAAGAAGCATCTCTCTTACGGGCTTTCTCATGCGTTTCCCTTGAGACAGTTGTATGTAATACTGTCTGCATCAGGTGTCCAGAAGGGGCCTACCAGGGCATAGTGCCGTTAGCATGGCACTCGGCGATTGACTTGGCATGCCCTATCCTCCTACTATAGGCGGGTGATGAACGAACTTCTGCCGCATGTGCAGAAAAGGATGTGCTGCAACATGCGTGGCTTCACTGAAGCCCTATGGGGACTCACCGTGGTGTTGGTATTCTGGTTCTGACTTCCAAACCCCTTGCAGGATACGTCTTGCCTCAGCGCCAGACTGCGACCGCAGCCTGGGTGTGCTTTGGCTCAAGGGGAATACAAGACGTGTTTATTCATGGTCCCTACGCAACTGCTTTGAGAGAGCCGGCTTGCCTGAGTGCAGTTCTATCTGATGAGGCAAGTTTGTCGCTGCGCTGCAAGTGTCCGTGAGGGCCCTATAGAGAGGCCCCAATGTACCTCTAGGGGCGCGCATGTGCTTGCTGATTATACCTATATATAAATATATACACGTACATGTGTGTAGCCGTCCATCTGGATGCACAGATATGCATGTGAGCATGTACTTGGATCAGCATGCTGGATCTACACGGAGTCTCCCCTGCTCTGAGGGCCTCAGAACCATTGCTTTATCGTATTTCTCTCTCCCCTCTCACTGTCATTGTGGTGCACGTACATGAGTAGATGTATAGCGATGCCTACAGAGGTGGTCCTTCTCCACAGTAAGGGGAAAGCATGTTTGAGAGTTGCATTAAACCACGATATGCCTAGTGGGAAAGGTCCTGCAATTGTAGATTTTCCTGTGCAGGAGGTATGCCCAATAAAGAACTAAAAATTCATTAAATGTAGACTTTAGCTTTCAACTGTTCTCTCTTTGCACAACGCGGGTGCCCCAGCATTGTAGTGATGTGAGCTGCTTGTCATTTTGCCAAATTACTGAGTGCAGCTGCGTGCGCAAGCTGAGAGTACTCAGAAGGCAAACGTATTAGAGGCCCTGTTGCCTGCCCTCCCCTTCAGCTGGGAATCATGTGGCATGATATAACTAGAAAACAAAGCGTTCTCGAGGCAGTTCGTAGTAACCTCTTTGCAGCTTTCTGTGGAAAACAGTGGAGGATCTGTGCGCAGGAACCTCAGACCCGAGACGCTTGCAAGTGGTAACAATTAGGCTATACCCAGCCGGAACTCGTTCATAGGGGTTGAGGCGCAGTAGCACAACAGTTCAGCGTGTCATGTTTTCTGCTCTTCTCTAAATTCGAGTATGCTCCATCAGCAATTACCAGGGAATGTACCTCGGTAGATTTGCGTGAAAATATGCACCGAAAAACTGGCTCAACTAAAGCATTAATTATACACATCAAGGTCTAAAAAGGAAGTGATGTGAAGGCTGTAATAATTCAATAAAATAACTCGTGGTTCCATGGTAATCCTACAGAAAAAACCGTGTCTTCACACACTCGCAGCTTCTGGGCGTTGAAACTCTAACCAAGCGTCTTCGCGAAAATTTGGGCATTTCCTTGGGCTTCGTACCTCTATTTTATGTGCCTCACCTCTCCCTCATGTCACTGCTGTTTTATACCGCTGCTGTCTGGTTCCTCTAATCCCTCATGCATTGCAGCGCCAGCTGTACAACCTTCCGCCTTTATCTTCAGTATCCGCTCAACTGGAGTGGCTCGACTTCCACTGCGCTATAGCACACTGCGCTGTGCATGATTTCGGCTCGCGAACGTCGCAAGTGGCGGCGTAAAATGTTTGCCCCCACAGTTGGGGTGTACCCTACTGCGGGTTCCAATGCTTGAAACAGCTGTTGTAAGCTGTCTTCTTCCTTCCACTTCCGTGCGGACATTGTAAAAAATGCGCTTTCGAAACACGATCGCTTGTTTTTGTTATGATGGGGATGATATTGCGCTTGAAATGATACATTGGATCATCGACCGAGTTAACCAGCTAGATCACAGCTGACTTCGGCTGTTGAGGAATTCGAAGCTAGATAAGCCGCAAAACTTTCTAGTACACTGGCTATTGGCAGCTGAAAATTAGCAGACTATTGACTCGTCTTTTTGCTTTTTGATTTTTTATCCATTGCGGAGTACAGTTAGCTTGATACAACAAGACGCCGTTCTGTGTGGATACGCGCTGGGCGCTGTGTAACGAGCTGTGAACGCACAAAATGTTTTGGTGATGTAGCTATACGTACGACAGTGCCTCCTCTCCCCTGCATTCGGACGTATGGGAAGCATGGGCAGGGAAAGCAGAGAGTTCTCTTGAACAAAGACTCGGTAACTTCATACTGCATGTCCTTTGAGTCCGGCGTTCAAAATCTTCATACGGAGATCTCCGACAACGTTACAAACCCAAGACAGAAGGCTACAAAATCTCTTTTTGCAATTGCCCCGTAAGATTTTAGCATTTTGGGGAAAAGGCAGCTACACTTTTCGTTTGCGCATCCATTGAGCACTCACAGCAATCGCTCTCGGTCTTAAGTAGCGCGTTAGCGCATATATGCACCGCCACCACGAGCGTTCCTCAGCTAATGAATTCAATATTCTCTGAACCGCTTGTTCAACCAGAGCAGAGAACTAATCAACCAAGTTTCGTTACATACTAATGTTGAAGTACAGAAGGCGCACGTACAGCTTGGCCAGATACATGTGACGCTGAGGGTCTTCATAGAGACCATAAGGGAAGATCCGCTGGGACTGTGGGCCAATCCATCTGCTTTCTAGCTACACAGATGGTGGAAGTTTCCTCTTGACGATAGGAGGAGCCAAAAATGCACGAAAGGCTTCAGAGGGAGTTTCTGGTGCTTTTAGCAAGCAGCGCAATCCTCCACCATCCCCTTAACACAGAGTGCCCCACGCGAGGGTCGAAGAGGCCAAACGCAGGGTATTAACCATGGCATATGCGGATCGGGGTGGGTGTTTTTGCACTGTGGCCCCCAGTAGTTTAGTGCACCGGATTGCAACAAAACCTCTCGGCGTGATTGGAAGGTATCCCGATCATGCGAGCGATGCGGTGCCAGCGCAGGCAAGTCACATTGGGTTACCCATACCCTTTGATTGAACGTGTGCTGGCTTTTCCATGACCTTCAAGAGCTCGTCTTACCCGCTATTATGACCGCGCACTGGACGGGGTGGCTAATCTTGCGTGTAAGATGCAATGCTCTCCCAAGTTCCGACCACCCCAGCCTCTTCAGCTTAATAGTGCGAAGACAAAGGCATCGGCTTCCAACGCCCACCTAAAGGGTTTTGCTGTGCTAATGCAGGGTACTGCTGTTGGGGCCCCCGACCGCTGCTCGGGGGGCCCCTGGGGAGGAGGGTTGCGGCAACAAGTTCCTCAGGGGGAAAGACACATCAGAAATGTTCTCTCCAGGTGTTCTGTTCGTATACAGGAAAGGATCTAGCCACTTTAAGGCGCGAGAAACTCCCCCTGCCTGCATACAGCTCTCCCACACCTGCCGTATTCCCTTTCTCCAGCAGCCGCTACCGACCCGCGCAAAGGACGGCAACATTCGCGAAAAACTCTTGACTCTTGTTCTTTGCACTTTTCTCCTAGCAAAGAAGAAAACCTTCTGAAGTGACTAGGCTCCCTTCCCCCCCCCCCCAAAAAACAGCGACGACAGGAGCTTCGGTGCAGTCCTCCGCTACTGCAGTCCTTCATCACGTATTCCTTAATGCAACAAGGGTAGAGGTTCGTCCGCTATGGCTGGCACCACTCTGCACTGCTGCCGGGGAACATCTGTAGCTGCTGCTGCCTCAACAGCGGCGTCGGAAGAAACGAAGGCATCCAGTACAGCGGTCGTATGTAGCACATAAACCACAGCACAGAACGTGACTTTATGGGACTGAGGAGGGAGAGGCGATGCTGAGGAAGCAGTGCCAGTTTCCACTTGCTGCAACAGCAACAGCAGAAACTGTGACAGTGCACGAGCAGCAAAAGCCGCCTCCCGCTGCAGCAAGCACAGAAGAGGGGGCCTTTTTTCAAGGTCACCCCGGTGAGGGGCGTTGCCCCTCTGGCGAGAGCTCCTCAAGACCAGTGGACGCGCCTCCGCCAAGGAACTGCAGCAGTCTAACGCAGCCTCAAGAGAACTTGCAGCAGCAGTTCTTAGCGTCCCTCGCGGGTGCAACCCAAGAAGATGCGGCAGGCGCTGCTGCCGTGTCTCTCACGCGCCTGCTAATCACAAAACTGCTCCCCCAAGGCTCCACAAGGGACGGAGATCGCTCCCTCAGACACAATCGGGCCCCGCAACCTGCGGCGAATTCCCTTCAACGCCTTCAGCAAAAGCAGCAAAAGCAGCAGCAGCAGATGTATGAGTGCCAACCTGTGCCTCTACCTCGCTGGCTTGCCTCTTCCCCTGGATTCTCGCGCCTCCGAGACAGCCAGCAGGAGAGCGGAACCCGCATATCGGCGTGTGCAGTGGCAAGCGACTGTCGAGCTGCCCTCGGATTCTGCAACGGCGTGCTGCTGCTGGTGCCTCTACCGGCGCGTGAGCGTGAGGAGAAGCTCAAGGAGCAGGAGGCTGCAGCAGCAGCGCTCTCGAGAGAGAGCTGCTCTCCTTCTTCCCAGCACATGAGCTCTCCGCAACAAGCTGTATGGGTACTACAAGGCCATGACGCTGAAATAACGGATGTCAGTGTTGCACCTCGATCGCTTCTTGCTTCGGCGGGTCTGACGGGGTGTGTGCTGATACACGTTTTGCCCGCCTGCAGCAGCAGCAGTAACTCGAGTAGCGCCTCCAGCAAGAAGCGCGGTTCAGGAAAGACTCCTGCGGCTGGAGCAGCGGAAGCAGGGGGATTCGTGGCTGTGGGCCCCACGCTGTCTCTGCAGTACACCCACCCCGTCCTCTCCGTCTCGCTTTCTCCAGATTGCAGTCTGTCGCACTTCCCCGCCGCGGCTGCGCTTCTTTCCGACGCGCAGGCTGCACGAGCTTCTCTCCAAGGCTGTGCAGCTGCAGTTCGCGGAGGAACGGTGGCGAGCTTCCCAGGAGGCCCCTCCTTCTCTCGTCTCCGCCAGTTTCACGCCTCGACGAGTGCACCAGCAAGCAGTTTGCACCAGCGAGAGGGTGGACTGCGCTCCGTGTGTGCAGTGGGGTGTATGAACGGCAGCCTGCTGCTCCACACGAGGGGCTTCTATGCAGAGCGCGACGTGCTCCTGCAGCAGGGGGATGCTCCTATATGCTGCTGTCGATGGCGAGGCTCCCTCCTCGCATGGGGAACGACTTCAGGCAGCGTTCATGTCTTTCACGTAAGCAGCAAGCAGAAGGTTTGCTGCTTGCAAAGACCTTTGGGAACGGCGGCAGCGGCAGGCACTGCAGCAGCGAGCGAGACGGCTGCACCGCCTCGCAGCGCGTCTCTCCTGCAGTGGGTGCAAGACGACCTCTTGGCGGTAGCGTGGGAGACTGAGGTGCAGCTGCTGCGCATCGTCTCGTCTGAAGATCCGCAGCCGCTGACAGGCGTGGATGCAGCGGGCGCGACAGCCTCGGCGTTTCGATGTGGGCATGTCATCAGCACCGTGGATTTGAAAGGCAGCAGCGTGCGCGGTGTCTTCCCCAGTCCGGAGCTGCCTTCTGCCCTTCAGCCAGCCTTGTGTCTTCTCAAGCTCGAGCGTGCTGCTGCATCTGCCGTCGCTGGTGGTAGTTGCGCGGTTGTGGCATCGAAAGATTCGGCAGAAGAAGCTGTCGTGTGGCTGCTGCTAGTCTCTTGCGGCAGGGGTTGCGTTGTGTCGCATCAACGCCTGAGGCTGCCTTTCTCGGCAGCGCCATCGAGGCAACGCGTTGTTGCAGAGCCAGACAGAGCAGAGAAGAGAGAAGACGCAGAGCGAGGCTCACACACTTCCAAATACGCAGACTTCCTTGTGGCCCCTATGGCTGAAGGGGGAGGCTGCATCCTGTGCTGTGGAGCTGATGTATTCGCAGTAAGACGTATTCAGGTTGCTAATGTGCAGCCGATGGTGCTGGTCGTGTGTGTCTTCGTGTGTGTGTCTTCGTGTGTGTGTCTTCGTGTGTGTGTCTGCGTGTGTGTGTCTTCGTGTGTGTGTCTTTGTGTGTGTGTCTTTGTGTGTGTGTCTTCGTGTGTGTGTCTTCGTGTGTGTGTCTTCGTGTGTGTGTCTTTGTGTGTGTGTCTGCATGTGTGTGTGTCTTTGTGTGTGTGTCTGCGTGTGTGTGTCTGTGTGTGTGTGTCTGTGTGTTTAATAGATCGCTGAGGGAGAGGGTGGGGAAGATTAGTGTAATAATAGTGGCAGTTGGTGCTGCCTCGGGGTCGGCGCGTGACGAAAGCCTTTTGTTGATTTTGTGCTGCTGCGCTGTTCTCTCTCCTTAATCCAGCTTCGACCTCGAGATGCTCAGGATAAAGTGCAGTGGTTGCTGCAGCAGCAGCCTCTCACGCTCAACGTCGAGCTCGCCCTCTCCACTGCCATGTTGGTGTCAGACGAATTTGCGACAGCAACGAGTCTGCAAGCGGTGCGGCTGCTGTTGCAGCAGCAGCAGCGAGAAGCTGCAGCGGCGTTGCTTCCCCGCTTGGTGCTGCAGCGGGATGCGGACTGGATGGATTTGCTATGCCTTTTCGCTGAGCACAAGGCGCTTGCGCCGTTCGCATGCCAGCTCGTTGCTGCTGCCGCTGCAGAAGGAGCGCCAGCGTCGACTGCAGAGGGCTCAAGAGCAGCGACGACGGCAGGAGAGTGCGCAGCCGCAAGACGGACGGCTTTCCAGCCGCCAGTGGCGTTGTACCTTGAGCTGCTGCAACTGCTCCTGAGGGATGCGTCAGCTGATTTGCGCGAGCGTTTCCGGCGAGAGAGGATACAAGAGCAGTCGGAGGGGAGCATGCAGCTACAAGAGCAGAGCGCGCGTCCGCCTCTGCAAGGGGATGGAGCTGCGGAAGCAGCAGCCTTTCTGCGATGCCTGGCTGCGTTTCCGCCGCTTCCCGCAGCAGCTAGCGTAGAGCTGCTGCAGTGCCTCCTGCAGCTGCCCCTCTTGTGCCGCCTTTCGCAGTGGGGCGTTGACGCTGCGTCTCAGGAGACACCGCAGCAAGCGCATGCGCGCTTGCTGCGGCGGCTGCAGCAGCGAGAGCAGAGACGGCCTCTTCAGGAGCCTCACGGCACGCACGAAGGCGGCAGCGTGTGGGATTCGCCTTTGTACGAGCCATTACTTAGGGCGTGCGCTGTCTTGGCTCACAGACTGCGGCTGTTTTGCTGCTCAGCGCATGCGCTGCTCCTGCTGCAGTCCCCGCGCGCAGCGGTGTATATCCACCGCGTGCTGATGAGCCCGAAAGATGCAATCTCTCCCTGCGTCTCGGAGCCACAAGGAGCTGCCATCGCTGCAGAAGCAGACAAAAGGAGCGTCACAGCCCCCTCCAACGAATTCGAAGAAGAGAACAATCGGATATTGCCAACTCCGGAGAGTGCTGCCGCGGCTCTCGCGGCAGCCGTTCCGAGTATGTCGCTGCAGCTGCTGCAGCTGCAAGCCGCAGACGCGTTGACTCTCTTGTGCTTGCGTCCCCATCCCGCTAAGCCGTGGCTATGCGAGGCGAATTCTGCGCGCGACGCTGGTGAAAGCGACAACAGTTGCTCCAGCAGCAGCGGCTTTCGCCACCGGAGCAAAAATCCTGGCAGAGGCGCTCTGGTATTTCCTCCAGAGGATGTCGTTCCGCATCTCCTGTGCGCCCAAGCGTTGCTGCATCTCTATTTGAAGGCTGCCTACTCGGCGTGCCCAGCAGCAGTAGCGTGTCTCTCATTGTTGCAGGTGCGTCTGCTTCCCCTCTGTCAGAGTGGAGGCAAAAATGCGGCTCACGGTACATGCGACACCCTTCGCTCTCTCCTGAAGAGGGGGAACGGGGGAAAAAGCGGATTTTCTGCGGTGTCTGCGCTTCTCTCGCGCACATGCTTCGAATGCAACTTGGCTGCTGCGTCTGTTGGCTCCCGCTGCAGGTGAAGTTGTACCTCTCCCTCGAACCTCATTTGCTGCTGACCTTCCTCCGCTCAGCAGACGGCAGCTACGATTACGAAGAGGCCTATAACCTGCTGCTGCAGGAGGGAGGCGAGGCGCCACACCTGCAAGAGCAACGGCAGCAGCATGCTGTTTCCTTTGGGCCTGACGCTGCTGCAGATGCAGACGCTCTCCAACCTCTGAACGATGCTCCTCAGGAGCTGGAAGGTTTCCAACCTTCTGCAAGAGCTGTTGATGCACAAGCAGCAGCAACACAAGCAGCAGCAACACAAGCAGCAGCAACAACACAAGCAAAAGCAACACAAGCAGCAGCAGCAACACAAGCAGCAGCAATTCGAGCGACAGCAACAACACAAGCAGCAGCAACACAAGCAGCAGCAACACAAGCAGCAGCAACACAAGGAGCAGCAATTCGAGCAACAGCAACACAAGCAGCAGCAGCACAAGGAGCAGCAGCAACACAAGGAGCAGCAGCAACATCAGCAGCAGCAACACAAGGAGCAGCAGCAACACAAGCAACAGCAACAACACAAGCAGCAGCAATTCGAGCGACAGCAACACAAGGAGCAGCAGCAACACAAGCAGCAGCAACATCAGCAGCAGCAACATCAGCAGCAGCAACACAAGGAGCAGCAGCAACACAAGGAGCAGCAGCTGCATCAGAACAGATGCTGCAGCACTTGCAAGTTTGCTTCGCTTCTCTTGGTCCGGAGACACCCCGAGCTGCTGCGTTTTTGCTGCAGCGCCAAGGTCGATTGGAAGAGGCGTTGCTGCTTTTGCTGCTGCGTTGCAATGACGTGGAAGCAGCAGTTCAAGTAGCAGAAAGCACCCAGTTAGCGGCAGCTGCGCTGCGACATCCCCCGCATGCCCAAGAGCAGCGGCAGCAGCACTCCGCAGAAGCTGCTGCCAATGAAGGAGGTCTCTGGAAACTTATCGTCTCCGTTTGCAGCTCTAATCCGCCTCTCCTTGTAGCCTTGCTTCACGCTTTAGACAGAGCTCCTGCTCTGTCATCACTTCATCTTCATGTCAGCAAGGGAGGGGCCGCTGCCAAGGATAGAGCGGCAAAAAGAGCAAGCACCACAGAGGCGCTTAATCCCGTTAGCAGCAGCGACAGCAGCAGTACGGTACTCTCTCGTTGGTGTCTACTTCCTCTCTCTTTAGGTCAGCAATTACTGCAGTTGGCTCCTGGCTCTGTGCAGCACCTGCTGCCAGCAATTGAACGCCGTGTTGCGCTGCTGCTGCAGCAGCAGCAGCAGCTGCTGGAAGTCTGCCAAGCAGCCTGTGAGTGCGTGCAAGCCGAAAAGGCGATTTTGGAGTGGGAACTCTTCCTCCGCAGACGCAGAGGCGTAACTGTTCGTTGCGGCAGCAAAAGCAGCAAGAGCAGCAGTGTAGACGCAGGCGTTGTAGACAAGGGGCAGCTGAAGCTGCTTATCGAGCGTTCATCCGTTTCCTCCGCAGAGCTGCAGGAGCAGCTCAAGGCAGCACGCTGTGCAGCTGCGAGGGAGGAGAAGCTTCCCTTGCAAGTGTGGTCGGGGTACTGCAGTTCCCCTATCAGTATTCCGCCGAGTGCTAAGGGGGCTTATTCTGCATCGGGAGTCTCTGGCGCGTTGCAGTGCCGCAGCCACCTTGCGCCGCGTGCGCTAAGGTCTGCAGAAGCAGCTGCTGCTGCACCGGGGGATAGGAGGGCAGCCACAGGAAGGCGCTTGGCTAGCTGTTGCGTCATCTGCAACAAGCCGCTAGCTGCTGCGCCAGGGCAGCGCACCGAGTTCTGGCTGCTGCCTCAAGGAGGAGCAGCAGCAGCTACATGGGGCGGAGAATCCTCGGCGCCGACTATATCGGCGAGCACGACGCCGCGTGCAACTACACCGAGGAACGCGACAGCAGGCGCAGCAGACACACGAGCAGCAGCCGGCTGGGTCAGCCAATTGAGAACAAAAACGGCAACTGGAGAGATTTCCATTCCAGGAGAGGCCTTAGTGAGTGACGACGATTTGAGACGGGCGGAGGAGCAGGGGTGCCAGCAGAAGGAAAAGGAGAAGATAGTGGTCTTTTGGTGCGGGCACTGCATGCACAGTACTTGCTGTCAGCGCAGCTGTACTCCTGCTAGGGGGAACGAGGCGGGGGAGGCTACTGACTTGCCCGTAACGCTGCGTTGCTCTCTGTGTGCCTTCGCTACTTCTGCCGCCTGGCGAGGCGCTTGGCGCCGTGTGGGGAGTTGGGGAGACGGGCTAGAACTCGCTCCCCTGCAGCTCCCCACAACACACAGCAAGCCAACAAAAAAAACGGCAGTCGGGGGGGGGCACTCCAGTGCACTCCAGCAACAGCTGGAGGCGTAGCCTGTGCAGACAATTCAGGATATGGCGGATCCAGAGGTCATGCAGTCTGAGCTGCTGTCACAGAAACAGCCTGTGATGCTGCTGTCGTGCAACTCAGCACTCCTTGCATGTCGTGGGGGCACAAGGGTCACCCCGAGTGCAGCGTGCCAGGGCCAAGTGCCCCCCTTGGGACGCCTTGAACTCGTGTCTGCTCAAACGCGATTTTTAGTTTGTTTCTCACGCTCTCGAACGAACCGCGAACACTGCCTCTATCTATCGATCCCTGATAGTGCTCCCCAGAACGGCCCAAGGGCATGTGGGCACACACGGCGAAACGACCTCCTAATTGCTGCCCTGTTAAGGCACAGAAGGCTGCACCCGATGCCGATATAGTTCAGTCGATGACGCCCACGGTGTACACCTCGCGATGCAGTCCTTCCAAACGCCGTTCGCGGCGAAATGGGGCATTCGCAGTGTTCGGCGGTGTGATAATGCTAAAATGTTTCTGTCACGCGAACAAATACACATGCCTTCACGTGAGGAAAGCAGATCGAAGAGCAGCATGCGCAGGAAAACTCCGTGTTACACCGGCAAGAACCAACCCTCCGTCGAGTTGCCTCCGTCACCACTGACGCCGTGGGGCAGGTGAAGTTCTAGGCTGGCAGTGATTTGAACGGGGAAAACGCGGCTACTGTTATGACCCCAGCTATTTCAAGAAAATAGAACGCGCTAAAACCCCGAAAGAACCTCAGAAAAAGCAAAGAAGAAAGCCGACGACGGGGCTCGAACCCGCGACCACGAGGTTAAGAGCCTCGCGCTCTACCGACTGAGCTACATCGGCGATTGTGGAGGGTCCGAGGTCTCTATGCATCGAGAGTAGGAAAATAATGACAGTCTAAGTGTTTTAGATACCTATCGCATAATAAGGCGCTACCCAATAAAGTATGCACTTCTGTAAGATGCAGCTTGACTGCCTAGGATATCCTCCCAGAGGCGAGATGTGCTCGTGTCCTCTTAGTGCTGTAGCCGCTTGTGGGACCCCACACCACAAGGTGCACGCAATTCAAAACGCAGAGAGTTTGTGTTTGGTTCTTATCCAATAGCTTTCATGAGGTGGTGAATAATGAATGTGGCGTTCGATGGACTGCAAGTTCAAAGGACGCACATGACTTCCATCTCGCAATCATTTCGCTTGGAAACCGGTGAAGAATAATTTGTGCACGTTAAAAGAAAAGGATAAGCAGCCACTTGGGCCTCGAAATAACACTTATGACGCATTATTCTTCCTGTTAGCACCCGCTATTCATTATTCCCAAAAACAATGATATATTATTGGGTTCAGCATCTAAATGTGTCTGTCAGCGCTACCTACATGTTATAGCCATCCACATGAAGTTTGCAGCACTGTGCCATCATCGTTACATTAATGGCAACATGACGCGACCCGGCTAACCCTGCAGCATCAGAAGGTCGTTGTGGCAATCGAGAGTCTTACGCACTGAACCCGAGAGTCTTAAGTACTTAACTCTTTCCAGGCTGGAAGCGCTGCTGTGTTTACTTCACTTTGGCAGACCACACCACCAAGTAACAATAAACGATATGCTTGAGCCGAAGCCTGGCGGGCAGCTGGCGTTCTCAAGATAGCACCAAAGTAAACGTGGAGGGCCGATTCCAAGAATATTTCGTGGGTTCTAAGAAATCCAAATGTTTCTCGGGTGTCTCATAGAGGGGTCATGGTGGGCGCATCTCATGTTCAAGTTGATGCGTACACTAATATCGCAGGCTTGTGTATACTAAGAACGAGTTTATGCATACGCATGGCGGCATATACATCTGTTTAGACCCCGATGCACCTCATAGTTGCTCCTTCAGAGTTGTTGAAACAGATAGGTTTACGTCACGTATCAGGGATTGTACATAATATATCCAAGGGCAAGTGCCCAGACTGCATTCCGTATACTAGCGCTTTCACTCATGACCTCCGTAAATTACATCGCTCCAATGAGGAATGACACATCGTCACGTATCCTGGATTCAAGCACCATATCTTTGCCTGGCGAAGACAACGCGGTAAACAGCTACGCTGTTCTATTGAAGGTCCTTCGTCGACTAGAGTTTTTCTCTATTCCTTAGATAGAAATTGAGAAGCCTGGATTAGATACTGTATTCTAGCATGCAGGAAAGAGACTTACAGCCACGCATGACATGGCCACACCTCAAGCATCGTGATTTGCATCCTCCACTAAAATACTTGGAGGCCACTGACAGTGGGTAACCTTATCAAGCCCGCTTGCGCGATTCTTGTAGACGCAAGCAGCCTTACTTCAGTGTTGTAGCGTAGCGCTGCATCCGGAGTGGCTCATGCCTTCGCTGGTGTTTTGTGCCAGGTGTCGTGACATAGTGTGTTCTAGAGGAGCCAGAAAAAGCAGTTTTCTACCACGAATCGCTTGAGCAGTGTCGAGCGTCAGCGCGAAATTTGTCTGCTTAGTAGCGTAGCGTATGACAGCAGTATCGATTCATCATATGATGCGCAATCTAGGGATTTTCTTTATTAGGGCTGGAAAGTACACATCCTTGTTGTAGCGTTCATCGTCCTTCATCACACCCCTCTTCCTGCAGCATCCGCGAAGCATACTTTTGCTGTGTGTGGCATCATATTACTATTTGTCTCTCGTCTTTGTAGCCCTCTATCTCTCTGTTCGCTCCAGAATCTGAACCTCTGCCTACCTACCTGCGCGGGTGTCTGTTATCTCTGACAGTGCCCAGCGATTGCACTTCTGAAGCGCATAGAGCACTTAGCTAGAAAGAGGAACGTTGCAGCTCCCTACTTTCTCTCGCTGTCCACTAAAGCCCCATCCAAAACTTGAGCTGTTGGTAGCACACGTATCCATAACTAAGAATGGTGCTGTAGCGGAGCAGAAGACGTCAAAATCGCCGTTTCTAGAGCTTGTACCCAGAGGTTCTTTCATTGTATTTGCTTGCTATTCCTGGCGGCGCCTTCATCGAATGCTCTATCGACTCCGCTTCGGCTCTGCTATTTTCAGCTCTCCCCAGGCCCCACTAGACTAATACCGAGTCATAGAAAGCGCTTTGTTCGCTGCGCTGCTTTAGAATCCTCAATCGGCCTTTGCCAACCCTTTGAGACTGCTGCCACCAACCGACCACACAGTTCCGCCTCCGCCGCCTCCTCGCCCTCACGCCGCTTCATGAGATCGCGTTGATTTTTATTCATGCCACAGTCCCATGTGCCCCCTCAGTGTGACTGCCTGCGGTGTCTCTTCCCTCCCCCCGCCATCTCTTGAGCTGAAATTGCCCATCTAGCCAACTAGCGGTGTCTAAGGCGACTTTAGACGCACACACACGAGGGCAGCAAGAGCCACACCAACGGCTAAAAAGCATCGTGTTCTTCGTCAATCACTAGCGCGTTTGTGCCAAAGGAGCGCCTCTAGTCGGCTCAGGGTTTTCCAGCTGGCTTTTACCCCTGAGCGTCACGCGGGCTGTCCTTCTGGCTTGAGCCACGCTGGCAAACACACCTCCCCAAACCACCCTCTGTCCATACACTCCGCATACAGACACAGACGTACACACATACACACAGAGACACAGAGACAGCGACCCTTGTAGCACCTGCAGCACCGCTGAAGCGCTCGCTTGTAACCGCGTATTCGCAGGAGGTGACCTTCCTTTCCAGACACAGACGTAGAGGCGCCTCCCTAGCGAGGAGGACAGCCTGGCTGTCTGTAAGTCTGCACTGGTCGGGCTAGAGCAGCTGCGCCCACGAACGCTGCATGTCTGCTGGTACTGCTACTGCCACTGCTTGCAACTGGTCTGCTTCCCCTAGAGAGGGCGGTCGGCTGCAAGAGCATCCGCCGACGTCTCTGGATTTCACGCAGATTCGAGCGAAGCAGCTTGGCAATGGAAAGCAGTACATGTCCGTTCAGGAGAGGACGCGCAGAGGTCACCCCATCAGCCACTGTCACGGCGATTACCTCGAGGTACAACGAATCCGAAGCGGACCCTCCTGCATTCGAGGGGGGTGTATCCTCAACAGCCCTTACAGCGGGTGCTGCGGCGGAAAGTCTCAAGATGAGATACTCCCTCGCACGGCCTTCTCCGCGAGACAGCCACACCTCCGCAACAACACGACGTTGTTGCTGCTGCTGCTGAGCGGTCTGCTGTCGCGGCTGAAAAGCCCCCTCCCTGCTGCACTGCTCCTGCCGTCCAGACTCCTGCTTTCCAAGGGCCTGCTGCTGCTCAGTGTATGGACGCCAGTGCGAGGTGACGCAAAACGGCAGCAGCTCCCATCTCAGTGGTCGGCGCAGTATTACGCCTACCATGGGTGGCGCTGGTGATACTGCAGTTGCCGCTGTTGCTGTTTTCTGCGCTGCAGCAACCAGCCGAACAGGCGGCTTCCCTGATTGCGGCTGCAATGGACTTAGCAGCTCCTTTTGCAGCGAGAGCAGCAGAGCAGCACACGTGTCGATATCAGACGGGCTGTCGCACTCAAGGGGTACTCGTGCCGCAGCGACAGCGAATCCCCTGCTCTTGTCGTGCACTAATTCGTAAGTTTGTTGGAGTTGCTGAGCCCGTTTTTCTCGTTGCAGCTCCCCGCCGGAGAGGATGTCGTGGACTGCCCTGTACACCTCAGCCTGCTCCGCCTGCTGGTCGGCGTCTGGCGACATGTGCTGCTGCATCTGCTGCTGCTGGAGTCGGTGCAGTAGGAAGCGCACATGCGCGTCGGGGGGCTGCATGAGGAAAGAGGGAGCTGCAGTAGGAAGTGCAAGGCCGTCTTTGTGAACCCTATGGACGACGACTACGGCAAGAAGGGCGGCTGCAGCCGCTGCTCCTACCGTTGCCAACGATCTCCTCCGAAGAGCGCTGAGGATGGAGTTCCCTGCTGCTGTAGCGCTGAGCAGCAGCAAGCTGATCCGATCTTCGCTCCCTTGTGGCTTGCGCACCCGGAGAGGCCTGCGTCACTGAGCTGCCGCGAAGACGCTGCCGCCCTTGCTGCTGCTCAAGAGCTGCAGCTCAGACGGCGGCGTAAAGAGGAGCATCAGAAACAGCAGCACCGCCGCCATGCAGACGGCGGAAGGCCGAAGGCTGCTGCCGTACAGGCGTCCCCCCCTCCCGCCTTCCATCGTTTCAGTGCTGCACCTGAAGTAGAAGTAGAAGTAGTAGACAGCCGCGGCAGCAATCGCCAGCTGTATTTTTATTTCATAAATGAAAGAAGCTGCGCCCGAGCAGCAGCACCACACCCGAGAAGCGAGCGCAGTGCACCCGCCCTTCTCCCGCTGTACCTACAGTCCCCCGGAACCATCGACGTGGGGGCCCCCCTCCTTCGCGAAGGAGGGGGGGCCCCCCACCCCCATACGTCGCGCTGCTGCTCCTGAACGGAAATAAATGGCGAAAAAACACAAAAAACATCAATAGCCATGCGCAGCTTGAGAGGCGAACGTGTGCGACGCCATCTTCTCCATTGCTGGGAATCCTAATGCGCTCCACAGAGGCAGACGTTCGACTTCTTTCGCCGCTACACCGCCACAAGTCGGACGCCGCCTAACTGACGCCATGCGCCTGAGGGGCCCTCTAGGGGCCCCTTAGGCGCATGCGCGCTCGCCGAAACTGCGCATTCCCATCAAGAATAGCATCATCGCTCTGCACCCTGCAGCTGCTGTACACAGCTCCTGTACGCAGCCTGACCCCCCGTTTCTCCACTCAAAGGCCAGGAGCGGTGCAAGCAAGCGTCGCAAGAAGTAGAACCATACAGAGCAGCCGCTGGCAGTCGAGCAAGGAGCTCTCCAGGATGGAGTTGGCAAGCCGTGGACTGCGACTGCAAGAGGGCTGCTCTTCACAGACACGCCTGCTGAGCAGGTTGCACTGGTGCTGCTGTCGAGAGCAGCGGCAAAACAACTTTCTTCTGCCTCCCACGGACGGTCCCTCTGCGCTGAAAGGCGGCATCCTCTTCAAGCAGCCATACTCCTGCTTCCGTAGCTGCCTGGGGTACAGCAGGAGCGGAAGAACTGCCGAGAAGAAGATGCTGCTGCTGCTGTCGCACAGGCGTGGCTCCAACTTGCAGCCGCAGTCGCGTCTGATGCTGCGCGGTTCTGCTGTTGCTGCATTCAGCACGCAAATACGCAACAGTCGTGGCAGCAGCAAGAGCAGCAGGACCAACGAGAGGAGCAGCAGAAACAACAAGAGCAGTAGCAGCAGCAGCAAACAGCAAACACGAAAGCACAAGCGCGTTTCCATGGAACGGCCGATACGCAACCCTTTGCATCCATCAGCAGCCACAGTTTCGATCAACTCTGCGGCTGCAGCAGGTACCGATCTCATCAAGTCTGGATCTCTGTACACCCCAGAGAGCGCTGATGCGAGACTCCTTGCAGCAACTGCCTGCCTGTGCAGACTGTATGCCTTAACGAAGGATGCGCAGCTCATGGAGAGGTAAGACTCCGCATGCTACGGCGTCTCTGAGCGATCCTCAGAATCCTTTGCTTTGCCCTGCCTTGCCCAAAGTGTCTCCTTTCTTTGGCTCCAGAGGATCGCGGCAGCAACGCATGCAAAGGATGTGCCTTTGTTGTCTGCAGGTATGCGCGTCGGGGGTTACTCCTGGTGCAACGTAGCACTCCAAAACAGCAGTCTTTGCTGCTGCATGCGCTATCCAAGTCCGTCCTTGTGCCGCAGCGCAACACAGAGATCAGCGAGAGCAGCTCGACGATCTCCTTGCCCTTCTTGGTGCTCTTGGCTTTGGCTTCGCGTTCTGCTGCTGCCTCAGGGGGACTGCTCCCCCGCTGCAACCCTCAGGATTTAGCGCTGCTGATGCATGCGCATACGCGCATATTTGCGGCGTATGTACAGCAGGAGCAGCAGGTCCTTGCGCAGCTCGATTACCAGAGAGAGCGGCTGCAGCGGCGGGAGCGGCAGCTGCTCCTGGAGGGGCAGAACGGAGCAGCAAGACGGCGGCAAAGAGACACCCAGAAACGCAAAGAAGGCCATGTCACGGAGCTGAGAAGTGAGCAGGAGGAGCGGCTGCAGCAGGAGGAGCGGCTGCAGCAGGAGGAACGGGAGGAAAAACGGCGAGAGGAGCAGCGCTTAATCCATCAAGGGCTCTACGGGGAGCCAGGGGAGGCAGACAGCGAGTTGCTTGACGCCGCGTCTGCTTATCCAGTGGCTGCTCTGGCATTCGTGCAGCAGCTAACCGAGGAAATTCCCCACAAGCTCCGCTATTTTGAGCAGCAGCAGCTTTGTTCCAGCAGCAGCAGCTGCGTGGTGCTGCTTCGCTCGTTGCTGCTTCCAGCGGCAGCAGCTGCTGCTGCACCAGTCCTTCTGACTTCCGCCAGTAGCACCCTTGCGCTCAGCAAACCATCCGTTGCTGCGGAGCTCCCTGCTGCCGCTGCTGTTCTCCGCTGCATGCCCTTGCTGCTCATGGATATGCAGCAACACGCCTTGGAGCTGCTGCCGTATCTTGACGGGAGGGGCGTTGCCTCGCTGACGCAATCCTTTGCCGCCGCTGCGGCACTAGGCGCCCCAAGAGACAGTCGCAGCAGAACAACAAATTCCTTGTATCACTACGCTATGGTGTCTCTGGCGGATAGAGCGCTGGAATTGTACCGAAAGCAGCAGCTCATGCAGCAGCAGCTCTTCCTGGTTACGCACGCACTAGCGGTTGGGCGTGTCTCGCACCCAGAAGCCTTGCAAGTGACTGCTGCTGCTGCGGCTGCTGCTCAAGGAGCAGGCGAGAGCAGCAGCTATGTAGAGGCTGCAGAAGCAGGAGAGCTCAAGGGATACCAGGAAAGCAGCAGCGTCAGCTTGCGCTTGCTGCTCACGACGTGCGTCCAAAGTGGTGCCAATTGCTCGGAAACTCTGCGGGAGGAGGCTGAGCGGCGGGTGATTCAGGTATGGCAGAATCAGCAGCAGCAGGAGCAACCTCAGGGAGATGATGCCTGTCTAGGCAGGGAAAAGCTGCTGCTCCTCGCGAAGGCCCTTCAGCTGCTCTATCGCGTGCCGAACTGCAGCGCCGCATTGGCTGCTGCAGCCTCTGAGCAGTTGTTAGAGGTGTTGCACCATGTGCAACATCAGCAGCAGCAGCTAGCGAGTACCAGCAGTAGCACATCCCTTGCCTGTCTCAGCCCGCAGCTGCTGACGATAATTGTGCAAGCGGTTTGCGCGATTCAGGAAAGGTTCTCACCAGCAGTCGAACTGCAGCAGCAGGAAACTGAAGCAATAATAGAGGCAGGCGTCCTGAATACCCCGCACAGCACGACGCCAGCTGAGCAAGCGGAGGGAAGTACGGCAGCATCAACTACAGAAATGAGTCCGGAGTCGAGGACTACAGAAGTGCTGTTGCATGCAACGGTGCCGCCCTCTTCTGTGCGAGGCATGATGACAAGTGCACAAACAAAAGCTCTTTCGCCCTCACCAGAGGCAGCAGAAAAGATAGCTACATGTCTGTTTGAACTACCCGTTCTCGTCTCTCGGCAAATGCTGAGGTGTCTGCATGCGTTTTCTATTGAGGCTGTCGTCACGGTGCTCTTGCCAGTTTTGCTGATGCAGAAGTACATGCGCGATGCTGTCAAATCCAACCCCACGCTGCAGCAGCAAAGGGGTTGGCTTCAGCAACAACAGCAGCTCTTGCTCTTGAACCACAAGATGTTTTCTTTCGTCGATGGCGCTGTTGGTAAAATGCAGCCGCTGCATGTTGCCCTGGTGGCTAGAGCTGTTGCTGCCGAGGCAGTGGAACACGCAGAGCAGCAGCAACTACGGCAACAACTACAGCAGCAGCAACTACAGCAGCAGCAACAACAGCAGCAGCAACAACAGCAGCAGAATGTGAGCCCTGACAGGCAGCAGCTCCTGAGGCGGTTGCTGCGGCGCATGCGAGTCACCATTAGCCAGCAGCGACAGAATGAGTGTCTTGCCACCAAGGCAGCACTGCAGGAACTCGTGGAGGGCGGCTTACTGCAGCAGCATTCTGGCTGCAGCAGCGACTTCGCTGGCAGTAACTTCGCTGCAGCACCACAGCCAAAAGACCTGAGGGTATATCACGCCTTGCTGCATGCAGTGAACCTGCGTTTGGCGGAGCTTGCTGCCCAGCAACACCAGCGAGGGGGGAACGAAATAGGTGGTCCTGCTGTCTTTGCAGCACTGCCTGGCGAGGCACCCCTTTCCCCAGCAGCTGTACTGCGTCGGATGCGGCAGCAGCAGCTCCTCCCGACAGACGATCGCCAGGAAGAAACGCACGTGCAGTTCAGAGACTCGCTGGAGGAACTCGCCGCGCGGACAGACGCACAGCTGCAGCAGCTACAGCAGCAGCAGCTACAGCAGCAGCAGCTGTTGGGTGGGAGTGCTCCACCCCAAAGCAAAGGCAACAGCGGCAGTGCGTCTGTTGCGGAGCTTTTGGCCAAAGATAGCTGTGGTTTGCAGCGTCTAGAGGAGGAGGAGCAGCAGCAGCCTTCCCATCCATGGCACCAGCCACCGCTGCACACGCAACAGGAGGCAGGCGTTGCAGGAGGGAAAGCGCAGCGGGAAACTGGTCGACAGCCCAGAGGGAGACGAAAGCGTGCAGCTCATCAGCAGCTGCTGCGGCAAGACGACGATGAGGCCCCGCCTCCCATAGGGGCAGCAACAGCAGCAGAAACAGAAGATCTAATAGGAGACAGCCGATTGATCGTGCGGAGTGGGGTGTTGCAGGCAGAACTCCAGCGGAGGGGGGAGTGTCTATCTGCACTGCCGTTTGTCGACTTTGATGGCCAGCCGCACAGCCGAGGGTAGCAAGTGCCGACTCTGAGAGCCACCTTTCGTGTAGCGTTCGGTAAGTATGCGTAGCTGGCTGTGCCATTCTTGAAGTCCCTTTCGGCAGTTCTCTTGTGACTACAGAGAGGGCCTATTCTGTAGCTCTCAGCAGCGCAACACCGAGGTCTAAAGGCTCTGTGGGTGACGCACACGCATGCACTTGAAAGAAAAAGCGCGGCACTGCAAAATGTCTGCATTTTTCGTTCTTGTGCCACCCCAATCTCCGGCGATTTTTGCTTCCGCTGACTTTTTACCGCCATCATGCTTCAATCGAAACAGCCGTGCTGCAGAGAGCCTTATAAAGGCTGCTGCCGGCCAGGAATGGACAAGCTCGGCGTCCTTGCAATGAGGCGTCTGTGCTGCCCCGGAGGAGCGTTTATGCCATCTTAGTAGGAAAATGCGGAAACCTCGCTTGTGTAACAGAAAGCCAGCTGCGTTGCAGCCACAGCTAAGGATTGTTGCTGCTGCTGTACCAGCTGTAGCCTTTGCAGCTGCATGTTCATGAACTCGAGCGAAAATACTAGCAATTGTGGTCGACGTATCCGCAAGAGCAACGCGTGCTGAAGTTACTAGTTAGCGAGAGAATAAGCACCGGATGTGGTAGACCGACCAGTGTACGAGGGGCCAGCAGGCCATGGGGAAGAGGTCAAAGAGTATACAGACAGTAGAGAGCAACCTTAAGGGGGAAGAGATTAAAAAGTGCAGCCTTAGTTGCTTCTGCATGCGTATGCACAGATGCCTGTAGAACCGGACATGCTGAATCAGCTGAGGCTCCAGCAGCAACAACAACAGCAGTCGTACAGCAGCAACACCGAAGAAAGGACGGCACTCAGCACCCGTGTAGTACACCCACAGGCTGCTGGATGGCAGAGGGGGTCGTTGCTGCAGCAGAACAAGGGAGAGGCACAGGGAGGCAGTTGCTCTTAGAGAAGTGCAAGCAGCACCGAGGAGGGAAGGAGAGCAGCTGAAAGACACATGCCGCTGCAGAATTCGTCACACGCTAAACTGGGCAACGGTGTTGCAAGAGAGGAGTCGACTAGACAGAGGCACAGGAGTCAGAAAAGGCTGTCTTTAACAGCTGTTTACTACCACCTCGCGGGGGGAGGTATCAAGTGCTTACGCACACAGTGCTTCGCTGCAACAGACGTGAGGGCAGAAGAAGCTCAAGACGGGATGAGTAGAAGGAGGAAGAAGCAGTTGCATATTGCTGGGGTACAACATCAACAGCATAGATCACCTGCAGATTCAGCTGGATTCGCCAGTGGCAGAAAGCTCCCGTTAGCTTCTTCATGTCCCGCACAGTCTGCAGCCTGCGGCCAAAGCATCGAGTCGGGTGTATCTACGTATTCCAAATTCTTGAACTCTTCTCCCCATCGACATCCCCTTCATGACTGGCGTTGCAGACACACCTTTTATGGCTGCTGTCTGCCTTGTTAGTGCTCTTAAAACTGTTTTCTGCAGGCACCATTCATAGCTTACCAGGCAAAGCTCGTGGGGTGGCCTAGTCTTAGAGCCTCCTCCGCGACCTTCATGGCGCTCGAAATGAAGCCTTCCATCGTATGGCTCTTTCCACACTTTATTGTTGGCTGTGTGCCTCCTGCCGCCTATTGTTGATTTTTTCGTGGCGTTGTCTTGAAAACTGCCTGCTACACATCGCCAGCTGGACCTGCCAGCTCAGTCTTAAGTGGAACTACTCGTCCGTATGATGCTTGCTTTGCAGTTTCACTTCTTTAGTAGGCTGCGCCCTCTCTCTCTTTCCTCTCTCTGTGTCACTTGTCCTCTCTTTTCGTCGCCATATCGGCCTCCATCCTGAGCACTGAATCCGTCAGGCAGGCAGACAATGGGAGCCTCTCTCGCTCTCTCGAAGCCTGCATGAAGCTTCCTCTTCTCGCTAGAAGGCCGTTCAGTCCCCCCGTCTGCCTTCTTCTGCCCTGTAGACCACGTTAACCTCTGGCACCCTCCTTCTGCTTCTCTTCCGTCGCCTTTTCTTCCTCTCACGCCGTACAGCTCGTGCTCCCTGGTTGCGTGTGTCTGTGTGTTCCTTCCTCCCTCCCCTTGTCGGGGTCGTTCATTCCACCGGCTGTCGATCGATGTCTTTCTCGAGCTCCTGTGCGACTGCCCCTTATGCCGCCGTCTCGATCTCTCCCAAAATGTTATCCGTGCAGAGACACGCGCTTTTTGTAGCCGCGCATGTGCTCAAGCTGCAGCCGTTGCTCTTTGCACTGTGCGCCCTTCGGAATTTGCTGGTAGTGCTCCGTACATAGGGGCGGTGTCGCGCAGCGAACTCTGGGATGACGCGAAGGCGATCCGACAGCATAGAGGTGCACAAGATAAATACTGTATCGTTAAAACGCTTTCTGACTTTGTTTCAATGGCTCGCTCTGAGATGTGTCTGGAGATGGCTGCTTTCCGAGCATGCAGCCGAACTGCGGCAGCAGCTGCTGGGGCAGGACCCTCTTGAAACACGTGGCAAGAACCAACCAGCAGGAAGGAGAGGGAAGATCTTCTACAAAAAAACAGCGAGTTTCTTGATTTTTGTGTTCCTGCCCTCTTTTTGTGCACTCGGCTGTGCCGCTTCCTACGCGTAAACCTCCAGAAATACGGGCTTTCAGTAGGACTCGACGCTCGTTCAAAACCCCCATCCCTTTTATGATGCGGTTTGTGCGTTACACGCAATTTGGGTGCACGAAATGACATAGATCCTGGCGTGGAGGAGGGCTGTGGCGTGCAGCGGATTCAACGAGCCAGGCTGTACGAAGCCGCGTTGCAGTAAAACAGTTGCGGCAAGACAGATTGCAGCCCTCCCCCATTCGCTGGTGCTGATGCAACAGCAGCAGCAGCTGCTGCTGCTATTGTTTTGTGAAGCCAATGACCAATCCCTGCTATATTTGGGGGGTGGAAACTCCACTGCCTGTGGGTATCCCTTGGGCTGGCAGCTACCGCTGCGCCTCCTGCAATGGGAAGCAAGAAAAGCAACGCCTCTTGGGTATTGATCTTCCGCCGAGTCATCATGTTTCCCTGTACGCGCACTTGTCTGCCGATGTGCTTCTGCTGCAGCAGCTACAGCGGCTGCTGCTGCTGCCGCTGCGATGCCAGCTGCTGTTGGGGTGTTGCTGCTGCTGCTTCTGACCGTGTTCGCGCCGCTGTTGAGCTAAGGGTTTCAGAACCTTCCCTGACGCCTCTGCTGTCTTTGCTACTGCAGCGAAATTCGGCCAAGAGAATTGCTGATCTGGAATACAAGTCCTCCTGATGTGCCCTCCGTGGTGGGAGACACAACGGGAGATCCTGCAGTCATTACAACACACGCATCAGCAGAAGCGGCTGTACAAAAGGCTGAGGCGGAGGCGGCAGCGGCAGCTCGAGGACGTCTGCTTGCAAGAGTGCAGCTGTTGCAGAGGCTTAATGTTGCTACAGCTGCAGCGTGTGCCTTTGCTGATGGCGGCTCTTCCAGATCCGTGGAAGCAAGCGGGAGCAGAGCAAGCATTGTTCTTGTTGCCTTTCTAGACGGAAAACAGCAGATTTTATGCCTTCGCATACATTTTCGCGTAGGCTGTTTCACAGCTGCTGCTACGCGGGAACGCCACGGCCTACAGCTGGATGAGGATGCACCTGTGACGGGTGTCTATACAGCCTGTCTCTGTTGGTGCCTGGATGACGGCGGAGCCGCAGTTGCAGGAAGAACCAGTGCTTTTCCTCGCATAAAGAGGCGAAGAGGCTTGAATTCTGAAGCCACTTCAGTGTCAGATGAAAACACGCACACTTCTCCTGGAAAGCTGCAGCTTTCCATCCTCGATGCAGAACGTGCCCTGCTGCATCGGGGAGCTGCGGCAGCGCCGCTGCTGCTGTGTTTCCCCGCAGTTTCGGGGAGTCTGGATCGTGGGATGCTTGCTGCGTGCTGTTGTGGCAGCAGCAGAAGTGCTAAGGAGGGATGCTGCCCGCTTCACTCCAGCGGCGGGGGCATGCAAAGGGAGGAACCAGAGGCAGCAGCGCACTCTGGCGTTTCCAGTAAGGCGTCTCTTTGGGAAAGCAATGGTTGCGTGTTTTGCGCAGATGACGCCGCAATGCGGGATGCTGACTCGCAAGCCTCAAAACTTGTTGTAGGGAGAACCCCCTCGAGTGCTGCTCCACCCCTAAGGGTGCAAGAACTGGTGGTTTACCTCCCGCATGCGCTTCAGGAGAAAGGCGCCTCGCGAAGCGATCCGCGATTTCCCACCTGCGCTTTGCGGTGCTTGGGGAGCAGCCCTTCTTCTGTCTCTGGCTCGTTCGCGAGGATAGCAGCAACTGCTGCTCTGCTTCCTCGCGCAGTGTCTGCTGCTGCTGCTTCCCTCCCTTTCTGGCTGGCGGCACCGAAGGGGCAGCAGCGGCAGCAGCATCTCCGCCACGAGGAGTCGCTGGCGATCGTTGCGATTGCACCCGTCCATCAGACGAGGCTGCGAGTCTTTTGTGCGTTTTGCGTGCTGCGACGGAGCTGCGGAGACACTGCAGCTACCCGTGCAGCTGCATGCAGGAGTCTCGAGGAGACGCAAGGCGCGTGGCTGCTTCTGTTGAGGCTTCCAGAGGGCAACCCCACTGTTACAACACTTGATGCAGTGCCTCTGGAAGGCGTGCTCGCGCCGACCTCCGCAGCAGCAGGAGCAGCAGAAGACTTAGCTGCCGCATTGTGGATTAGCCCTTGCGGCAGCAGCGGCTGTTTGCTTGTTTCGCCTCGAACGCTGCTGCGTCTTTCCTTCTACACAGGTCCTAGGATGCGTCTGGCAATCAGTAGACGTTTCGTGTTGCCTGCAAGGGTGGCGGCAGCCGCAGCTGCAGCCTGCGCTCAGTGGACAGAGCCACGAGGGTTCTTTTCCGACAGCACGTTGTGGCTAGCTGCTCCCCAGCAGGCTGAGCAGCAGCTTTCGGGGGATGTGCTGGCTGTGCAGGTGCCAGGAGAGGGCCCTCTCCTTCTGCCGGAAGTCTGCCTCCTGCCCCAGCAGCTGCAGCAGCAGTGGCGCCGCTTTCTGTGCTGCACGCTGCTGATGAGCCCTCCCCCCTCCATGGTGACTGCTGCGGGAGAAAGCAGCAACGCGCCTCCGCAGACACTGGAGAGAGAGGTTCAGCTGCTGCTGCTGCGCGTGGCGTCACGCTGCGTCAGACTCATGGGGAAGGGGATGTTGTGTCGCGCGCTGATGCATGCCCTGCAGCCGTGTGGTAATCTACCAGCCGACGCTGACGCTGGCGAAGGCGATGACGAGACGGAAAGCACTACTTCCTCCAGCTGTGAGAGCTCTAGCTACTACACGGGCTGCAGCGTGGCTTCGGAGACTTCCTCGAGCGCTTCTTCCGTGAGCAACAGCTGGAGAGTTTCTCCGCAAGACGGCGTCAGCTGTTCGAGTGCACATCTAGTTTCCCGTGTGGGGATGCTCTTCTTCGCCAGCAGCTGCTGCTCCAGAGATCTCGCGTCGTTGCAGCAGGCAGTCGGCAAGGCTAAGGCGGCAGAGGGGGAGTGGGAAGTTGTCTTGCTGCAACGTGTGTTGTGGGAGCTCACCAAGCGGGCAGCTTCGGCTAATGCTGGAGTGGCAGAGAAGGATACGGATTCAAGAGACGTGCCAGCAAAGGAAAGCTGGAAGGCGCAGACTCCTGCTGCATCCGCTGCTGAGATGTTTCGAGCCGCCGTCAGTGCTTCCGTGGCTTTGACGCTGTGGCTAGCTCACCACCAACAAATCGAACGACAACAAGTGCTGCCGCTGCAGCTAGGAGCATCCGAGGTGTGGGGTGCTTTTTTTCTGAAGCAACAACAAGCTCTCATGAGAAGAAGATGTTGCTCAACAGACGTCTGCACAGCAGCAGCTTCTGCTGCTACAGCAGCAGTTTCTGCTGCTACAGCAGCAGCAGGAACTGTTTCTTGCGCCACTGCGGCATGCAGTTCTGATGCTGCTGCAGCAGTTTCTGCTGCTGCAGCAGCATCAGAACTGCATGCCGCAGTGGAGTCTTGGCCTTCTGCTGCTGCCTTCCCGCCCGTGCCTCAGCAGCAAACGGCGCAGCAGCACGACGCTCACCACTCTTGCGCGCATGCGGAGCAGCAGCCGCCATGTCTATTTGCCAGGGATGCGGCCTGTGCAGCTCTACTCCTGGTGCGCCCGTCCGGTGTAACTACAGCAGTGCATCCTCGCCTTCAACCTTCCGAGCGAATGCTGATGCAGCTCCAACCGCTTGTAGCTGCTTCGCAACAGTACCTGTTGCAGCGCCTCCTGCCGCGGGAAAAGTTTCTTATGGACTTCTTCCTGGCAGCCAGTCAAGAGAGGAGGCAACACGCTTCGCGGAAACTGCTGCTGCTGGATCACCTTCAGCGCCAGCAGGAAGCGGAGAGCGGCCAGCAGAAGCGTCTGCTTAACGACCCTATTTCCATTCTTTGCAGCCGTCTGCTGCGTCGGGGAGGCACTTTCTCTGCGTTTCTTCACAGCTGCAGCGCCAACATGGAGGCCGTTCAAGCACGAGCGCAGGTGCAAGTGCAGCAGCACCTGCGGCAGCAAGAACGGCAGCTGCTCGATGTGCTGCAGCAGCTACTGCGGCTTTCTCCCTCCTCGCGATGGCGACACCTGCTAGTTGGGGCACTGCAGCAGCAGCTGAGAATGCACGAAGTCGGAAGCGTCGTGGCTGCTGCGTCTTCTACAGCAGCCGCATTCGGCCCAACGGGGGGATGCGAGGCATTTGCTGCATACAGCGCCTTTGTTGAACAAATGTGCAGCAAGGCGCTCAGCGAGTGCAGCCACTGCGTCACTGAGCGTCGTATTAAAGCGGGCACTGCCAATGGCGGCGCTTTGCAGGAGCAGCAGCAAGAGCAAGAGCAGCAAGAGCAGCAAGAGCAGCAAGAGCAGCAAGAGCAGCAGCAAGAGCAAGAGCAGCAAGAGCAAGAGCAGCAAGAGCAAGAGCAGCAGCAAGAGCAGCTCTTGCTGCTGCCCCTGCAAAATTCTCCGCGGCTTCCAACGGCCCCTCTACCCGCTGCAGCGAAAATCGTTCGCACATTTTGCCCTCCTCCGAGTGAAGGGAGCACCCAGCTGCTGCAGCGCGAGAGAGGTTTCCGGGGAGATGCTCCTGGCAGCACTTCTGAAGAATGTGCTGCTGCCGTGAGGATGTGTTTCCTCCCCTTCCTGTTACCCTTAGGATGGAGAGACTGGTCCTGTTGCGACTCGGTGGACGTACAGCCGGCTCACCAGAGGCAGCAACAGCACCAGCCACAGCGACCACAGCAGCGAACGTCGCGAAGCTGCTCGCTCATGCGCTTCGCTGCAGGAGCAGAATGCTCCACTCGAGCAGACGCGATCGTAGGAGAGCTCTTGGAGAAGGGCCTCTCTTGGCAGCTGGCACGAAAGCAAGAGCAGCTCGATAACAGCTCCCTTCTCGAGACTGAGCTGCTGCAGGATGCACGTGAAATCGTGAGTCTTACGCGCGAAAGCATGCGCTGCTATTGCCGCAGCAGGAGCTGCTGTGTTGCTGCTGCATGCAGAGGCATTCCAAAGGCTGCGATTTTCTGTCTTGACTGCGCAGGCCTGTTGGTTCAGAGGGCTGTGTGCGGCTTTTCGAGACGGCAGTGCTGCTTTCGAGCCGTCGCCTTTCTTCTCCACAGCAACGCACGCGTTATCCTGCGATGGCAGCAACAGACGAGGCGTCTCGATGGCGCCGCTGCTGCTGCAGCACTGGCAGCAACAGCAGCAAGACGGTCGCTTTGGCTTCAGCGCGGCATGCGCCTTGCTGAAGACTCTCACGACGACGTCTCCCGCTGCTGCGCCTCGCGCAGAGGTGAGCTTTGTCAGACTGCCGGCTGTGAGCATGCATGCGTTGCTGCTGCTTCTGCTGCCGCCGTGGCGCGTTTCGCTCGCAGCGCACACCCCACGAGCTCCTTGGTCGTGGCTGTTTTTTTCACGCAGGTCGAGGAGGCGTGGTTGTTGCAATCTCCGCACAAGCCGTTCCTCAAGAGGGAGCTGCAGATGATGCGTCTCTCGCTGCGACTTTGGCTGGTGCTCCAGCCTCTGAAGCGCAGTTCGGGAGCCTTCGTAGACATCCAAGAAGGAGCTGCGTCAGCAGCAGCGAGAAGTGAAGAAGCCTTGCGCATTCTGCGCGAATGCGTTGACTTGTATCTTGACCATGCAGCGTTTCAAGGAGGAGCACGCACAGAAGCTGCTGGCTACGCCCAACGCGCGGAGCTCTGGCTCCTCCTCGCACAACAAGCCGCCGCTTTCTCTCCCCACCTCGTCCTTCTTCCAGTGCATCGATACCACCATCTTGCAAGCGACCCTCGTGCTGCTGCTGCTGCTGCCGCTGCCGCTGCCACCGACGTCGTGGGGCCCTCGCTTCGAACCGAGTTGCTGCAACTTGCCGCTGAGGCAGCAGCAGCAGCAGCAGCAGCAGCAGCAGCAGCAGCAGCAGCAGAGCAGCCTGCTCCAGCAGCTCTCCGCGATCTCGTGCAGCAAACGCGACGTCGTGTGGCAGCGGCTTTCGTGGAGGATGGCTGTATCCGGCAGGCGCTTCAGCAGCTGCAGGCGTTGCACGAATGCGAGGATGCGGCGGGGAGAGGTCTGGTGGTGCTCTTGCTGTTGCGGCTGATGCTGAAGTCGCGAGTGCTGCTCTTGAAGGAGGGAAGCGCAGCAGGAGCCCACGCCGCGAGAAGCGGCGTGGGCGCCGCTCCCACCGCGTGTTGGTGTCACGCCTCCTCGAGTTGTGCAGCTGCGAAAGCAAAAGGGGAAGCACCTCGACGTCCATCCCTCTCCGCAGCGGAGCGCAACGCTGCAACAAGCGCAGCACTGGCAGAAGCAGAAGCAGCAGCCGCAGAAGCAGCGCGCTATGGGGCCGTTGACGCGCTCTCGATTTGCCGCGCGGCTGCCGCTGCGGCGAGAGCTGGAGGCAGTTCTTCTGCAGCGGCAGCAGTAGCTAAAGCTGTAGCTGCTGCAGTTGTTGAAGCAGCAGCCTCGCTGCAGCTCTCTGCCGTATCCGCTGCCTGTGCAGCTGCCGGAGTGCAGGCACAGCGGCTGCTGCATCGTGTGGCGCTGTGGCAAGACTGCCCAGTCGGAGTGTCGCGGGCAGCTGCAATGGTGCGTCTGACCTTTTTTTCGCAAGTCTGAGTGCTGCAGTCCTTGTCTGACGTTCTGCTGCTTGCTGCTTTGCTGACTTGTTGACGCTGCTCACAACGGGCTGATCAGTGGGTGGTCAGCTCATTTGCTTTTGCAGTTCAAGTTGTGTGTGCGAATTTTCGTAGCTTCTGCTGGAATGGCAGCAAGAAACAGGCGCTGTAGAGGCTGCCGCGCGCCTCTGCCTGCTGCAGGCAGCCGCTATCTGGTGCGTTGGTAGTTTTTATCCGCATGGTTGCTGTTTGTGGATGTGGTGTATCCTCTGGAGTGAGGAAGGTCCTTTCTGTGACGTCGGCGCGTGCTGTTTTGTTTCAGGCTGCAACTCGTCTCTCTGCTGCCACAGCAGCAACAGGAGCAGCAGCAACAACGGCGACAGCAACAGTTGGAAGCAGACGTCTTGGGCTGTTTTCCGCAGTGGTTGCTTCAGGCTGTTGCGGCGTTGCAGCAGGAGTTTGCAGCCTCGCAGCACTGGCACTGCATGCAGCGTTGCCAGCTGGAGGGGGACGCAGAGCCGGAAGCGCAGCTGCAAAAACTGCAGCAGCTGCTGCCGTTCATATCGCCTATTTTCGCTGAAAACGCCACAGTCCAGCAAAAGCACAAGGCGCTAAATGCAGCAGCAGCAACTCTACTGCCAGATCTTCCCCCAGTGCCAGAGCAGCAGCAGGAAGGCGAAGAGCAGAAACAGGCAGAAGGGCAGCAGATGCAGCTCTGTCTCGCCCTTTCTCGTGTTGCAACTTTGAGCGAACGCTGCGCAGAGTTGTTGCAACAAGTGCCAGGGTGTGTGCTCACTGTGCCCCCCATGCTTCCGCTGCTGCTCTTGCCGCTTGACTCTGGCGGAGCTGTGCGCTTGCCTCAGGTTCTGCTGCTTCGCGCACACGTCTGTCAGCCTGTCACTCCCCTGTCCTCGCCAACGACACAGCCGCGGCTAGAGGAAAATCGGGGGAGCGCTAATTCCGCGCGCTGTCTAGCCGCGTCGAATCAACACCTGCTTGCTGCCTTCCCCCCTCAGAAGCACCGACTAGAGCGGCAGAGCCAGGTGGATCGCATGCAGTCACTGGACGTGGATGAAAAGGAGCAAGAAGCTCTAAGTGGCCCTCAGGAGACGCTGGAGAGGATATCCGTCTCGACTGTATGTGTTGCGTGGCACTCCAATCCGAATTTCGTTTTCGCCTTGATACTTCTTCGGTCCGTGCACCTACAAGCTCCGGCACTCCGCCTGCACTGGAGGGCCGCTGGCTGCTTGCCTTTGCTGCTGCTGCATGCAGAGCTCTGACGCCAACGACTGCAGCGAAGGGGGAGAGGAAAGTATCGTTCTCCCCTTGGTGGAGGATCAGCGCGTGCAGCAAAGCTGCACCGTCTCCGCTGTCACTGCGAAGCGGATTGCAGCGTTGGCGCGGTGCGTGAAGGCTGCAAAACTTCAGTTGGACAGACATGCACAGCGTGAAAGCCTCATGTTTTCTGCACCGCCCTTGCCTGCTGCAGCTCCTAAAGGAGTCAATCTACTCGCACTGCTGTTTTTTTCTTTCGCAACTGTAATTACAGGGCACAAGGCATCCTCGCCTCTCTGGATGGAGCAGCCTTCTCACCGCTGTTACCCCCCGCAGAGACTGCAGCTCGCCTTGTGAGTTGCGCCGGCTGCACATGCCACCCTTCCCGTTCTCCCTCTCCTCCATGCCGTCCTGCGTCACTGTTTACGAAGGCTGGTCGCGAAGGAGGTGGCAGATTGCCTGCACATCACGCCGCCGCCGTCCTCCGTGGAGCTGCCTGCGTTGAAACGTGCTTCATTTGGTGCCTCTAAGCTCTCTGCTGGCGATGTGGCTTTGTTTCGAGCAGGCCTTCTGGGGGGAGCTCGCTGCTGCAGTGCGCTTGTGCAACATTTGTTCGCTGAGTCTTCTTGGCGCGTTTCATGCCTTCGTCTATTGCGCCATAAGGGCCGCTATGCAGGTATGCTCGACTTCTCTCTCTCTGTCTCTCATCTCCGCATCTTGTCAGCGTGTTTCGCAGTCATTTGAGCCGGCTACTTTCGTGCAGAGAGGGGTCATGCACAGAGCTGAGCAGCTGGGGGCATCCCGCGTGTTGGATTTTTCCGACTTGTGCTGCGTTTGAGCCGTATTTGTACGGGTATGTGTTTTGAACGACCTGCATCACTCGGTAGACGCCTCATGCACTCTCCCGATTAAGCGGATTTTCACTGCCTTACTGCTGCAGAAGGGAGAAGATCTTCAGCAGCCGCATGGGCAGTACCAGGCGCATCAAGCAGAGGAGAATCGATGGAATCAGCTGCTCGAGCAGTTGGACAGCCACTGGAAGCGTCTGAAGCACCTCTCGCAGCGTCGCAAGCATGATGCATCCCCTGCTGAGAATGGCTCTGCATCATCAGCTGCAGCAACCGCCGCTGCAGCGGGAGAAGTCGCGAACTCTCAGCGCCTCTTTGCCACACTGCAGCAACAGCTGCAGTCTCTCGCCTTTATGCTAGGCCCGCAGTGCATTCCCCCCCGCGTTGTGCGTCCGTCTGCTGACCTTTCTGGAAGTGCAAAACAAACGCGCCTTGCAATTCTCAAAAGCCACTCTGCCTGTTTCGCATGTGCCTGTGCTACATGCTGGAAGGGCACCCTGCCACCCAGGCCTATGCGTTTTCTCGTTCTAAGGAACTGATAAACTCTTTTTTGCCTCCTGACGCGTGGAGAATGTGCCTTGTCAAAGCTGTCTGGGTGGCTCCATGCTCCGTTGTTGTGAACTGCAGCTGACGTTCTTACAGGAAAAGCTGAACGAGGAGTCAGGGAGTCTTTCGCGATTGCCCGACCTCCTGTTGCACGGCCGGCTGGAAGCAGCAGTGGCTCTGGTAGAGACGCAAGTAGCAGCAGTCACATCGACGGTTGACAGCAAGGAAACGGATACAATGACGCGCTGCGAAGTATCACGGGAAATTAAGCTGCAGGCGGCCACACTCGCTCAGGTATCCTACGTTTCAGTTGAAGGCATTCATCTGTGCAAAAGATAACACGAGTTGGTCTTCACGTTGCTGCTGAGCTGCTGTGTGCAAGTTTCCTATGCCTGTCTGTCTGATTTAAGCGCGTGCACTGTCTTCTTTTTGCCCTGCAAATCTCTGCCACAGTAGCTGCTTGCCCTGGATGCATCATGGCATGGAGTCTTTGTTGAGTGTTGCGTTGCTGCATGCATTGTTGTGACTTGTGCTGTGTTGCGCTCGTTGCAGCTGCAAGCAGCAGTAGCTGTCCAGCGGCCCTTGCTCCTGCCACGCCTAGAGAACGCCCTCCTCACCGCAGTAAGTTTTGAGTCGATGGTCTTGGAGGCGATGCTTTGGTGATGACTGGCACTCTCGTGCATTTATACATATAATGCAAATCGTAGTGCCTTTCCTCTTTAATCGAACGTGTTTTCAGGGAGACCTTGTATGCGCTGGTGGTGCTGGTGGCTCTGAGTGCGCTTCCCTGGAACAAGCATGGAGGCGGCCATTTGCTGCTGATGAAGGGCATACATCGAGGAAGATTTAGGGGGGTCTGGATTGCTAGGGCAAGTTCATGAGCCTAAAATACATCAAGCAGACGCGCTTATCGGAACTGCAGGTAGTCAGTCGACGGACGCTAATGCTTTGAGGTTGGTTGGCGAATGACTGTAGCAGGTCTATACCGAACCGCAACACGCCAATATGGAGTCCGTTCAATCTACCACTGTGTCACCTCAGCGCATCCATCCGTTTCTGTCATGTTCCTCACAAAGGACATGACAGACATTTCTTCATGTCCGATAACATTTCGGTACCCCATTCCATTTTCCGACATTGGCCCTTCCTATCTCCTAGCTGCTGCCACATTGTTGTAGAACAAGCTAGTGCCAGTGTCTTAGCTCCCGATGAAGAGAAAAACGTGTGTCACTTGCCTATTCAACACAGCACTGTGGCATCTTCGAAGTGCGGGCACAGAAGCTTTTGGGCTCATGCAGTATTTCGCATTGGATGTTCGCATCTGATACCCTAGAAATGCCTTGCAAAGACACTACCTGACACTCTCCCCTAAGAATAAAAACAGCAGAGAGCTGACAATGTTGGCATTGCATCCAGCGGCATCGAGAGGTGTCAGCGTCCGTCTGAGGGACAGGAGACGTGCTGTTAAGCCGGACAACGCAAATAGGAAAGCAGGAGGCAATGCGCCGTTGGAAATATTAAAATTAGTCTACTCTCCGGTCACTTGCTCTTCTGGCAGAAAAGCCTGAACTTTATTTCAAATTCCGCAGGAAGCTACTCTATCACAATGCTTCCATACTAAAATTGCATTCAAGAGCTGTGCGAGCATATTTATTTTTTCATAGCCCTAGATAAAACCCTATAATGTAGATTGTCTATTCATAGGCATTACCAGTCTGGTGGACGGCAAGGGTATTAGGGCAAGAAAGCGCAGTAGCCCATGAGTAGAGGATCTGCTGGAGCGGAACGATTAAACAAGAGGTAATTAGGGTTCCCCTTGGCCAAAGAGCTGCCTTTTAAAGCCGCCATTCAAGAGAACACAAGAATATACAATTGCATAAAAATGTATGAGAAGTCTAGGCTAAGATCCCTTCATTGGTGGAAGCCTCCGCTCTATCAAGACGGGGAGCGCTGCATCACGTTTCGAAACCAGTGCTCATAAAGCGTGTCAGTCTAATTCCTGATGGTGTACCGACACAGTCAGCAGTGTGGCGCCTAGGCACTTTGGTCGGAGAACAGACGATACGGCATAAAACCGCCACTGGTGCTGCCAAACACGGCGCGTCTGGGCCTCAAACTTGCCCATTTCCCCCCGGCGCAAAGCTGTGCTGGGGATTAGATGGGAGCTTGCTTCGCGTACGAAGTGCAACGAAAGCTTCTCTCCGGCGGCAAAAGTTCTATGCCATGATGGATCTCGATCCAAGCGAGGCAGCAGTGAGGCGTTTGTACAGACAACAGAAGGGGTTACTTGTACGCCAGCTATCACCTTGTTTAAGAGGGAAGTACCTCAGATACTGGCTAATGCAAACGGATCAATAATAAGTTTGATGGCGTATGGGACCAGGAGGAGGCTTTGTGGTGAATGTGCCAGCGTTGCTGAGAGGCTGTGGCTCGTACATTGCAGTGATATAGAACCAGGTGCATCTTCTGATGCCACCAACACAAACTTACTTTCGCTCTTTTACTATGCAATGATTCGGGCTTGTTGCAGCGAGTCGAATACGAAGGGTATAGAGTGGTGTGACAGAACGCTTAGCCAATGTGGTAGCGCAAATTGTGAGGAAGTCATTGGTGCCAAAATTCAGTCGCTGGGTGAAAATACGGGAACACCATTGACGAAATGGCGAGCAATGACCATGTGTCGGGTACTCGAAGTGGTTTTATGAGTGGATGCTTCCGTCATCAAGTAGAACACTGGGCGGGAGTGGTGCAGCACTGTTGGATTCTTACTCGAGACAAACGTCAATGGTGAAACTGAACACTTGGGAGGCACGAATTTGGCTTAAAGAGCAAAATACCCTAGCTAGAAAACAGAAGAGGGGCATCTTGTAAAGGCGGAACAGGCCATTGCACTTTATAGGATAATGTGATGAACACATTGCAAAAGACTTCCCCAGCGATCCAAGCACTAAAAGCTGGAAGGGTCTCTGCAGCAAATGCAAGGGCTTAAGGCTTGGCCCAAGAGGAACCTATTCCACAAGAAAGGGGTAAACGTAGCACTCAAACTCACCTTTGGCACTTGGGGAAATGTAGGGTGTACAGGGCTTCGGGCTGTCAGTCTAGGCCGAGATGTGCAGGTTAGTGAGCTCCTAGGCATACGTATTTTATTGGACACCTGATATGCGTTACCCCGATAATAAATCAGTCAGAAACAGCAGACATCAATGAAGATGGCCATTTGAACACGTCCCTGGGGAGAGTATTGCTGAGGGAAACTAGCACCGGGTTGTCGCAAGGACGCAGCTGGCGAAGGTCGCTCCAACTCAAGTACACATAAATCGGCTGATGGCCCAAGCAGCATCGAGCATACAGAAGGTAAAGTATTTACTGTCCTTTTAGCACCAAACGCTTCGTTCTTAACCTCTAGGACGGTAGATGATTCGCTCCAGTCAGTTTGAACAAGCGAATAGAGTTGTGGCTCTGCTCGGTCACTGCGTGTTGTAGTAACTCTGGATCAAGTACTGGCAGATAGGGTTCTAGAACGAAAAATCTTGGCAAGCGCTCAAATGGAAAGTTTTTAAAGCCAAACCAAATGCCTTACCCGCCTACGGTGGGGTTGCATCCCACACGCGTTGAGAAAGGTCATTCATGATGGCTATATGCGGCTGTGGCTGCCGCATATCCCGTGTAAGTCCTAAGGGTGCATTTACAAAGCAATGCAGTAGATGCTCTGGTAGGTATGAGCGCGTGCCCATCTTTGCTAAATCCACCTCGAATCGTGAAGCTGGTAGTTTTTAATCCGATATTGATTTTACACGTAAGCAATGCGCCTGGGAACGATTTAGCGGTGATATCTGCTGCATGTGGTGCTGCCTTCAGATAGATTCTTGCAGATACATCATAACTTTCCCATAGCATGCGTGCAGCAAAAACATGAGGTCCTTGATAAAGATTGGCTATGGCGTAAAGCTCTGCACCGGTTCTTCAATTAAGGCACAGTACGCGTCACCCATAAAGGTGAGTAGCACCCCCGACCCTACGAAGGCTACACGTCCAGCAGACTATCACTGATCACACAGCATGAAGACCAACGCGGGGGAACAGGGCCACCAAGCTACAGCCGAAGTACACCAACGGATGGCTGATGAAGCGCAGCGGATGCACAGCGAAACGGGTGGAGAAAGTGGTGATCCCGGTACTGAAACCGCTCGAAAGCTTCCAGAATAAAGGCGGCGCATCCGCAGCAAATAGATCATGAGTCATATTCAATATATAAAGCAAAGACGGGGAGTAAGTTGTGCGGATGGAGGTGCTTTTGGTACCAGCGATTGGGAGGGAATAGAAGACTAGCATAGTTGACTCACTTTCCTGTGTTTTCGACTGTAAGCCGGAGCCAGCTCGTCAGCAGCAAGACTCATGAAATGCAGCCGAAAAGGTGGGCTGCATCTCACTCTAATAGTGCCGCAGAAGAAAATGAGTCACTGTGCTAGGTTCACACAGAAAGCACGCCACTCCATCATTATGTTAATCTGCATGGGTAAACCGTGATAACTGAGGGTGCTCCAGAAATGCACCGACTTTGCAACAGTACGGACGCATGCAAATCCAACTGAGGAATAAAATTTTTTAGAGAAGGCGAAGGAGAACTGGCCTAGACGCTAGCTGGTGGAAAGTCCCTTCATTGTGCTGTATCAGGCGTTGCGGTACATCTACGCCTGATACAGTGCGTCTGTAGGCCGCACGCCATGTATCCAATGCATGCTCATCCACAGTTGAGACATTTGTCCAGCTACAGACACATTGGACATGTTGGCGCGCTATTTTAGCTGGCCACATATACGCAGCTACCCTAAGCGCTGCGTGGACTCGTGCCCTAGCTTTACGGCAGAGGCTCTCCTGCAATTATCGCAGATTCCTAAGACACGGTTTGCATAAGTGGCTCTCGATTATATTACAGTGTGTTCAGGCTGTCCGAGACCGTGACGCCGTCATCGAGCTGGTAGACGGCACCAATAAAACGGTATTACCTAAAGAGGCAACTACATCGGCAGCAGAACCGCAGACACCCCGTTGACACAGTAACGTGTTACTACGTTTTTATTAATGCTAGGCTTTTAGTCAGAGTATTCCCTTTGTGTTGAGTAACGTAAGATAGTGTGGAAGCAGTCCTGAATAATCGGGCACTTTGCAGTCCTTGGCACCCACAGGTAGTCGCCCAGGGAAAACTACTGCACAAGCGCTTCAGCAGTGCGGAAAGAAGCGCACTAAAATTGTATATGCTCTTTCAGCTTTCTTCCTCACAACTAAGGGCTGAGATTAATGTCAACCACCCCGAGAATTAGGTTGCCCCCCACAGTCTAAGCCCCCGCCCCTAGAGCAGATTATTACAGATGTCTGATCGGAAATATCGTAGGCTAATACAAAATTTTGGGGCTACTGGAATAATTGTGAAGACAGTTGCATTTCCAGACTTCCTAATATTTACACTTTATTCCCATAGCTTTCAAGTACGCTGGTTTGAACATGGAAAGTTGAAAAGAGCAGCAAAAAAATCATTTGCTTTTTGAATTTCGTCCGTTTAACTGTAGTGATATTGGCGACTAGTATGAGAATGGGAATGCTGCAGATTCAAAGCCAGTATTTTGCTGGGACGCAACAGTCCTTGCAAAACATTTATCGATGACCCAGCAGTCTTCGAGGGTTTTGTATGTGGCTGGTTGTTCCCTATGATCATTGGGTTGCACATAGTAACGAGTTTTATGTTATGGGCGCTGAGACGTGACTTATGTGCGTCCAAAAGCCAGCTTAGTTGGTCGTGAAGGCGTGGAACTGAGATTAGTCCCATGGTCGTGTGTGGCATTTGCAATGACTTTAAAACTAGGTAAAGCATAAGCTGCTTTTGCATACGGAGTTCCAGGAAATTTATAGGAAGGTTGAGCATGTTGGCCATCTTCGTTTCTATTCTTAGAATGCCAGCACACAGCCAGCACTAAAGATCCTCTTGACCCCATCGTGAGCACCGGAATTGATCAGTAAGACCCTGCCATGAGAAGTTAGCCTTTAAAGGCCCAGTTATGTAGCTGCAGGCAGTACGATACCAAAGCAGCTAGGTAAAGTACAGGCGGGGCACTTGGTAAAAGCGCAATCGAGTGTCGTAGGGCCCTTTGGTCATCCCTAGGGCCCATAACCCTGCCCAATACCAAGTGTTGGGCGGACTTCTCACACACATCGTAGGTCTACATGGATTTATACTCCGTAAGTACTTTGGGGAAGGTCAAAGTATTCTAGTATGGCTGCTACATGGCAGTCCCTTAGCGAGTTAGCTGGCTTGCGCTGTATCCCCCGGTTCGCTCCCATTACTTGGAGAATGGAGATTATAGGACCATGGCTAAGTTCAGGTCGAATTGGTAAATTAGCAATCGATTTGCAAAAACGAGATAAAACCGACCTTTGGAAACCAGGCTCTCCACTTCTTCAATGGCTTTATCTTATGCGAGAGAGCTAGTGTATCAAACAATGAGCTGCTCCCAGGTATCACCCAACTAATGCAGTCTCCATAGATAGGCCCCAGCTGCGCTGAGGATGTATCTTAGTATGATTCTCAGGTGCTCACTCCAAACGCCTATCACTCGCCTACCTCTCAACCCATGATCATGTGGTCTATGGGGAGAAAGGTCAGCTACGGCGCACTTGCGGCACCCCACGAGCATTTTGACTACCAAGTTCTTGGTGAACATAGCAACTTCTCAGACAGGTAAAGAGGGTTCTTCCGTGAAAAATTGATGTGCTTCAACCCTGGAGAAGATTTGCGCCTCTTCTAAGGTCTCGTTGTGGAGACACTCAAGCTCGGGAGCAATACAAATTTAACCACGACACGTTCCATTGTTTCCCACAAGGCCCCGCCTTCCCCTGGCAGCGCCCTTCTCAGAATTTAGAAATAAGATAAGATTGAGAGATAGGGTGCTTATTGCTGCATCTTTCAGGCACTCTGATAGTACACAGCTAGTGGCAAATATCGTTTAGCGCGCACGCACACAAGATTGCGTCTCCTTGTGTTGAGCTGCAACAAACAGGTTCCAAGAACAGAACAGCCTATTAGTCAGTAATCTACTAATTTTTAGCCAAATGCAATCAGTTCAAAGAGAAAGCGCCCGAAGTGAAGTCAATTTAGCTCCACCGTGACAGCTAAAGCTACAGGACTTACGTGCATCACATGCGTGGCCCGCTTCCTAAAGGCATAAATGCGTAGCCTTTAAGGAACAACAAACAGTTATTTTTAAAATTTGGCCGGAAAGCTTGGGAATACGCGTCTGCCTGCCCTTGAGATTCGACATGGAGTGTAGGAATACTAGTAAGGACACGGATACTGCCCAAAATTGGTACTTTAGGAGCCGTTTGCAGAATTAGGGGACCAAGCTATCTGAATGTCATACGAGGAAAGGGAAAAGGTTGAGAATATCCTTGAATCTCCATTTTCCCTAGGTTTTCCGCATTATTACTCGAAGACCGCCACGAGCCAATCAGAAGATCGGGGTTTCTCTGTGGCTCGCAACGCGCCAGCAAATAAGCTGTCTTATGATAGACAAATACAGGCATTTAACATAAAAATCAAGTAGGCTAAGAGATTCGGCGATACATTGCCTCTACTGCCACATGTATCTCGCTGCCGACTCCTGGGGCCCCAATGGAATGACCACTAAAGTGGCTTCAAGCGCACCTCAATTTCTCCTTGTTCCCTTAAGTTCTATAGAAATACTTTTGTATGGAGTGCATCACGCATTTAGTGCTGATTAGCTATACTATGGCTTATGTCTCCCAGTATAACACAAAGCCTTGAGGAAATTGGAGATGCGCAGTCGTTTTAATGCCTTCTTACTCAGTATCACCCCCAAAATATTGCCTGTTACTCGTAGACTGCTGCTGCATGATGAAGATGCGTATCTCCAATTTTTCTCTCGACTAGTTTACAGCTGGTTTAGAAATTTGCGACCGCAAAAGGGGGGCCTGGAGGGGCCCGATATTCTCTTTCAGGTCGTTCCGAGCTGCCAGAATTGAAGATGCTCCCTCTACCTCGTGAACCTCGTTGCTCGGAATTGGCTATTGGGCTTTATTTAGCTATTGCAGCGAATTACAAGCTGGGGGCGAGCGTTAAACGTGGTAGAACTGACGGCAGAAACACGGCTACCGGACATATCAGTTTTGCGGAGTTCCTCCAGAACACCCAAGAAATAAACGGGGAACCTTATTCCTCTCCTGCTGCGCTAGCAGAACCTGAGCAGAGCAGCAAACTGGAACTGCCACCTGCCCGCTACTTTTTCGGTGTGCATCAGCTGTAGGGAGCCCCATCCTTTGTCGTGTGCATCAGCTGTAGGGAGCCCCATCCTTTGTCATGTGCATCAATAATGCGTATCGGAATCAAAACCTGAATCGCATGTGCTTGTTCTCGCAGGATATGTGCTGGCTAAGGGTGAAGGAGTTGCGGGTATAAGCGAGAACTCCTTGGTGCTTGTGATAGCAAATTTGGGCCCCCAGCGACAATACGGAGGGAAGATCCTATTTTGCCATTTTTACGCATGTGGTAACGTGTCCTTATCACACAAATGAGGGGTGTGCATTGGGCTAATGTTTATGCTACTGAGCCTGTTACAACAGCGAGCCAACGGTGACTTGCGAAGGCACTTGGCGTGCATACATCCACATCTAATTCCAAATTATCTCTGCCGATCAAAGAGTGTGTATTTAGCAGTTCAAATGCGTAGTCTAATTAAAGTAGAGGCTCATTGGATTTTGCTGGTAGCATGAGTATAGACTATCAAGCTGTGGGTAAATGACGAGTTAGAACTGTTCGCATCCGCTTAACTTGAAGCAGACACATCAACAAAAATCACTCTCCAATTTATTCTCAAGCCTGTGACTGCTTCATGAATGTGTTTGTGTGCACATCAAATGGTTCCAAGTGCAGCAAGTTGTTGAATTTATCCAGCACTTGAAATTGGCTGTTGTTTTTTCTGCAGTACCTTTTCCTGATGCTCTCCGAAGCAAGCTCTTGGTGTGCCAAAACATAGGTAATATCGAGCCAGAATGGCAGCATCCACAGGAGGAGGAGGGGCTTCTACAGCCTCGAGTGATCCAAGGACTGGCAAAAGCTTTGGCGAGAATCCCTCATTTGGTTGAGGGTTTGCAGTGTACGGCACGACCTAAATGCCCTTTCTGATGCTACCATTTCGTACCGCTGTGCCCTTGTCTAACCTTAGCCACGTTTTCTGCGTCACAGGGTGTTTTTGTTCCTCCTTCTTGGTAATATGCAGGCTGCAGTCTGAAGTTGAAACCAAGAGATGGGGACATACTGGGGATTTGCTGCAAGAGTGTGGTGCGTTCTGACACTCCATCTGGCAAACTGCACTTTGCACTACGGATAATATGAGGAGCTCTTGGTTTCCGAATAGAGTCCGGCTATTGGCAGGTGCTTGGCTGGGACCCTTGGTATGGTATGCATGACTCCGCAGCTACAATACTAAGTTGATGACCTGCCAATATTCCGTTTTCTGATGTGTGAATTGCCCAGGAAAACGTCATCGAATTGCTATTTTGGATGTTGCCTTTCAATGTGCACATCTTTGTTTTTACTGATGAACCTGTAAGTGGTACAATTGGGCAGCCCCGATACCGCACTAGTTTTCCGCGGCACCCAGAAATTCCGACTTTAGATGACAAAGTCATTGAATTGTGGATGGTGGAATTCAGCCTTCTACGGTTTCGTATACAAACGTGTAATTCGCTCCAAATTATCTCCTGGCTTGTCTCTGCAAACATTGCTTTTAAAAATTGCATTGCTGCCTCATTGCGTAGCTTTTTTCTAGTCATGCTGATGCTTTAGGAATGTCAAGTCTTATCTAAGCTTTTCACTACGCCTCCTTTCCACCGGATGAAACAACGTGGCAAGCATGATTCCGACCCGTACTGCATGCGGCACATTTCTCAAAGGCATACCTGCTACTGAAGCTGTTCTTCTACTTACACATCATATGTCACATTTTAATAATTAGCAGCGCTCTGCTTTTCAAGCTCACTTGGTGTGCTTGCATCGATTTGCTCTCAGTTTCCCTGCGTTCCCTATCAAGGGACTTGGAATCGTCAGCCATGAAGGAGTCAGGGTGCCTTGGATTTAATCAGCTGCTGGTGACTCCCGAGGCTGCAGATGCCCTTCAAGAGCAAATAAATAATAATGGAAGCAACGGGGGAGGCAGTGCCAGCAACTTTCATCGAGCGGCGTCTAGAAGTGTCATTAGCCTGCTAGTGCTCTGCCTTTCCCCTGGAGCAACATTAACAATTAGCAGCGCACTAGATGGGCTGGACGAGGACGAGGCAGCAGCTCTGCTCGCAAAGTCTGCAGGGGTTTCCTACTATAACCCCGAAATTCTCGCGCTTGCCCAGAGCGGTTCTCATATGCGTAAGTGCAGAAACAGCACACCCATTACTGCACCCGTCATCGCCTTTCCTGCGGTAGTTAGCCACCTTCGTTTGAGCCTGAATCAGCCTTATGTCAATTTTATCGCTTTGCTATTGGAATTTCGGCCATCTTTCATTTGGTCAGCTATGGCACGCGCTGCAGATTTCCTGATTGAGACACTAACGGCACTTACTGAACACTCGGAAAATCCAATGGGCGAACACCAGGGTATTTTCTTTTCAGCTAAAGAGGCAAGTTTCACACCTTGTACCTCCCGAAGCACGGTAGCTCATTGTTATGTGTATCACTCTATGTTCTCCAACGGGGTATCCTGAGTCACGCATCTTCTGCCCACAGCCCAGGCGGATGCATGCCACAGAAGCGACTAAGAGATACATGCGCACACCGTGCGCGAGGCAGTTCTGTGCGTACAGAGTGAGAGGGCGCTAGAAGAATTTCAGTGCAACCCATTGGCTCCGATGTGCCTTTTCATCACGCCTCCTGAGTCAGCTTTGTAAGAATCAATGGAACCGAATTATCGACGACCCAGAGATGGCGTGGTCTGTACATACTCCGTGGCTTTCTACGTTCGGGGGATCATTAAACTATAAGCAAGATGAGTGGAAACTAACTCCAACACAAGTCAGGTGGGCCACTAGAGGTTCTGCGGCGAAGGCAAACTGTTTCCGCCCATCAAGTTCCACACAACTCCTTCAATATATGTAGCATTTGCTTTCCTCGTCAGGTTAAGGTAATCAGCGAACATTGCACACTATTCCATCTCAGTGTTTCGACAAAACAGCTGTAGGCGTTGCTACTTTTTGGCGCAACACTCCTTTTTGCGTCCGTGCACCCTCGAAGAGTTGCAGAACGGACGTGCAACACAATGCTGTGCCGTTTCGTAGCAAGGTTGCTGCGAAGAACTGCGCTAGAACCAATGGTAATCTACTGTCAAAACCAGCGTGACGGCAGTCTTCAACCCTCTGTACTCTTCTGACCTTCTAGCTCCATTGAACACAGCAAGTTCTCAAGAAACCAGAACATCGGTCTGCTCCACGCAGCTGTGGCCACCCAAACTCTGGGCGTCCTCTTCTATCTGAAAACACAAAGGCCAGCGCAATCAAAAGGTCAACTCTATCACCGTAGAAATAACATACTACTGGCGCTATGCGGAATGCTAAGCTATCATTCCCTTGGCGGTTGACGATCCAAAAGCCTGCGGCAGTTAGCGAAAACCAGGGAGTGTTTCTTTCCCCCAAGCGTGACTCAACTCAAAAATGACCCTCATTTCGCTGATATTCGAAGGGGCCTCACCAGATCAGAATATTCTAATAGAAGAGAACCGTTGAGAGGCGACACATTTGGATCACAGAGGTGATCATCCAAGTCCGCTAAGCTCAAGTACCTAATCCACCCAAAAGAAAGTGCTGACACTGCATTACAATTTGTCCTACTTTCAAAAAATGAATCCAGTGGCCACGAAAATGCTGGACATTACTAAATTGATTAATAGTACACGAGAATGCATAGAGAATCGATGTGCGTAGAAATATGTGTGCGTAAGTACTGAGCATTCGCGTAGACGGTTGAAACACAGCGAAAAATACATAGGATAGCTTATGAAGGCCTCACAATCTGTCCGTCACAGCGACTTCTGCAAGTTTTAAGGCTGCCTTTGAACAACTGACAGCTTCAGGCGGAATTCGAGTCCACGAGGATCCACTGGGAACCCAAAACTGCAGCAACATTCCCAACCGTAGAATGCATATTACACGTTAATGAGGGATTCCCTTATAATGATTATCCTTCGGACTTTGTGCCAAATGCACTAGTATCCAACGTACGGTATTTACGGGCAAAAGCCAAAAGCTTAAGTGACTGCTTACCGTGGTTACAGGTTGTTCATGGGGCATGCCTCGGAAATCCAGCTGAGACGATGCGCAACACATTAGCCTGGAAGTAATGAGCAGTACGCTAAGCACTGCTGGAGGCATACTAAAGGCAAGGGGATTTGAGCAATAAAGAATTGTGAAAGCTCACTGTACAGACGAGCAAATTTGGATAGTGCTGCCTCAGAACGCGGGCAATGTGGGTTGCCTCCTTGTTCATGGTCGGCGCCTTCTCTGGAACAGTCAAAAAATCTGAGTAGTAAAAGCCAACTATCTTCTGTCTATATTTGCAGTTAGGTGCGAATAAATTGCGGAAGGCGCCCCCGTCTGATTGATCCATTTCACACATGGCTTCCACCTGAACAACGGAGAACCAGAGTTGCATTGCGGATGACAGAGAGCAGTGCAGTCTGAAAACGCAGTGATCGTGAAGCTAGGATGGACAAGGGTCCGGATGCATGCCCACCAATTCAACTCCAAGGCGTAACTGCGGATGCAGCATATGTGTGTGCAGGAGAGGCATCGCATCAGCGCAGAGAACGAAGTCTTGTTTTCCCGATTTAGTGTCTTCAGGGCCAACCAGTAGTCCACAGACAGGCTGCTGATGATGCTTCAAGGCATGCAATATCATTTTAGCGTACGCGGGGCCGCTCACAGCGGTGGTGCTGGGATGCGGCATTTTGCATATGGCGTCTTTCGAAGGGAGCCTTCCATGTGAATTCCTACGCCACAGCGCTCCAAGAGGCTAAGATGAGATCAGCTGTCTCTTACACAGGCCCTCCTGCCTGCTTATCGCAGCACTTGTCTGATCGTGTTCATTGGTATATTCAAGATTGCATGCGTCCAGTTCCCTGATTTGGGAAAGTTCCCGGTAGAATATTACCCAATGCCTGTGTAGAGGCTTTAACATTCAAGCAGGGCAAAGCGAAGTAGAGAGCGGGCTGTCTTATGTTTGCTGCAGACAGCAAGTGAGCTCTGGGGCTGAATCTGCCGAGCCAGAAGCTTGTGCTGCATGGGCTGTTGGCAAGGCCGCATTTACCCGAGTCTTACAATGAAACCCTCTGAATCACTGAAATATAAAACCGATAAATGCAGCAAGTTCTCTTCTGCGTTGAACGTCATTGCCTTGGCTCATATAGCTGTGGTAATAAATCTACAATGCCATCCGTAACCTAGGCTCTCCATTATGCACTACATTTGGAAACATTAAAAGAGAATGATGCCATTACGATCTCAGTAGGCATGGCCACATGTCAAAATCAACAGACAAAAATGCTACGAGGAAGAGGCTCTTCATTACTGGCAGGGTTAGTCTTGCAGTTCGTGGAGCAAATTCTTTTGGCATCGTTTTGTTAGCATGTTACTTCAATCAGAATGATGCTCTAATTTACTGGCGATAAATAAAATATATGTATGTTTTAACTCCCTTTTTGCTCTACAGGGCATGCGCAAATCACGATACTGCCCTCCCGTCGGCAAAAGGATGGTTGTAGCTCTGCATTTATGGACACCGTACGGAGAACTTTAGCCTCACGCTCAGTGCCAAACCTGAGTAGCAGCTTTTACAGTGCTTTCGGCAGAAACTTTGTCCGCGCCCTTGTAAACTCATAGTTTGCTACAATGGGTACACGGAAAGCGTCTTAACGGGATGCGCTGCACAGTGGCAGCTTAGCTTGCGTGCATGTGTGCTAGATGCTATGTGAAACTAGCTTTAAATATTCAAAGCACCAAGTCTACCCCTGACCCCTTGTACCGGAACCACGAGGCAAAGGGGGGTCAAAGAAAAGGGCACTCTTGATAAAGCAAACCACCCAAATCTTGTAGAATGTTAGACAGTGGACTTCAGCATCTCACCGCAGCTGTTCCTTGCTGCTTCATTGGCTATTGGCGCATTGGGATGCCAAAGTTCTCTGAAACAATGGTCTGGGCTTGCTAAAGGTGCTTGGTAATCCAATACTCCAGCTTTTGATCGAAACAGCTAGAACTGCCCTCTGGTGGTGGATTTTGACGGTGAAGTAGTGCGTGCTGGAGAGAGATGCCGCCTCTTAAGCTGACGTAAACGTAGTAGATCCACAAGGGATAGAAAGTTAACGGTTTTAAGCATATCAGGTGCTTCTGGATGCTTCGATAAGGCCAGCAGAGCAGAAAAGTGTGATGGGCATAAGCACGCGCAAGCACTCGAATATGTTTATCAGGCGGGTAGAGCTGCACCAATCGTTGGACACTGCAAGTGAAGAAAAAATGCCCTTCTCGTAACATGCTCTTTGGAGGTAAAAACACCCCGTTGGTGGCTTTATTTGTGCAAAAGAAGTCGCCAATCTGCAGGTATAATCACATCACGCACAAGCCCTGCTTTATCGCTATCCGTGGAGATAAGCTCATTATATACCAATAAATCGATGTATCGAGAAAAACCAAACTTCGGCTTACTATATCCACAAGCGAACAGCTGCTATGTCGGTGGCCTCTGTTGTGCTAATGCAACTCTCCGTGTAAGGTCCACGATCAATATAATTTTGATAGAATGTCAATATGTGTGATTTAAAGAAACTCCCTCCTTTTCCTGCCCGCTCCTGTCAGAAGTCCCGCCGTGGAGGGAGAGGTAAAGCTAGGGTGTGCTTAGCTGCGCTGTCTTAACACTCGCTCTCTGCTCAGCTGCTTGCACATTGCCTCTAGCACACATACGCAAGTGATCGCGTCGCCAATTATGTATCTCACTCTAGCCTGCACGAAGATATTAACAGACAAAGCATTTAGCCACTTCTTTACTTGCTTTAAGTTAAAGTGAACTAGTGTGATAGCAAGTCCCAAAGAACAGCTTCGCCGCTACACTTTGCCTCACGCACTTCAAAGCATGCACGATTGTGTTCCTTTCCTGTACACTGAAATCCAAATTCATGAGGGCAAGTGCCAGAACTCTTCCCTTTTCGCCGTTGCTTGAGCCGGCAGGAACGCAAAAAGTAATGTAGCTGAGGCAAATATATATGTGCATTAATAGCTAAAGAGACAGCTCCGGGAGGAGCTACACATACACACTAGCAAAAATAAGCGAGGGATCAATCCAGCACTACTTCGGCGGCGCTTGGCTCTCTGTCGGCGGAGAGCTGATTTTTGTGGGCCTCCTGCTACGACACAACGGAAAACAAGTAAAATGTGCAAAGAGTTTTCGCGATACGCACTATATCAACAGTGCCTTTCGAGCCCCATGGAGCTATTTCTTCATACTAGTACAGCCGACTCATGCATAGTAGACTTCAAAGCCCCTCAACGTGCGTATCGAAGAAAGCAAAGACAGCATTCTCGAGTGCCTGCTCACAGTTCAGAGTGTACGTAACGCTCTAACAAAAATAGCCAACATGTTTCCAACTCATTCCCATTGACGAAGATGAATATTTCAGGCAGTGCATGACACTTAGAGACGAAAATTACCAAGGACCTCGAGGAATACCATCTATGGGGACTAGTGATGTGTACCAAACATAAGCGCTAAGTCCTTCCCCATCGATCCGGCGCGTAACTCCCGTCTGCCCTCTCCTCGGTGCTGAATAGTCCTGAAGTCCAGCACCTCTACGGGACCCTGTAAATCTACCGCCGCCACAAGCGCTAGTCGATTTTAGCATTGTGCCTTTTAAAAAAACGTTTACATGGCCCTCAATTTCCCGTGCATAATGTGGGAACGTTCAATACCGTGTTTAGCAATACATAATAGAATGTTCTCGAGTGTTTGCCCCAAGGTCTTGGCGAGTTCTCTGTCCGCGTCTCTCAAGGCTGGGTTCAGGGAGAAAAGGACCGCTAAAGTGCGGATTGCGGCATCCTCTAAGCGGTGGGGGCGGCTAGGTGCACTGAGCATCTAGCTCACGTGCACACAAATACGCTTCTTCTTGTATTGAGCTAGTACCTCTCTGCAGCATGTATGCTATAAAAATATCCAATCCAAGTAGGAATCTGTTCGCAAATGCTTGTGTAAACACAACTACGTCAGAGTGTAGTCTTTCCCGATACAACTATCGTTTAAAGCTGACTCAACTAAGCGACAAATCCGATATACCGATGAGGTAAGCAAAATAATATTCAATCTTTGCTAACCCTTAATATCACATAGCTACTATGGTCCAAAGCGCCGAAGTGCTGCTGAGCCTGCTACTGTCACACATGCGGTCCTTTTTTCACTGAGGCCAGAATACTGATGAGTGCTGGCAAGGGGGAGCGCGTAAGCTTTTGGCAGTAGGCTAAATAGTTTGGTCTTTGTCTTGGATCCTGTTTTGGGGACGAGGGTCTGCATTGCAGGACACGCGAAAAGACGTAACACCAGACGGCCACAAAATGCCCTGAACCTTTCTGTTGGAACACCTTCAGACGATTGAACGTGGTGATACGCGCTTGAAAACCTATGGTTAATTTAAGAAGAACCTATTGTGTGGTATTATGGAATGCCAGCCTTACTAGGGACTACCGGGCGGCAGTCTCCGGTGCTCAATGGATACCCCCGCGCGCTTTGCAGCTGGACCAGGGATTCTATTAGGCCTCGTTTGGTGGTTCAATATGGCATACTCAGGAAGTTCATCATAGAAATTTCAATGGATTGTGTGTCAAAGACGCTAGAGGTTACACTGAAGTGCCTCGAAATACAGGTTGCCGTTGCAGCAGAACGCTGCTACATCACCAGGTCCAAGGTCGCCCCGAACAAAAAATCAATATCGTTACGCAGAGTGATGACAATTAGAACCATTTTTAATGCCTTTGCCTCGTAATCAAGGAATCGTTCTTTTCACGCATGGTTTTTCAGGACCCTGCAAGGGTAGGGGATAAGACTGGTGTCCGGAGATTAGTGTGGGGTGCGGAAGGAGAGGAAGCAACTGAGCGGCTGATGTTTTATTGGATATCCATAATTTCGTGTGGTTTGTTATCTAAGCAACATTCTCCAAGTAGCCATTTTGGTTCCTGTTGGGAAGGCAAAGAGCACTGAGCAAAGCTCTACAGCAGGCCCTAGTTCTGCTCGAGTTCAGAGTATACGCCAGTGGCTATTCAGGGATCGCCCCCGGTGCTGGGGTCCCTTTCAGACTCCTCGATTTCTGGTCTTCGCTGAACGTCCACTGCTTTCCATCATCCCCCATTTTTGCATTACGTGAAGTCCTTTGGATATCTTTTTTCCTCCGAGGTCCCTATAATCCCTTGGTCTTCGGGCGAAGGAATTCCGCTGCAGTCCATTACTGGTGTTACCAGCCGAAGTATTACCTGTTTTTCAGCCAGGTTAAAAGCTAAATACAACAACTGATCTGTGCCAATATGTCCAATAAAAGAAGGAGCGGGGCTGCCCGCAGGGCGAAACGGGCCTCAGTGTGTTCAGGAGGAGGCAGTGGTGAGGAACCCAGCACCGTTCGAGACGTCTCAACACAGCAAGGAACCACGCAATGTGAGGATGATGAGGCCGTAGCATTCGATCTAGTGGATGAGCAGGCAAAATGCGTGGAAAAAGAGGCATCTCAGCTTGAAGAGCATCAGCGTACTGAGCAGGGGGCTCACGAAGCAGGGGGTGTCCCGGGAGACGAAGCGAACATTGCTCAGGCGACCAGCGATGAGACTCATGGCAACAGAGTGGAGGTAAAGGGCAAGACTGCGGATGAGACACGTGCTGAGGAAGGAAATGGTGCAGCGGACAACTTCGAAGCAAAGGAGGCACATGCACAGGAGCTGCGAGAGCAGCAGCAAGAGGACGACAGTGGGGAGGAGGCGCATCTAGTTTTGCAGAAGGGCGCAGAAGGTGAGCTGGACAGAGACCAAGGAAAAATGCATGCAGAACGCAAGACTCAGGGGCAAAAGGGGAAACAGGTAGGCGTGCCACATGAACAAGTGACCCGAGAGGAGGATGACGAGCAGGAAAAAGGGTCCATCGATGAACACGCGCCACAGGAGCCTGAAGTCATCCAAAAGGAAGGGAAAGATGGGGGAAAAGAAAACGAAAACGGGGATTTGCAAACTGCGGTGCAGCAGCAGGAGGAAGACGACGAGAAACAGGAAGACACAGCACTCCCGCTTGAAGCATCAGCAAATCAGGGAAACGAAGCAGAACAGGCGGAAGGAGAGGAGGCAACAGTGGCAGAGGAGAGGCAAGAAGAAGATCAGCTGGAAACCACTGGATCGATCGCTGAATGGACAGGCAGCGAGGCCGAATTAAGTGTGGCAGCTTCTGCGGATTCAACGGGTCTTTGCTGTACCAGGAATGTTGCAGGGGAAATGTGCGAAAAGGCAAGTCGTTAGAAAGTCGGTAGTATCAACGTGGATTTGCCCTCGCGAACGACCGCGATGGAATCTGAATTTCGTAGCAGACCCAACTAGATGGTCTCTATCAAGTAGACGCACCCATTACATTGAAGTGCCTGAAGAGTCTGGCTTTTTGTGGGCTGACTGATTTTGTTTTTGCAGCTTTTCATTAGGAATGATGGGCCATACGGGCCCCTTGCCAGAAACAGGGTCTTTAGGGAGGCGCAGGGCCTGGTGTTCGACCGCATTCCTAGTGCGATGGCAGGCTATGTCGAGGAGGCACAGCAAAGCAGCGTCGCTGAAGCGTGTCTTACTTGTAGCGACGACGTCTGTGAGGGGTGTAAGCTTCTGGAAGCCTACGCGTTTCTGTCTATTTCAATAGACTCTGTGAAGCTTGGTGAAGATGTCAGTGCATTCCTCAGGGTGGTATGGACGCAGAGAAAGGCCTGTGGTGCTTGGTGTGATTCATAGGCTTCCCTGCAGCGAAACTGTTCCTAGAGACTCTATTAGCCACCGGCGCGGCTGCCATATCGGTGTTTTACAATTATCGCAAGCAGCTGCTGAACGGCATTACCTTCTTCACGACGTCTACCTTTAGGTGCCTTCGGGTACGAAGTTCTCACGAAGCGTTGTCCACGTTTAGTGGAGCAGATAGCCGGGGTTTTCCGTATACTGTTCGTATAAGGGTTAAGAGCGAACAGTTCTGTTGCATTTCGTGGAGGAGTAGCTGTGGGCTGTGCGCAGTGAAAGTGTGCGCGTCCAAAAGCTCTCATTCCTTTTGGTTCGTGTTGTCTGCGCGTCTCTGCTGTCAGGCATGCGCATGCACACTGGCACCGTCATCGTCGGAGGATCGAGGAGTCCTGAGGGCCCCCTCAGGGCCTTGGGTCGCCATGGGCAGCTCAACCGAGGTTTGCTATCCCCATGGGTCACTTGAAATACCGCGCCTAAGCCTGCAGCACTCCGAAGAGCCGTTGTGTGGCACTTCCCAAAGCACTGTAAGCAAACCGCACATCACTATGGTGTCCTTGGGACTTCGCTGTAAATCAGAAACCAGCTGTTTTGCTTGAGAGGTGAACCAATTGAACAAAAGCGTGTCCAGAGTTGAACGAGGAACAGCGGCCAAACGGGGACTTCGCGGCTAAAGTCCTTTGCACATCCTGTCCCAGAACACTTTTCCGCGTCCCCGCAGATGCCTGTTGTTTCCCCATTAAAGCCGAGCGATCAAGTGTAGGTCGAATGAATCATTTCGTTTTCTGCGATTCGGCGCGATGCACTCAGGGCGTCCCTCCCAGATCGCCGCCAGCGGAGGTTCTCCAGCACCAGGGCTCCATTTGCGAACAGCCGCCTTACCGCCCCCTCTTCGCCCCAGGGGCCCAGCAGAACATATTCTCTCGGCGTGTCACAAGCAACCATTAGAAACACGCAGCATGAATACTTACATCGGGGCACCACATATTCTAGTTCATTATTTCTGCCTTCAATGACTTAGGAGAGCCCAAAGGGACGGCGAATTCAAGAAGCAGCACCCAATGGAGCCCTCGTTATTCTACATTTCACAGCACCATCACAGCAGGTTGAGGAGCAGCACCGCCAGTTCTGAGCAGCGGCGAAATCTTTGCAGCGAGAAGTTTGCACCAAAAGCAACGAGCGCAGTTAGAGGCACATCGAGTAGCCTTCATAGCAGTGCTTCCCATTTTAAGTAAAAAGATGGGTGGGTTGGGGTTCCTTGCTTATTGCGCCAATGCAACGTAGCTATTCGATGACGAACTCGAGGGATAACTTGACCGAACTAGCACATATAAGTAAATTACGTTTATTTTGGTACTAGGTGTCGCGAAAACATGGAGGCAGAGGACACGGGGAAGGTTCAGGTCCGTTTTAAGGGGTGTCAAGCGGCACGTCTATCTTTTGGAGACGTCTGAAGTTTAAATTCATATGATATGAAAGCTAGAGTAAAGACTAGGACGCGACGCCATCCCGGTTTGCGGGCTGCGCGGAGACTGAAAAAAACGCCAGCTAAGCGAATATACGAATGCATGAAAAGGGGGAACACCTATGTGGATCCCTGCCGCTGTTGGAACGCTGGAAGACAGCTCAGCAGCTGCGGCCTCAAAAAGAGTAGAGTGCCTTCAGGCAGTCCCTCAGTCTTACAACGACGGACTGCGTAACAGTCTCGGCGGCGTCTGTCGGTCTAATGGGGATAAGCCAGACTCGTTGGTTCTTCCGACGTACCACAGAGAATAGTAACCAGCTGCAGCAAAAACACGGTAAGAAAAGCAAAGCAAGTTAAACCAAGACAGTCAAGGTGTACTGCACAAATAAAACAGGAATCCGTGCCTATACAGCAACGACGAACTAACCTCGTGCCAATACTCAAGTGGTATCTGGCAGGCAAATTCCAATCCCCGGGCATCTTTCCTCCTAAAGTTCAGATGCAATGCAGCGCAGAAGACATTAAAAATTGAATCCTCTTGCAACTTGGTGGGGACCCCACGTGGATTCAGGGGCACAAAGGCGCATCATACACAAACTGAATTCCCCTATGAATCTCACCGTCTGATGTAATGCACCCGCCAGAAATGCAGCAAGCGCCAAAAATTGAATATCCCGATCCCCATTGAGTTCATGAGGGCAGACTCGCTGTCCCGTTGGCGTGAGTAGTCCTGGAAGTGCTTTTCTCCCTCGAATTCACCGGACTCAATCAGTTTTCTCAAGGAAGCGCCCACTCCTGGAGGGTTTCCGCCTCGAGCAACCTCCGCCTGCACATACAACGCATGCAGAAACAGGAAAATGCGCTTGGATCCTAACATGCAAAAATGCATCCCCACAGCTTGGTACAGGGCATATATATATATATATATATATATATATATATACTCTACAGCCCCCCGCCTCGCCCTCCCGCCTTTGGATGGGACAGGCTACGACAACACACAGCCGACGTGGGGTCAAATGAAGACAGCCAGGAGCAAGACAAACCTCAGCTTCTTTGAATTGATTCTTAATATCTCGCAAGGTCTCCGGCAGTTTCCCATCCAGTAGTGCCAACAGGAGCAACACAAGGGATGTGTTTACGCAGCAAATGCTATCTGGAACAACCCCTTCGAAGGATACCACTAAAGTAGCAGCAACACGCACACCAAAGACGCCCACAAGTAGCTCTGAGACGCACCTCTGGTACAATTGTGGTGCTGCTTTTACAAGGGTCTATATTCCGATGCATGGTATTCAGCAAGGGGAAAATGCAACTTAGGGGGTATAGATGCGAGGCTCTGGCTATGTCCAGGGGAGTACCAAGCCACGCAGCATACAATAAAGTTCAAATAGATAGGAACTTCGCCGAGTAGACTTACCGCACATGAGCCTCTTGAGTATTTCAGTCCTCCTCTCAGCAAGAAACTTTGCAAGCGGGCTTTGCTGTTCATCCAGAAGTAGATTCACATCGACTCGGTACTTCCCACTAAACACTGCATGCAGTTCCCTGCTACCCCGCACTACAGAAGCCACCATCGACGGAGATGGATCGGGGCGAAGCCCTACGCCCAAGGGCGCAACGTCCCAGTAACACACGTCATCATGAAGCGGCTGCTCCTGCTGTGCTGTCTGGACTGCAAAACCACTGCTGCAAACTCTGCTGCCTCCGCGGTTCAGCAATGCCCTAAGAACCGCGCCGTCTGCAAAAGGCACAGTCAGTCCAGTGGGTGCAGCAAAGCCCCCCGATGCGCAACACGAGTCTGAATCATGCGGCTTGCCTTGCGCGAGGCAGGAGGTGCGCTGTGCTCGCTTCTGTTGTACGTGCACTCCACCGCCTTGAGGCCCATGCAGAGTAACAGAGCTGGAGGAGTTGCGGTCAAAGAAATGCATTTGCCTCCACAGAGGCAAGGCGCGCTGTTTTGCATGCAGTTCGAGTGCCTCTGCGGCTGTAGTACTCGTCCCTGCGGTCATCCCTGTAGCGTTTCTCAGATCCTCCTGCACCGTCGAGCCTCCGTCCCTCTCGCTCCCGGATGATGAATCCGAGCATGCGGCGATGCTCCTGGCTGCAAGCGCGTGAACCCTTGCTATCTGCCTGCAAAACTCGAAAGTAAGGAAGAGACTCCGAACCAGAACGTTCGTGTCGATAAGGTGATCTTCAATAGTAGCGACAAAAATCCTAAAAGCTTCAGGATGCCGAGCGAAGTGCCGATCCAGGAGCAGCAGTACATAGGGGTTGAACTTGAGCAGCTCCCCCATAAGGTCGCAACAGGACTGCAGCATTCCACGGTGCGCCGCGCATCCTGTGTTGCTGGTGTTGGCAGTCGGCCTCGTTGTGCTGCTGCTGCTGCTGTCACTCCGTGTTGTACAGTCCGCATCCATAGAGGCATCCGCCGTTGCTGGGGTGGAGATGGGCTGGCTCTGGGGAGAGTGTTCTTTCTGTTCGAGATGCGCTTTCTGTTCGAGAGCAATTGCGTGCATATCCCTGAGGATGATCTGCAGCAATCCACTCTCAGCCGCAAACACCTTTATGAGGGGGTCAGCGCCTCTAATACACGCTTCTATGGACGAGGCCAGCCAAAACTTGTAGACTGAAGAGGGAGGCTCGTGCCCGTATATGCAAATAAGGCGCGATAGCAACCCCGCTGTTCCCTTAAAAATATAGCGTGTCGCAATGCGACCGAACTGCTCGTTGGAGCGATGCGTTCCTGCTGCCTCAATGGAGCTGCCGCTGGTGTCGGCTGACGCTGGCCGCTGGTGTTGCTGCCCTTCATGCACCTCCTCGACATTCGCTTCCGCAGTTTCGTGTTCGCCGCCTCCTGACTCCTGTTGATGCTGCTGCCATACCTCACTAGAGGGCGTCACGTTGAGAGCATCACTGTTTGCGATTCTGGCCGTTCCAGCAGAAGGCTGTGCCGATTTCCGTGTGTTTTCGGCGTCTACCAGAGGATGGGGGTGTATGACCTTGAGTCGCTGCCGTACTGCTCGGATCAAGGGTGGACGCAGATCAACCCTACGCGGCACGCGTAAGGCATGCATCACAATGTTTCGCTCGTGTGGCGTAAGCATTTCCCTCCTGATGTCAGCAGCTACCGGGCCGCATTCATAGTCTGCCAAATCGTGGATCAGACGCAGCAATTCTAGGGCGAAGGCGCACAGAGACGTTTCACAGCAGCAAAACATGTCCAGAGAGAGGGAGGGAGGCGGCAAAGCAGAAAGAGACACGCTAAACGAGGCTGGCATCGTATACACGCTGCTGCTGCTGACGCTACTTCTTCGAGCGCCCTCATCAGACAGACAGCGACTCCTTGATGCCAAGCCTTCCCCCAATGAAGCACGCGCATCTGTGGAGGCTTCTGCAGGACCGCTTCCAACAGGCGCACTCTCTGCACAACTTGCACCTGTGGTCAAAGGACTCGCTTCGAGACTGCCGTCTGCTCTCTGCAGGTCGTCCGCCTCCGCTTCACCCTGCACCTGCTGCTGTTGCTGCTGAGCGGTGTCAGCCTGCAGCCACTGATGGGCAAAAGGATCTGGTCTAAACCATACTTGCGTTTCCAGCAAATTTCCAAGCAGCCGAACGATGCCAAGACGCCCCAGGCGTCTTTGCACCGCAGCACGCGTCTTGCCTCCCAAGAGCGAACAAACAACAAAGTACAGTTCCGGCTGTACAACAGCACATTTCCACATACACCAGCATAGATGCACATACACCAGCATAGATGCACATACACCAGCATAGATGCGCATACACCAGCATAGATGCACATACATCAGCACATTTCCGCATACACCAGCATAGATGCACATACATCAGCACATTTCCGCATACACCAGCATAGATGAGCATACACCAGCATAGATGCGCATACACCAGCATAGATGCACATTCACCAGCATAGATGTACATACACCAGCACATTTCCGCATACACCAGCACAATTCCGCATACACCAGCATGAATTTGCATCCATGCATCGGATCACTGAACGTGGTACCGAAAGAGAAATGAGGCCCCTGGGCATTCTAAGAGGCCCTCCAAAAATCCTTGCAAGGTTCACCCAATTGATGGAGAGTCTTTTAGTGGTTCAGACTAAGCTTGAGAAATGGACTCACTGTGTGCTGAAGGATGGACCCAATGCGAATAACGTAGTTCTGTTCTGGAGGAGTTATCTGTTGGAGAACGGTGGTCAGAATCAATTCGAGCGCCCCATTGCTGCTTCGCGCGGCAACACCCCTTAACGTCTGCAAGGCCGCTGTCAGCACTTCATGCACCGAGCCAGTCGAGAGCTGTTGCTGCTCCTCTTCTGGAGGTGTATCACGGCGTGGCTGCTGATGTTGCAGCGAATTGGCGTTCTCAGGTGGATTGCGAGGAGGTCGCCCTGCTGCTCCTGCTGTGTTGGAGTGTGCGCTGGCTTCGTCTGGATTTGCAGATGCCGCTCCTCCCTCAGTTGCTGCATCTGCCGCACCATCTGGCGTTCCTGCTGCCACAGCATCGGAGAACAGGCCTGATGCTCCCAAGAAAGATGTCGCCCACTGTTGCCAGGAGAGTGTTCTGCTCGGGGGTGCGGCTGATCCATCCGCCCCTGCGGATGCAGTTGCTACACCATCCTCCCCTGGGGATTCGCCAACAGCTCGAGCGGCGACGGCGGGTTGTTGCTGCTGCTGTTGTTGCTGCTCCTGCTGCTCCTGCTGCTCCTGCTGCTCCTGAACGCGGGTGAAAGGGGAAGAGCCAACGTCGTTTAGGGACCTGTAGGCGTAAAGCTGCAGTACTTGCTGCGCTTGCTCGTGCAATGGCAGCTCAGGGTCGAATACAACCAACGGCTCAGCGTCCTCGGGTGTAGCTTCTGCTGTGGCTGAAGGCGCTAATGGAGGGGTAGTGAGAGTGGGGGGCTGTAGTCCCTCTTCGGAGGCTCCGACAGCGGAGTGCTGCTGCTGCTCTTGAGCCTCTGCGGCACTTGCAGCAGGGGGCAGCGAGTTGTCTGCCGCGGCTGCGGGCGGACTACTGCCGTTACGAGCAGCTACCACTGACTCCGTTGCTTGGATCTGCTGCTGTTGCTGCTGCTCTGAGAAAGTGCGCGGGATTGCAGTGGCCCTCAAGGCAGCACCAACGCTGAAGGGGATTCGAGGACGACAAGCATTTGCCGCTGCAGCCTTTTTGATTTCCAGTTGTTTCAGTTGCTGTAGCTCAGAAGATTCGTCCTCCGTGCCAGAGGACATGACGCTGCTGTTGCTGCTGCTGCTGTACGGATCATCTGCACTTAGACTCTCCATCAGCGGCTGACGCAGGAAGCCATCAGTCCCTTGCAAACGCACCCGCCGCTGCTGCCGCTGCTGCAACTTTCGCCTCTTGTAGCGATCTCGCCGAGACAGTCCTTGCTCGCGCGACTCGCCATATTGCTCCTTCTTCTTCAGCCGACGATGCGCACCAGGAGGCCTAGGAGGCCAGGGGAAACTCTGCTGCTGCGGCGCCTCCCTGCTGCTGACGCCGTCGTTGCTGCTGCTGCGCATGCCACTGCTGCTGCCACTGCTGCTGCGGTGACGGCTGTTGGAACCGCCGTTATCGCTAGTCCCGCTACTTGAACTGCGCCTCCTGCGACGACGGCGTAGCAAGTGTTGTCTGCCCTCTGGCGAACCCTCCGCGACAGAGCTGTTAGCCGCATCTCCAACGCGTTGGGGAGTAGGCCTCCGCACACCAGAAGCATCGCTAGAACTCCCTTCTGCTGTAGCGGCGTGCTGCCCACGGGAAATCCCAAAGGAAAGCGTCGACAGCCTCCGGAGCAACCGCCCCATGAAACTGGCCTCTTGTTGCTGGTCCGACTGCTGCTGAGATTCGTGTTCAGCGTGCTGCTCTCGACAAAATGCCTCTTCGGGTTGCTGCTGTCGCTCAGACGCTGCTGCTCCAGCAACGTGGGAGGCGCTGCCAGCAGGGCTTCCACTGCTCTGCTGAGCACTCCGCTTTCGCCGGCGATTGCGGCGCTTCAGTGCAGCTCTGTGCTGTCTGTACAGCTCATGAGTCCTATGAAAGAGTTGCCGCAGCTGCAGCTCGTCCCGCACCCCGAGGCCTTGATGAATCTGCACCACCTGCTGCGACGCTTCAGCTCCTGCAGCAAATCCACTGATTCCAACGGCTGGCGTGGAATCCTCCGAGTCGTCTGCCCTCTGCAAAAGCACGTGGACAAGTGCTCGAAGCTGCTGCTGCTGCTGCTGCTGCTGCTGCGGACTCTCCCCGACGAGGGCAGACACCGTCCATATGGCCCCCCCCGAGGCTGCAACCGGTTCCTCCACCACCCCGCGGATCGCATCCGAGGCGGCTTCAACAGCTTCTGCTGCAGCTGCTGCATCTGCAGCTGCTCGAGCTCGTCGACGGGCTTCTGAAGCGGATGCGACTGCTGCGCTGGTAGTAGCGCTAAGTCCCTCTGCAGCCGTTCCCACTCCCAAAGACTCGACCCCCTGCACTTCTGCTGGCAGGCCGCTGCTTCTGAACTCAGCGACAGCCATGCCGCCTTGCTGCTGCTGCTGCACAGACAAGGGCGCTACGAACTCAATGCCGATGCTCGGGGCACTTGCGGCAGAGACAGCAGCCACAAGAGACGCGATATCGTCGTGTGTGGTGAAGACTGTGTCTGCTGTGAGCTCGACAGAGATCCCAGCAGCAGCAGCGGTTGTTGCTTCTGCTGCCAAACCAGTCGGCGCAGTTGATTCGGGTGTAGGCGCTTCTCCTGCTGCTTCCTCCTCCTGCTCTGCTGGTGACATGTCTACATCCGTGGAGGACGCGTTGGCATGCAAATTCCTCCTGCTGCCGCTGCTCGCAGGTGCTGCCCCCTCAGGCTGCCCGCGCACGACTGCATCGCCAACGAGAGGCCACGGAGAAAGGCGCCGAAATAGAGAACCTCCTCCACCGCTCACTAGCACATCGGCCACTGCAGATGCTTCTACGGAAGCACCAGAAGAACCTCCGGCAAGCCGTGATTCAACAGTAGGACGCACTGCGGGCGGCCCCCCATTCGATGATCGGCGGCGTGTGTCAGCAGCTTGCGCAACTGAAGCGGCCGTCCCTCTCGTATGCAGAAGGCTGAACGGCATCCGTGGTCTGGACATAAGGGGCATGAAGCCTCCTCTCCCGCCTTGTGCTGCAGTTTCTGGAGCGTCACTGTTGTTGCTGCTGCGCCTCCACGACGCACTGGACGTAGCCGAATAGTTCATCGCGTCGCTTGCACGTGCATTGCTGTGCCGACTCCTTCGGGTGCTAGGCCTAGGTCCACTTGCCTCCCCCAGAACAAGATCGAATAGCGGCGTGTTACTCCTCTGCAAGAGCTCCAACAGAGCGTCTCCGCTATCTGCTGCAGCGGGCGCAGCAGCAGTTGCCCCACCCCCGCATGTAACTCCAGAGAGGAAGCCGGGGAGAGGTATGGATTGAAGCCACAGCAGTTCTACCAGTCTCTCAACGAGCTGCGGCTGCTGTAGGAGGATCTCTCTGTTGCTGTCTGCACAAGCGCTGCAGCTGGTACTATGCCGGCTGCTGCAGCCCCCCTCACTGCAGCACGATCTCCCAGGCGTCATGAAGGCCCTCCGGTGTACGTTCACCTGCTCATCGTCGCTCTGCAGCTTTGTCCTCCCCAGCAAGAAAGCTGCAGCCGAGCGCCCCCTCCTGCGCCGCAGCCATATATCCCGATCCACATTTTGTTGCATGCGAACAGAAGGAGCAGCGCGGAGCTTCCTGCTGCGACTGCGGCAGCCGATCGCGGCGACGGGCTGAAAAGCATTCGCCTCTTCCTCGCTGCTGGTATGTTCGCTGCTATCGAGGCTTTCATTCAGGCTGTCACTACTGCAGTGTATGGGGCCCATCTCAATGAGATCGCAAAGAACCTTTCGAGTCTCTTCAGGCCTAGTGGGCGCATCCCCTAGAGACTCGAGCAACCACGGACTCCATCGCTGTTTCTGTGTCTTGCAGCTGTTGCGCCTATTGCTGCTGCTGCTGCTAAGGGCGTGGCTGGTGGCACCTCCTGCCGAAGCCGAAGGATGGGCAGATATCCCTACCGGCTGCAAGTGAAGCTGGTGCTGTTGCGGCTGTTGCTGCTGTTGCTGTTGCAGCATGTCTTCTCGCCTCTGTACTGCAGCCACCTCCCCACAGCGATGCCGCTTGTAAGAGCGAGGGCGACGAAGCAGCCAAAGGCTGCTGCTACACGCAAGGCGATCATCTGCTTCAACCACAAGGAGCGTCAGTAGCCGTGCTAGCAGTGCAATATGTCTGACCTGAAGCTCCCCCCATCCTCCCTGCAGCAAATTGCCTCCCCCCACCGCCACTGTCGTCGCTGCCGCTGGAGATCCTAAGGAAGTAGCGCATGGATGATCCCCCGCATGGCCCCTAAGCCACGAAGGACAGCAAAAATGCAAGGAGAGGGGTGTCTCCCTAGACGCTATCAGCTCTTCAAGCAGCATCTCAGCGGCGTCGCAGGTAGAGGGGCACACCAGACAAGACAACAAGCAGCTCAATAACCTGCAACACACATGCCAAAAACTGTCTACAGCGATGCAAACGTACAGGCAGTACAGCACGTGGGGGGTGCCTTCAAATCGGCAGCAAAAAGTTTTTGCATTCGCACCAGCGAAGGGACAGCAGCGATAAAAATACACAACTGGAAAAACAGCACCTGCTACACTTGCGGCAGTACCAACAGTATATATATATATACATTTATATTTATATATATGTATATTTACATATTTTTATGTATATTTACATATTTTTATGTATATTTACATATTTTTATGTATATTTACATATTTTTGTGTATATTTACATATTTTTGTGTGTATTTATTTACATACTTTTATATACTTATTCACATATTTATGTATATATATTCACTGCTTACCCAGCGTTGTGTGCGAGCTGGTCTGCAATGGGCGGATGCGAGAGTACAAACTCCCTGAGCAAGTAGAATGACTCGCTAAACACCACATGAAGCAAGTCCCGGATTTCGACTGCAGCCGCTGGCGATGCTCGTGACAGAAGTGCAGCTGGCAGCGCTGCTGCTCCTGTTGCCAGACCCACCAGGGCAGAAATGCCTCCTAAGCCGCCAAACAAACATACGGTACGCATGCCTGAAGCGCTGTTGCTGCTGCCACTGGTGGCGTTGGACGCGTTAGGGGCATTGGCATCTTGCTGGAGGTCCCCTATTGTGTGATCGGCAATCCGCAAAAGCAGATGCCTGCACTCCGTGAGATGTAAGCGCAGCTTCTGCGTCTGAATCTGCTGCTGTTGTCGTGTCAACCTGCTTTCTCCTCTCCGCGATCGGTGTTGCTGCGTAGCAAGTGCGACCAAAGCCTGCTGGTCTTGCTGCTGCTGCCGCAGCTGCAGTACAAGCGATACTATCTCGTCAACTGGTGGGTTGCCACCATGTCTGCTGCCATGCTGCTGCAGGAGATGCAAAGCAGCATCGTTGCTGAAGCTTGCAACTCCTGTGGATAACGGGTTGCGCCGAGCCGATCGAATGCGCAAATACGAACTCACTTGTGCCCCAGGACTACGGCTGATGCCACAGCCACCTCTGCAATTCAACACCGCATAAGTTGAAGGATGGACTGCATCGGCGACTTCCCTGGTTTGCGTTGCTGCCGACGTTGTGGCTTCATTCTGAGTTGCTGTCTCAGTAAGGCCGCTGATTCTTCTTGCTGGCGAGCCCTCGTCTCTAGACGTTGCTGACAATTCTTCCTGTTGAAGCTGAGGATTATGAAGTGCTGCAGCGGTGCGTCCTTCAGCAGCAGCGTGCGTGTCCGTTGCAATAGTTTCTCCCTCCATCAGAACGAAAAACACTTGTCGCTGCTATGTGTAGCTCTTCCACGCTTCCTGCCGCTGCTAGCGTGCGTGTTTCTACTGATTCTACTTCATGCAGGGAACGGAGCAAAAGAAGTACACCAAAGAGACTCTAAGTAGAAAGCGGTACAGGCGGCCGGTGCTTCCCCGTTTACAACCAGCGTTGCACAATCCACTTTGGCTCTGCTGCTGCAACTACTACTACTCATGCTGCTGCTTTTGGTCAAAGAGAAGATACAACGGTACGAAGGGTGAACGTTGCTGAGCTCCTCGTACCGCAATTCCTCCTCTGCTGTATTTGCTGCGGGGCTGGCTGCTGCCCCTCGAGAAACTGCTGCCTTGGGCTATGTATTTGGCCTTCTGTGTACCTTAGGATTCTGCTTCTAATCACGCTGCTGTTCAAAATATAAACGCATCAGCTCAGTACGCTGCTGATGCATGACCGGCTACTGTTACCACTGTGCAGTAATGGCGGCTGGAGCGGTAGCAGTAGCGCTCATCGGGAGCAGGGGCTTCCTGCTGTTGCAGCTATTGAGGAGCAAAATTAGCACAGATTTCACTCTGTTAAGTATCACTTTAGAGTGTGTTTGGTGTATAGACATCCTAGGTAGGCAGGACCTGCCTCCCTGGCACAGAGGCTGCACTCACATAGCTGTAGACGCCCCTGTACGATGTGAGGAAGTATAGCATGGATCCAGGGTCACTTATGGCTGGTGTAGCACAGAGACTCAGCCACGAAAGTCCTTAAATAGTCCTGATAATATTGGGTTGGACATATGATCTGAATCCGTTAGTCGCTTCGAGATTCGAGCACCGTCAACGAAGCAATGGAGGGACAACGAATTACGCCATGCCTGCTTGTTGGCGTCTAAAATCAGGCTGTGGCTTGGCTGTATATCATTGGATGAGCCACTGCGTCGACTCTCTACTTTTCCATGTTTTGTCACGGAAAAGTGGATAATGTGTTTTGCTCTACACCGGTTTTTTGTAGCAGGCTAAGCTTCCTTGGTGCACTTTCTACTGCACGAGGTATACTTTATTTAGAATTAGTGAAAATTCGACAAACTGGATTGTCTTTTCTTATTGATCGATTATTGCAGACTACTTTTAGCTCGGTACCAGAGAACGCAGTGGCAAGTGCATGTGTGTGAGATGCTGTGTTCATGTAGCTGGGAATGCTTGGAGTGCGCAGAGAGAGCAGACTGACGCACCCTAGCTATACCTTTCCCCTCATGTTTGGGGAGCTTTGAGGAGCGTAGGCGGCGGAATGAGTGAGGTTCACTGTAAAATGCTGAACCCAGATACCGGAGGCAGCAAGGCTGCGAAGAGGTGAATGAGAAAACTTTTCTGAGAAAACATACAATTACATTTTACCAAACTTTCCTTGAGTCTAGAGCTATCTATGCCTCCGGAGGAAGATTAAGCGTTACCGTTGGGCAATAAATACTGCTCCATTAGAGGGCTCAGGAAAATCGAGCCAGCTAGCTATGCATTAATATTTTCTACTTCAGTGGAAAGTCGAGTGCATAGCTATCGCTCAGCTGACAATTATCAGCAAACACCTTCCACAGCTAATAGCATGTTGGTCAGTGATCATTGCCTGTGGATTTTTCTACTCCTTGTTCCCGCTTCATTATCGAGTCGAAATGAACTAGACGACAGCTGGGTTCCCTGTGTGACGCTCGATCTACGGCCTCCGTAGAAAGGAACTTACCTTCAGACTCAATAAAAGCTTAATGAAATAATATTCAGTGCTGTTGTTCACCTGCTCGCAGCCTTAATAGCACGGATACATGAGGGGAGACAACTAGAGTGCACCGTAGTGCATCCTTTATGCACTCCGGCAGAGGGCCACGATGCACTAAAACAATTTCTACTACAGTATCTGCATTTGGCTTGAAATTGTCAAAAATATTGTTTCTTGTTTGTCTGTTAGCAAATTCATTGATTGCCGAATACTATCAGCTAGATACAAGAAGACGCAAAGTTATGCTCGTGTGCAAATATGTATGTGTGCGTATGATGGATGCTAAGTGTGGCTACTTGTGAATTCTCGGAGCACCTCGAGGGTGAGGCTTTGCTCATTCTGACTGTTCCTTCCCCTTGATGTAAGGAAAAGTCTGACGGCGCGGCAGGGGAAGGAGGGAGTTCCCATACCCCTTAGTAATATCAATTTCAGTCCGTAACTACGTGTTTCCCTACGGAAACCGTAGATGGAGTTTTACAGTCATTAGTACCGCATGGTTCGAAGCAGTGTAACCCACGAGGTGTGGATATAGTGGAGTCTCAGCTGTGCCTGCAACAGCTGTGTGTTTTCGATCAAGTTATTTGGCACTTCAATTGCCTTGTTTCTTGGCAGCAGTCTGAGGAGGAAAGTTTTTTGGAGGTCGAAGCTGGTCGTATCACGACGCCTTTTAGGGAGGCAGAGGCCGGCTTGCAAGCTGATTAGCCTAGTAGCTCCGCAGGTGGCATAGCGGCATCATTTGTCAGAGGGTCTTTTTTGGTAGGTCGGCGAGGACATACTATTCAGAAAAGTATCACGTCAATACGGATGCAAGGCATGTATATATAAACAACATAGTCGAAAGTACCTCTACATATATCTGGGAATAGAACGCAGCTCAGCACTAACAGCTGGACACAATTCAAGGAATACTCATGAATAAAAATTTTCAATTCAGCAAAAGCAGCGCGTTGGGGAGAGAAAACTACCAAGGAGCTCGAAAAATACCTTTCATGGTGACCAGCTTCGTGCACCGAAAAGGAGCATGAAGTTTCTGAAAGACAACAAAGCCCCAACTACGCATTTTTAACCGAAAAGGGTGGCGCTCCTTTAACTGTTCCATTTGAAGCTCCCTTTTACTGTCTCCTTGGCGCTGAACAGTTCTAGAATCCAGCACACCTACGACGCCATGTGGTTCCTTCGCCTCTACACGGGGGCAACTTGCCTGCTCAAGCAAGTCAGCAAATAATTCGAAAATGATAAAAAGTCCTCTCCAAAGCCACTGTTGATTATTGTGCTGCAACTCCAATTTCTCTCAGAAATACATGGAGTCAGAGAGAGCATTGCTTCGTAACCGCAAATGGCTCTAGCCACCTGGCCGCAAACGTCTGGTCACCTCATGGTGCAACTCGCAAAGCCTGCCAATCTACCGCAATCAAATGTCCAGGCTCGAAACGCACAAACCGATTGCCGCTCTCCATAATCTGGGGTTTTTCTCTATTCAGCTTTGGACATCCATTCGCATGCACAATCCAGCTATTCTTTGGTTCCTTCCGGTGCTAGGGTGACTGCATGTTCCAAACTCCAAGTACAGGCCTGGACCGGAAAGGGGCTCCTCAGTTTAAACTGAGGAGCCCCTGGATAGCAACGGGCATACGAGTGTACTGTTGCAAAGTCACCCACTCCGTACAACGAGGAAATCAAGCCAAGCAGTAGAGTTAGTTTTAAGCAAAGAGTAGCAACTACAGCAGATGGTGGCGCTCGGTGTGCTCTGTCTGTTAATCTGGTCCAGGATGTTCGCAGTGGTCACATAATGGCCAGTGTGTAGGGGATCATAAAGGCACGCGCATAATGCACCAACGAGCTTCGCTTCCCTTTCTGTGATTATACTCGTGGAGAATTCCGTGAGGCTTTCATAACATTACTTTACCATACATTGGCAATTTTCGGGGCCGTGGTAGCGCTAGAGCGTATGCAGCAATAAGCATAGCTGCCGATCTGTGAACAATGACACAGATGGTATATTGACCCTTAACCTCCAGCAGCCTAAAAGGATAATCCATAGTCAGATTAGTCCATAGCCGCTCTGGGACCGAAAAGTTTGCGAATGGCCGGGTTCAGGAGCACTAGGCGGCCTCAGCTTCTGTAAATATGGAAACTACTCTGCACACGCCTCCGCGGCAAGACGCTTTCCAGGACATTACAAAGAAAAATAAGCGCTTTCCCGTGTAGAGTTATTTCCACCGTAGCCGTAAAGAAAGTACTCATAGGCTTTATGCAACGCGGAAGAGTAGAGTGAAGTCGGAATTTATAAGCGACCAGATCACCACTTTGTTCGAATCACAACAAGGCGTCGTCAGCGTTGCACTGCTGCACAGTGCTACCAGTTTCAGTTGTGGCAATTGTAGCGGATTTGTGAGTGCCACAGGCGTAAGACACACCGAAGCTCAATAGAATTCGTGAAGCACTGCAAGCAATCCCTACTACTCGGCACAATAGTGATGCGCTGCAGCGTCGCAAACTCCGCGTAGGCGACCGCTTCAATGCTGCATTCAACTTGCTTCACTGTACATGCGTATTGCAAGAGGCTCCCAATACACCTAATATATACGGTAAACAGAGCTCTCACAACTCTTCGCACGTAACTTAAAACATTGATGGTCAGGCTGAACAAAAGCAAAACAACAGCATGGAGTGCCGACATTCGTCTACTCCCGACCACGCCCCATAGGATTTTTTTGCACTAGATACCACTGCTCAATTTCGGTGAAGGATAAGAATGTCAATCAACAGTTTGATACATTGGAGAGCCCGTATCCTGTTCAGAGATAATAGCAGAGCTATGTCACTAGCATCGGTTACTGGGAAGCAATGCCACCAAAAATGGGGCGACGCGAGTCGGAGGCGTAGGGTGGCCAGCAAGCATACTTGCTGCGGCATCAGCCTCCTCTGCCAAGTCGTGCACTGCGGTTGCAAAAGTAAATAAGCCAAGTGAGCAGCGATTGAAGGAAACACTTTAGTGAAAATTGGGTAACAAGATGCAAGCTCACAAAGTTTCTCAACAACATTGCAGCTGCCCAAGGTAAAAAGCGAGGCTAGATATCTTCAATTTGTTTGCCAAATGTGGCTCGATTTCGGCAGCCGAAACACGGAAACCCAGGGAAAAGTGGATGAATGGGTGCTTTCACATACCACTGGTTGCACCGCAACCGCTGAATTGCCCCCCGCAGGTGCTGTAGGCGCTCCTAAAAGCTGTGGCTTAATATTGAGACTTCGTCTGTCGAGGTAGCCATCCAGCCCTCCTCAATAAGCTCATTGTAATTCCGAACAACTTGCCATTGCTGTCCATTTGGGCATTGGTAAGTCTAAACTCCATACACGTACCTCGTTTTTGCAAGCACGAGTGTAGAATGGGGTTGGTGGCTCTCAGCAGGGTGCAGGGGATCCATACGAAAGCGTCTGCGAAGTCAAATGTTGAGTAAACTGTTGATATGCGTAGGTTGTCCACTAAGTAGCCGATATAAAGAGTCGTGAGATTCCGTTTCACGGTTATCCTGCTATATGGATATGAGGTATTGTACAGGTTCCACCTTCTGGCTGTCTTCAGCACCAACACCGAATAATGCCCAAAGGCGTTGGTCGATTCCAGCACTCTGCCTTTTCAAACAAATAGTCTGCCTGCTAATCAGTCTATAATAGTCTGCCTGCTAATCAGTCTCCTTGCGTTGGTGTAGGAGCTTTCGAAATTCCAGAATATTTCAAGGCTGACCCGAGAAATAGCTGAAGAGGGTCCGCTAGACGACCAGAGATTGTCCAGCCCAGTGGCAGTTCGCCAGTATTGAGCACATCCACGTTCACTCCCTTGATATTTGCCAATTTCCTCTGTTTCGTCTCTGCACGTTTGATCTAGTCCTAGAGCAGGGAGCTGAATGCAGATATAATAAGACGGAATGCTTGCACAGAACGATTTTTCCTAACCGTGCTGCTGAGTTGCCCGCATGAAGACTGTGCCTTACGTTACCGGGGCACCAACGCTACCTGCTCAGCATAGATGAAATGCGCGTTGTTGAGGAGCCTAACAGCGGCTCTCTCCTAGCGCTTTATGAATCACAACACTTCGGAGCGCGCAGATGTGGTCACATGTGCGCTTTCCATCGGGTCACCCGTGACACAGCTAGGACTGCGTCATGGTGCACTGGTCCTACATAAAAGTCCCGGACCATGCTACTGCAGCCCAGTTCCGGGGTTTTTCGAGAAAAGCATTGATGCACTGTGGCCTCGTCAACCTTTGCACTCTGCCGCCCGTCGGCAAGCCTGAGTCTCAGGTACGCGCTGACGAGTGAACAGGCAGACTGCACTTTTGAGCTACATCTCCGGATAACATGTTCACCTCACATCCAGTGAGAATGCATCTTAGCAACTCTAATCCCTAGTGCGTGCTTGCACAAACGCAGCATCGGCTTGTGATGGCTCTCTACTGCGTGTTTATTAGCTGTGGACCCCTTCAGTGCTCCGCAGCCTGTGTGGGTGAGAGTTCTGTTTCCATCGTGCCCCTGTTCTCCAGGAAGAGCAGCCTGCCTTTGCTGCGCCCATTCCTGGAGTTTGTGATCTCTGACGTTTGAAATGAATCGAGTCACTGTTGGAGTGCATCCTTCTCAGATAAGCATTCCGATCAGACCACTAGCTATTTCTTATTTAGGGAGTACAAAGCAAAGAGCATTTTCAACTGCTGGATGAAATCCTCTAGTACTTCCGCATCGGTATGGACGTCATACTTTGCTGATTGGCATGATCTTGTCCACGTACCCCCAAAGACTACACTCGCTGACATATCATATGGTTACACCACCTGCGAAGCTACGGCGCTTACAAAAGCTTGCAAGCCGGCCTCATCTGCACTAAAGGAGTTGTGCCAGCGTCAATGTCTATTCAACGGTTTTTCATCGGGTTGACATGTAAACAGAAACTAGTGAAATTCCAAAAAACTTGATAGAAGCAGACAACGAATAAGGGAAAGCTTAGACCCCGCTGCTTTCATAGCCAGTGGTTGAGCGATAACAGCCATGTACTACTATGCGGTACTACCAGCTGTAGCGCCCCATACAGGGTTTTCTTAGGGGATACCCCACTCTAGACTTAATGCTCTTGGATAGGTTTGTAAGTAAGCAACTTCGTTATGCGACTTTGCCTCTCACGGCTCCATCTCGCGAACAGAGGAATAGCTAGGGTGTGCCTGCACCTTCTAAAAGTTCAGCGCATTCACAGCTATTCACACACAGTATCCAGCGCGCACGCGTACAGCAATGCGTCTTCTTGTGCCTAGCCACCACTACTTTCTAATAAACAAGATGCATGAGCAAAGACACCAAGTATTCAATCCTTCTTTAATTTTTCGAGCTAATATGGCATGTGCAGTAGAAAGTGCCAGATGTTCTTTAGCTTGCGAAAGCTTGGCATTCTAGTATGTAGCGAACCACGCTCTAAAACCATTACGAGATGGGTCCGGCTAATACATGATTATCATATGACTGCACACCTTGTAAAGTGAATGGGATATATTCAGATTTGAATAAGTGTAGTTTGACCAGGATCTGGGGCTCTTCAGTTTACCTGCGACACCGGAACTACGGAGGCAGGATCTTACCACGTTGTGCACGCGCATAAAAACTGAGGCACAAGCAAAGCACAAGGAACAAATTTTTCTTGGCAGATTATCATAATCCGAACATACACATCATATATATACGGGAGGGCTGAAGTGCTTGACGTGCGCTACTTGCACGCGAGTGGTCTAGAGCGGTCTACTGTAAGCAGTGAACCATTATCACACAAAGTGCCTTCAGGCAGCATAATAGCCGTTTACTAAAACCGATGTGCTACAGCTCAACAGGATTCCATGAGGGGAAGACTTCGCATGCGATCCAAAGCCACTAACCCCCACCAAGCAGCGGTGCATCGACCGGTGGGCCGTCGCAGAGACGAAGCAGCTTCCTTTGCCTCGACCAAGGGAGTACCCTTTCCCAAAGCCCCTTTACATGCGTTACAAGAGCGAGTGTAGCATTAAGCCATACATAATATAGCGCCCTGTCTCCGTTTTCCTTGGGGTCGCCTTGCATTTCTCAGAACCAGTTGGCTTGAGCTGGGCTCGTGGCGAGCCTGCGGTGCCCACTGCTTTCTCGAAGCATAAAGCGAGGGTCTACAAAACCAAATTGGCGATGTACTGTCGTCTATGCATTCAGGTTGTTCCGAATGAAGGGCCTTTATATCCAGCACTCCTGTGCTTGGCTTTCTACCATTCAGCGTCGACACTGTCATATTGTGGCAGGCTTAGATGCACGCAGAGTGTATTCGGGTGCAGTAAAGGTCCAGCAGCCGTAGCCAACTCCTGCTGTTAAAGACACTTACACACGAAATCATTGGCGTGCAATGCACCGCGGCAATTGTTTGTTCCAGCCCCATTCGCTGAGATTTTGCAAGCAAGGATCAGATTATTCGGCAAAACAGGAGAAAAGAGGCCTACTGCCACTGCATTAGGAGTGCTCTGTCTTATGCTTGTGCCTCTTGTTACTATGGATGCTCACCCTGGGAAGGGCAAGGCGGTCTGCGCCGCCCGTGCATATGACCAATTGCCTCTCAAGACCGAGGAAATGACTGTAACAAAGTAAGTTCAAACTGTGTCTCATTAGCTGCCCCTGCATACTTGGCATATAAATGATATGAGGACGTTGGAATGAGTGAATTGAGCGCAGATTGAGCTCATCAAGCCCGTCGTGCGGTGTACAGCATTTGTTTGGTATAATTTCTTGTTAGGATGGCACCAGCTCGACTTTCTGTGGTTGCATTCAGTCAAAAAGGCAACAAGGATGTTGTAGCCATAGCAAATCAATCACAAGAGAATGGCAAATCTAACAACCACGTGAGCTACGTGCCAACGCTCGGGTCCTCATGATTTCAAAATGTTCATTTACTGCCAGCCTTGTGACATCATTTGCTCATTTCATCTTTGTATATATTGGTGTTCACAGGGCTATAAGGAGAGCCTGGTGGAGCTACAGAACGTTGTCAGGCTTCTTGAGGCTGAGCGAGTTCAAATGCACCAGAGCCAGGAGCTGTGCGATTCTTTTACTAGTTAGCCTAGTTTCTCCTCCCTCATATGACTTCCGTCATGCAACTGGTGCGGTCTGAGCAAATTTAGCACCGATGCTTTCGTAATATAGTGGGTCAGTCTGCCTTGCACATGAATGCGTGCGTGTGCAGGCTTGTTGGCCAACATACAAAGATTGACGACAGTCTCCAATTAATTTTGGATGAAATTACTAGTCTCAAAGTATGTTTATGTGGAATGCTAAGGTTTCCGGAGGCTTCACCAACTGCAGGCTCATATCTTATGTGTTTAATATCGGCGATTGCAATTAAAATATACCATAAATCTTTCTGTAGCCTGAACAATGGGTGGGGGGGGCGAGAACTACCTACCGGTGGCTGTCACTGTTTTTATATAATGTGCCTGATGCTTCGTGGCACCGCAGGCATATCCCAGTTTTCGTGTTTAGGCATTCGTCCATGAACTGCGCAAGCATATCATCTTCAGTGAATCTTCCCGCTTAGTTGAATTATGTTTTGTGGTGTTGCCTTGCTTGCTGTGGAGGTTCAGCATTGCTGTGGCTTGTAGTACCACTATGTGCCGTAGGCCCAAGCTGCGGAGGAAAACGACCTGAATGCTTTAATGGTGCAGTTTATTGTTATGGCCATCCGGATACTTATGGAGGCGTCGTTTAATCAGGAGAAAGGTCAGCTTGGACTCACAGAAACGGATACAACGTTGTATTACCCACTATTGCTGCATGCATTGTGTGTAAAGCCCGATGGTCAAAGTCTGTAGATGTATACGGGTTGCTTTCAGGCCGTCCGCAGGTTAATACTTAGTACCAAGCTGTATTGTGACAGCTTGTACGGACATTTGTTGAACAGCTTCCAATGCCTCCATCCTTTATCGCGTGGTTTCTTGTATGGCGATTTTCAGTGGGCGATCTTCTTCCTGTTCTGGAAGCAGAGCTGGAGAGGCTCCAGCTGCCTGCTCGGCATCCTCGGCTATTGGCATGCTTTAACCGGCTTCGTGAAGCTTGTGGAAAGGCGCCCGTTACGCAGTGTGACTTGGCGTCAATGGCAGTAGTAATTTCAGCTGCTTCATCTGACGAGGTACTGCCCAGTAAAAGTGTCTCCAGCGGGACAGCAGGTATCGCTGCCTCTGCTGCAGCCGGTGAAATCGTTCAGGAACAGAGCCTGTCAGAGTCAAGGCGCGGAGGCTCTGGTTGGTCTAATCGAGCTGTGCCTTTCGCTACCCAGACTACGCTTATAGACGAACCAGACGACTACAGGAAGTCGTCTCTCACCGCTAGCGAGCAGTTCCCCGTTGTTGCTGTCCGTCATCTGAACCGAGGCGCCTCTTCTGCCCACACCCGCTTGCCCAAGTCTTCTGCCTCAGCCGAATTCTCTTCGAGGCGCGAATCCGTATTCACTCCAGGGGAACGACGAAGAACAGCTACCGCTTTTGGCGATGGTGAGTATTCAATTCTTACTTTTGGTCGACTTCCCTGTGCTGTTAGTCCAGTGTTCACTGCCAGATTGAATATGATGACCAGGTAACTTCTGCCTATTATGTATCGTGCAAACCGTGACCTCGGCCTCATCTGCAGAGTATCATTTGTGACTGCCTGCCACGGAAGTCATGAGTGGTCCTCAGGAATGCTAATGCTCAAGACTCTCTCACTTTACAATGCTCTGTCAAGCCTTCAGTGTCTATTTTGTATATGGGTATACTCAGGCGACCTGCCGTTGTTCCAGCAATTTGCGGTGGCAGCGGCCGCACCAGCTCCTGACGAACTTTCCGGATTGGGCAAGCCGATGGACACGGCAATCTTGAGCCAGACCACCAAATTGCCATTTGGGGAAGGCACGCTTGAAGGCTCTGACAGTGACTTGCAAGAGCCCAGGCTGTCCAAGAATTTGGGTGGTTCTGTCAATTCCAGCGATATCGGTAGTATAAATGTATCATCAAGTATATTCCGGCATGGTGATATACCCCTAGAATGGAATAATAAGCGGCCAAGCAGAACGCATTCAGAAATGGATACAGAAGTTCCCAACTCAGCGCCCGAAATGCGAGATTCATTCATCACTGCTAAAGCGCTGAGCTCGGGAACACTCGAGTCTTTTGATGGCCTTTTACATCACGCAACTACAATTTTGTCCATGACACCTTCCGAGCTGCGAGCGGCATTGTTGCGAAGCGCCACAGGTGCAAAGTCTGATGGCGCATTGAAACAATCGGGTCAGCACCACTGTACACGGGATGGTGTGGAACCCGCCAGTCGCATGGACTCTGAAGGGCCCCCAGCTCCGATGCCATCTCTGACCACTTCAGTTAGCCTAGATCATTTGCAGATCCTGAAGGATGCGATGGTCGCTGTCGCCAAGGCAGCCGCTAAAGAACTCGGAGAGGCGGAAATTCATTTGAAAGACGAGCCGGCAGGAGTATCACTTGACACTGCCATTCTGAAGCAGAGCGTAGGGGGAGCTGAACAGGAACAGTTGAATTCTTCGGTCGGAGCAACAAAGAGTCGTGTATCCGTAGGGGTGGAGGCTTCGGTACAAAAGGAATCCCCCCAAATCTCCGCAACTCAAACCTGTACTACAAGAAAGACTCTTTTGCCTGACTGTGCCATTAAGAATGATGCCTCAGTTGACCCTGCAAAGTCATCTGCTCTTGGCTCACCTTTTGCTGGTTGCATTGCCCCCCCATCAACCCCCGATGCCCTCGCATACCCTAGAAGTGATTATCCGTACTACCCCATGCCTCCTCAAAACACAACCCTGCACGCCCAGGGACCGTATCTACCTGCAAACCAACTTGCATGGCAACAATTCTTCAATCGTGCAGCGGCGTCTGAACGACAGGTTCAGGAGAGGTCATATCTGGGAAGCCATGCGGTGGCACATGGACAAAGGAACTCGCAGATTGGGGAACCTTTTGCTGCTTATCAGGTGCCTGCTGGTTACCCGATACTAGGGGCTACATTCCAGTCTGATTCGACCACTGGAAGTGGACTAATGTATGTCGCAAACGCCCGTTGCGAGCAAGCAAGGGTGCCCGAGGCACAGGGATTGTTGGACACTGCCTACGGGCCATCAGCAGTTCCTACTTCTTCCTACAGGATTGCCTGTCAGACTGCACCTATATCCGGCAAAGAACATGGCAGCATAGTTGGGCAACCTCGCCTATTCGTGGCACATACTCATGCTTGGCAAGCAAAGCCGCGCGGAGTTCCTCCCCACTCTACCGCTGGTGTGGCGCAGCAGAACTTCGAAACTCCACGGATTGAAGGTTGGGCCTGTTGCCATCGTATGACACGAGGTGGAAAACATAGCATACGGAAAGCCTCCAACCATTAGTGAATTTGTATCCAACCACGCAATATGGGTGGTTTCTTTGTGAAAAACGGCATCGATTTTCACTCTGCAGTTAGCGAGAGCTGCGCTTGACAGCTCATTTGCCAGTCCCTCCATGCGCTTGAGCTGCTAGGCGAGTATGGCGGCTCACAACACACATCATCTGTGTGATTGTTTACAGAAGAACCAAAGACTTACGGAGTGTGTAGCTTCCTAGTGCTGCACCACCGAACAACATATTACTCGAAACTAGAGACGTATTTATTGTCAAAAGCTCGTCGATGGCAGTGAATACGTAAAAGAGGGATATTTGATGTGAACGCGCTTTGAACTCTGGATGCGCAGCAACGCAATTGGCATTTTATCCGGGGGGTAAAACATGCAGACCCTAGAATGCATGTCTTGTAGCAGTAAAGCAGCACTACAGCAGCTGCTCTGAAATAAAAGCAGAGCGACACACCATTTGTCCCTGCATACGAACGCGCCAAGGTGCACGGAAAAAGACGTAGCAGCACCATACGCGCGGCAACTAGCCTTTTGCAAGCATTTTGTCAAAGCTGCAGCATCAACTGCTCTTGCGCTTGGAAGTCCAACGATCCCAAGCTCAGTTCAGTGACCACTGCACCTTCCTGCGAACCCAGCACAAAGATACTTCATGACTGCGTTCTGTAGACGGAATCGCTACAGATCAATCACAAAGTCCCATATTTCCACCCGGCCCCCAACAGCTTGTGCTAATGATGCGGACTTGAGCTTCTTTGCCCCCCGTGCTAGCAAGTAGACACGCCAATACTCACTTCACAAGAATTTGTAAACAAAAACACTTCGTTGTTGAGCGAGCAGAAACGGCGCCTGTAAGCAAGCATCCAGTCGAACTACACTGTCAAATAGGGTAGTCTGCTCTTTCACCCTGTAGAAGGCTTCTACAGAGACAGGCAGGGCGGGGCAAGAACGTGGTAGGCACAGTTGGTATCTAAGTGCCCATTCAATTAGAAGTAGGCTTGAACACGGCATGCACCGTAAGGAACAGTGATATTATAAGAAACAGGAAAGAACTCAATATTGCCAATATGGCCTACCATTGTCCTCACCGTGGGAAGGTCTGCACAAGGGAGAAGCTTGAAAGGGAAGAGAGAGGTTGTACACCTTCCAGGTCATGGCTCTCGGAGACAATCCAGTTGCAGACTTGCTGTAATAGAGCACCACCCACAGCGCTGCCGCGTCAAGGCTCACAAAACTGGGCAGCCCAATGATCTAGGGTGCCCAGCTAAAACCATGGGACCGGGAAATGTATGTAAAGGGGTCAGAGACTTTTCAAAACGATTGAGTAATCACGTAGACCCTCGTGGGAAACCGGTTCTCCGTGTTCTCTGCTGTGTCAGCACAAACATGCAGATATCAATGAATACGGTTGCACACCTTTAATGTGTCGTCTTCACGAAATCGCCGAGATAGTCGCTTTCCAGAGGGCGTCCTTACAAATATAGTTTTGACACCATCTTCATCTATAGAGGGTTCTTCCGTGGGCTTCGCAAATTCCTGAAAACACAGAGCCCGCATCAGGGATAAACATGTTGATAACCTGGTTCTACGCGATCTGCTGTGACCCTTGCCTTTGTACACGTCCTATGCCTAGGGGTACGAGACACACAGAATTCAGGCATCGTACTTTCCTGTAGCATTCCATGGACAAACGAATGGCCTCCTGCAACTCAGGGTCTTCTAGAGTATCTTCCGTTCCGGTGGGCTGGCTTAGAGAGCCCGCATTGTTGAGCCGACTGGAGATGATCGGAGTACACGAGAATACCAAAATATGAGAATCCAGTTTTTAAACGGGAAATAGGAGTTATAATAACAAATAGGCGCCTCCACTGGAGGTCATCTATTCTTGGAGCCTTCTACTGCCACAGCAAGTGGTATAAGGGTGTGATTTTGAAAACGGTGTTTGCTTACTAGCCCTGCCCCTCCGGCCAGACGTGAGGCTCCTTCCCACGCGGGACTTTGGCTAAAAAGGTGTTTCCTGACGTCTGCAATTAGAATGCATCGCACATAAAGCTTTCCGTACCCTTCAGCCCATTAACTCGAAAGTATTCGCACCAAAACCATCAAGCAGTGCAGCTCTGCCGCAGTTATGCCTGGCCCTCATCTGAAAAGGCCTTGCCTACATTTATACACAAAACAAAAAGCTACCGTGTTCATCCTGTATGTCATTTAGGAGAAAATGAATGGAGCATAACCGTTGTTGCTGCTGACTGACTGTGCACTCACATTATTCAAGCCACTTGCCACCCGCTGAGCATCTTCCGCATCTTTAACTGCCTGTTCTGCTGCCTGCTTGTGCCTCTCTGCAGAATCGCACGAAGTCGGGAGGCAATTAAGCATGGCCACTAACCGTCTTGAATTGCAGCTTTCTGTTTTGAAAGGAAAGAAGTGGTAACAGGCATCTCACCATCGATTTCTTTCTGTGTGAGATAGAATTGGTTATTGCTGCGTGTTTGCATAACTCCGGGGGCTGGGAGATCTCCGACCTCTGGGCGTACTACAAAAACAGTATAGCCTTGTCCTGTAAGAGAACTTAGGAATGCAGCCAGGTGGAAAGTAGATATAACTGTAGGTGCAGGCTTCATGCTATCGAGGTTATACCTGTGGGGAGTTCGCGCAAGTACAAAGAAAGCTTCAAGTTTGTCTGGATACTTCAGACTGCTGTCCGTACGAAAAGGGGTCGCCATTTATGCACCTGTTCACCCGTTATTCAGCTCGCTACTGAATTCGCCATGATAGGAAGCCCACCACATTCCATGAACCCTCCGCAGTGCAAGCCAGTGGTCTGCGTGGTTGAGGATGTAGCCAAAATCGATTCCGGGCTCTTCGTGTTCTCCCACGTCTTTCTGGCAGATACAGTGGATACGCTTTCTTCTCAAGCACTCTATCAACACGCTTACGTTGAAATACCCATCTGCCGCGACATTTCCGCTCCCTTCAGCCAAGAAAGCCTGGTAGTCTTCTGACTGTACACCTGTTGGGGAAATTTGCAGAAATCTGCAGGACAGCCAGGGCTTCCAATCCACCCCATTAAAACAACTACTTGCAAACGTATCTGAGCCAGGCTCCTACACTCAGCACTCACAAATGAAACCACCTGCTATGCACCTCCTTCAGCCATGAGCTGTCGTTCCTTCTTGTCGAGTTCTAGTCCAATGGCAGACAGTTCTGATTCAGTGAAGTACGGCCCCTACGATCGAAAGCACCAGCATCGCACTTACTCACAAGCAAAATTTCCCTCACAGTGAAAAGCTCAAATATTCTGCCGATACTTTATTACCGCTTGAGTGCTGCGGCTCCCAAAACATGACTGCTCGGAAAAGCCACCTGTTGTGCACTCTCACTTGAAGAACGGAGTTCAGGCAGTGCAAGGCGCACATCCTATCAGCCCCCTGTTTCTCCCAGTAGACAAGCTGGCCGCGCTGTCGCCCCGCCATTCTAGATAACTCAAGATGTACAACTGGGGGACGTTCCACGTTTAAGATATCACGATGCGGCGCAGGGGAACGGTATAGGTCATGCCTGGAAGGGTATCTGCCATTGCTAGCAGAGGCCCTCTATGCCTGTATCCGAGGATATGCATGCGGCCTGCTGCTCGCTTCAGGTAGACCTGGCTGTTATAAAATTTCGCTCACGTTGGTTCATACCAAGGCCGATTTCCATGAAAAGTGAATAATCCCGAAGGACATGCTACGGTGGCTACCCTGCAGCAAAGCAGATACAGCCTGCAAAGTTGCCATGATGCACTGTAAGGTCATTTCCGTGCATCTATCCACAATACACAAACTAGCATGCCGAGGCTTCCCAGACACGCTGCCGACCCAACGGCAGCTTCTGCTTTGTTCCAATGCTCAAAAGCTGTCCAGTCACAGAAGAAACTGTTTGGTCAATTCGCATAATGCATTTTTATAAAAACAAATGATGCATCTGCCTCGGATAAAAGAAAATCCACCGCAACCCAGGGAAGGCCTACACGCAACGTGAGCGCGGGGGAAAAGAGCCACGAAAAACAAGTACCTTGTATTAGGCTTAAAATACCTAGCTAATACCAGGAGTCCGTCTCTCTGCGCCTTCTTCCACATTAATATGGAAAAGCAGAGTTCTACAAACGATGCTCAAGCTGACATAAAGGCAGTGGACTTCCGCAGCACAACCAGGCGGGGGGGGGGGGAGGCTGAAATATGGTTCCAACACGTGTTTTTGCACTTCTTCAGATCAATCGTGTGACTTATAGAGCTAAACTTATTGCCTTTTTTCTATAATCTACCAGGAAGCGAACTCTGGGCTCATCCGTTTGGATGTTTTGAAGCAAAGCATTCGCCAAGTGTACATGCTACCGCAAGCCTTGAAAGTGCATGAGCAAAATAAAGCTTTTGAGGGCACCTGATATCGTGGGTGAGAGCAGTAAATACTCAAGAGACAACTTATGGGCTTGAAACTTTCTAGAGCCTCTAGCTCATACAGTAGGGGCCTATCCTACATCTCGACAACTTCTAGTACACTAGTTAAATTTGATTTAAAAAAATTAAGAATTTGAAGATCGCTTACCTGTTCGCTCATCTTACTTCTAACAGAGGAACATTTTTTGAAACACGTAGTAGTCGGTGCTGAGTGTAGAGGCCAAAGTTGCGAGTAAACGCCTTCAAGTGAACAAATTAAATTTAGCGAAGCGCTATTATGGCAAAGGGGGAGTTCCACCTGGCAGAGGTTTTCTCAAAACGGCACACAGACGGTTTCTAAGGTCTCTAGTGCCAGCTGCATGGCAAAATGTTGAGGCATCCTTACGACATAGCCGTAGGGCAGTAGCCCATATACTAGAGATTCCGTGAATAGTGCGAGCTGCACCATCCACAACACAGCCTTTTCGAAAACCTCAGCACAGCCTAAAATAAATAGTTAGTTTGTCTGCTCGTACACCTTAGTTGTTGTAGGGTAACCTTTCCCCAATGCATTAGGGCACAATGTTGTGTCCGCATGCGCTAGATGCTGTGTGCAACTAGCTGTGACTAGTGGAGTGCTTAGAGGA